TAAGCTAACCTAAATATTTAACATTTATTTTCCTAAATACTTGTGTTAACTTCAGCACTTGCACAAATCTACTAATTCACAGGTAAGCTAGTTTCTGTATATAGCTTGGGTAGTTCAGCCATTTCTTTCTTGGCTATTGTCAATGGGTTGGTCACAGGCTTGGCCTGTGATTAGGTGCTCTTTGTGATCTAGCTTTGTTGCATGTTCTCTGCAATTATGTGGGGACACTGATCACACTTCTACTGGTCAGTCAGCACATATTTCTCAACACGTTCTCTACACTGAATCATATAGGGTAAGTTCATTTAATTATTACTTTATTTATCTGGAAGCTTAGGTTATGTATTTTAATCATTGTTGTTGGATATAGTATTTTAGCTAGCATTGTATTATGGCATTGTAATGTATTCTTAATTCAACATAACTGTGTATTTGATTAAGGTAATAGCCAAATGTACATTTTATAAAATAGATTTAAACTGGTTAGAAGTGATATATGTATATGTATCATGTATATATGTATAGTATTTTGTAGAATTTTTAATGCTTGTATTCCATACATGCTAGTGTAACTGTGGCTATGTAATATATTTATATGTAGTATACTTATTTGTGCAGGGCTATTTCACTGCACATCTCTATAAGAGAGTTTCCAGCCTGCGTCCCAATCTCATTAATATCAGATCTTAGTTGTTTAGCGGTAGCGAGAACTAAGATTTGATTTTAATGAGATTGGCCTGCGTCCCTGAGACGAGGTATGCTATTTTGGTTTTATCATTATGCATGATTAACTATAGAGTGTAATTTGTTTTATCTGGAAGGATTTGTTAGTATATATATATATGCCAAAAGTAAGGAACTATAGATCTAAATGTATAATTAGTATTGTTGTTATTTAGTGCCTTTATAATGATACCCATGATATTTATATCAAATAATGTATGTTTTAGGGCAGATCCGAACTACCGTGTAGTTCTCTACACCCATTGAAAATAAATCCCTTGAACCCAACAAGTACTCTCTTATCTTTGAGAGGACCAGAGTACCGCTGTTACAGAATGCCTCTGGCATACTTTATGAACATATTCTGTGCTCAAAAGACCGCCATTTGTAACGATAAAGCCCCTTCTAATAATAAAAATTCTACCACTTACAACAAGGACAATTGTCAAGGGAGGCTATTCATGTTCAGCTTAGAGATCGATTATGTATCTCTTTACTAGTTAACAAGGGTAAATTCATATGTTTGTATTAAAAGGTGCTGATAACAAATAAAATAACTGACTACGTGGCTATCGGCGGGGGAAAAGAAAAAATGGAAATCTGATTTTTTTAATACATTTTCCCAAAAATTAGAGTTGGCGGGTCAGTAATCCGAAAAATATAAAACGCCTGGCCTTACCTAACCTACTGGTTTTCTATTGATGCTGCAACAGTAATTTAACGGCTGGTTAACGTGAGGTTAAATATTTAACAGCTGGTTAGGAGTTAACCCGATGTTAAAATAAACAGGTTCTGAACAACTGGGCCTAGAGTGCATTCCATTTTTTTCTCAGCTCCCGGGGGAGTATACAACAACAAATATCATCAGTGAAAGAAAACACCACTTCAGGTCTAACCAACAAGAAATCATTTATTCTGAGTTATATCTCATCTTTCATCACAGAACAATCTCACCTCTCACTCAGGACATGAATGGATAACAAAACACAAAAAGGCTGCTTGAATATCCTCACCTTAACACAATCACTTTCAATGTACCGTATTCCACGTAATAAGCGCCCAGGGCGCTCTCAAAATTAGAAATAGGGGGCTCTTATTAAAATATTATTTTGGTGAAAAAAAAAGTTGAAAGATAAATTTCGTGTTCATGTACGACAGATATATTTTTCCAGAATTTAATTGCCCATAATTAAGGTTGCATATAACACACGAATGCGTATCATACGCGAATAAATAAGTCTTGTGAACATTGATCAATTGGAAGGGGTGCTAATTGGGATTGTTCACTAGCCAATATCTTCGCAAATATCGCCGTGGGCGCTTATTAGGGTGGGGTGCTTATTACGTTGAATACGGTAATTGGTGAACATTGGCATATGGGAGCCCAAAATAGGGCCTAATGTATTTGCATCCTTAGCCGAATCTTGCACTAAGATTCTTCATGTGTGCATTATTAACAAGACCAATCACTAAGATCCTTTATGCATACATTAGGACCCAGCACAAATATCCAATTTGTAAAAACAGCTAGCTTGCAATTTTTAACAAAATATAACTTTCCTAACAAGTGCACTTAAAATTTCAAACTCAAAACAAGTAAACACAAGTCATGAAATGTTTAAGATTTTTCCGCATCTAAATCAAGCTCTTTCTCTGAACTCGACATCATCATCAATAGGTAAACAGGATTGTTTATAACCATAGTTAGCAAGCCAGATATCAACAAAACTAATGATTTGAATAATCGTTCAGCCTAAACTAAAGGTATCACTGGTAATGACTCTGTTAGTGGTTGGTTGGTTTGTTGTTTAACACGGCACTCAGCAATATTCCAGCTATATGACGGCAGTCTGTGAATAATCGAGTCTTGACCAGACAATCCAGTGATTGATATCATGAGCATCAATCCACGCAATTGGGATTGATGACATGCATCAACCAAGTCAGTGAGTCTGACCACCCGATCCTGTTAGTCGCCTCTTACGACAAGCAGAGTCGCCTTTTACAGCAAGCATGGGTTGCTGAAGACCTATTCGACCCCGGGTGACTCCGTAAGTGATGGTATTAGGCATCACATCTCATTTTTAAATTATTATTTTCTAAATCAAGATAATCTGAGCCAAATCTGATCAGTTGAAGCTAAGTAATTCATGATTTTGAATGTTGTACTGGATTAAGTACTCAACACAAATTTGTAGCAATTTCTACAATGGAATGTGTTCTCATGTGGTTTTTAAATGGCCCATAAATTCAGAGAACAAACACGCAACATCTTCCAAACACAACATGGAACGTCTACCTTCGTGTTTTACATACTGTTTTGGTAATAGCCAGCTTTAAGATGAAGTCCAAGTGCTAGAACTCCATGACAGTGGTACCAAGACAACATGACATGTTCATACACAGAGATGTAATGATTCATTGGAACACTGCAAGTCACAGTTGACCAAATGCTTCAAATTAACAGCTGACATACTCACCAATACTTCGTAATGAACTAAACATAATTAAGTATCAGCCTGAAAACTATCTGCCACTTTGCAGTAATGAATTATCTAAAAATACATTTTATTATCATTTCGAAATATCTCATTTTATTATATATTTTGTGATGACATGACAAAAGTATTCAAATTCTATACAGAGACAGTGAGACTGATTTATTTCTAAGAAAATATCAACAGATGTACAAAATAACAATAACTGCAATGTCTATCCTCAACTCAAACATTTATGAAAATCATTATGAATCATAATATTATGCCCAAAAATATGAAATTAATCCAAATCAGTTCTTACAATACAAAACATTGGCTAGATTATTCACGGACAACATTCCTATGACGATTTACAAAAAATGAAGGTACCTGTGGAGGCCATCACATCAGTCCAGCAACACTGGTTTCCTGCCGCTAGTTTCAGAGAACATCTAATGAATGAAACTGCAAATGACACTGTTTATGTGGAATTGGTACATCCCTTTTTAAATGATGTACAAAACTGATTATCATCTGCTTGTCTACTTGCACAAAGTGATCTATGCACTACGATGATTATAGTGAGCGAGTTGGGTTTAACGCCGCTTTTAACAGTATTCCAGTTATATCACGGGGTGTCAGCTTAATGTGGGAGTAAAGCCCCGAGTGATGCAGGTCTCAGACGTTTACCACTTGGGTGAAACCCACAAGCACGGGTATGGTGCTGACAAACCTAGAAACATAATCGGGGCGAACCTGGATTTCGAATCCACAATCATTGGTTTCTGGCGTGCCCAAGGGACGCAACTCTGCACAGCGAATCGCGGCGCCTTGGACAACTGGGCCACCCGGGCCCCCTTTCAGTGGCTTGAACGTCTTGGCCACCACAGGTCTTGATGTATCATCTGCTGGCCTACTTGCAGAAAGCGATCTTAGCGCTACGATGATCATAACTCCCATTACTCAAACATATACTAAGATACAGTAAACTATGGTTATAACGAACTCACAGGGACCACTAACTTTATTTCGTTATAACCATATAAACATTTCGTCTGTCAGACATCTTGGGTCAATTCACGTGTCGCCATAATGTTACTCCAGTCGTGGCATTTCATAGACAGAATGCATCCAGTTCAAAGGGTATTACTAATGTTAATTGAGCATGTAAATTGAGGACACGGTGTCATTACTTAATCCATTTAATCACTTGCCTTCCATTGTATATTTCCGCTGTGAACAGTCGCACATAGCCACGAATCTGTTGATAGGCTGATTGATGACAGGTTACCAGCTCAGAGACTAACAGTTTTCATAAACAAACATTGTTGTTGACTAGGACACACCGGACCACGAAGTGAGGTCACTATATCCGTTATCTCGTTATAAGCGTGTTTGCTATGTCCATCAAATTTATGATATAAAATATCCAGCTGATGACTGGGACCGAAAAAACTATTTGTTATATCCATCAGTTCATTATAAGTGTGTTCTTTATATCCATCAGTTTGTTATAAGCATGTTCGTCATAAATGTTATTTACTGAAGTCATGATGCTAAGACTTCTTTGTGCACATGAGCCCTGGGGAGTAATTTACAAGTCTATATGCAACATGGGTTTAAAATATTACTACAATACGTTATCAAAGCATTCAAATTTCATTGATATGCTAACTACATAGTTCAACAGATTCTATAAGATGTTTTGTAACAAATTATCTCCCAGGCAGTGGTGGTACAGAATATTCCCAGTAAACAAATGAAAGGAGGTCCAAATGGAGAAATGTCCTCCTGTATTTCAATACTTGCTTAATACGCACAAAAATCTGCATGAAAGCACACAACTCACAAATATATCATTCACCACACAGAAATCAGCAACAATTAGAATTGCACCAGAGAAAACATGTTATTTCAAGTGATTCACATATCCAACAGATTTGAAAATAAATACAGCTCCGTGTTCTCAACCATTCAATCCACACATTTCCTTCCATGCTTATATATATACAGGGATTTGAGACCTTGCCATTGTCAGAAACATGGCGAGAAAGACTGTTGCTTAGCAACCTTTGTATTGCTTCATACTGGTATTGCCAAAACAACTTGACATTTTTTTCTATTTTTTTACGCACAAGTTTGTGGTGTATTTTTCAGAAATATACACGTGTGGGTTAATACAGACTAAACAGCTGTAATGTCACAGTGTCAGCCTAAAGAGGGGGGACAGCCCAAAGTGATGCCAATCTTACACAACTACCACTTTGAGGCTGCCAATGAGCGCGGGGCTTCGTGTCCAAACTCATTTGTCATTTACTGCAAGTGCAACCAATATCACATTGTAGAACAACCTGTTGTCCAATCAATACTCAACAAATTGATTATTCAGTCATTGGTTATGCAGCCCACTTTAAAAAAAAAAAAAATCTTGGTGATAGTATCATATTTATGATATGATTAATATTAATGGGGAATTTGTCAGTGAAACAACAAATTGCACCACATTTTGAACCAGAAAATCTCCCGGTTGAGGCCCTTTGTTACTGGATTAGCCTGTCACTTCTTATTTCGTTGATTGATCTTGTTGTGAAATATAGTTGAAGGAAACTTTCCCCTTCTCACAAAACCTTTTCGGTTCACCTAATAACCAAGTAAGTGAGTTTTTTACCCTGCATACAATTTAGTTCTTTCCCCCATGTTTCTATGGCAACCATGAGAATGGAGAATATACAAATGGCCAATGTATAATTTACAATGTCGAGCATAAAATAGCATCTAGGCCTCTTTGGGGGTCAATTGAAATGGAATTTGAAAGAATAGCCGCCTCCTCCTCCGCCGCCGCCTCCGAATGGATTAAATCCCTGATGGAAGAATGGATTTCCTTGCTGATGCTGCTCCTCTGGGTCCAGGGGGTCTTCCCCATTGTCGTAACGCTGCCGCTTTTCTGTCAAACACCAAACAGACATGGTATAGACAATGTCTTTTCAACACATTGTCCAATAATGCTTTAGATACATTTTCTTTTGTAAAATGGAAATTAACAAAAATTGAAGATTATGTCAAATAACATCAGAATGAATATTGTGTAGCGGGGCCCTAAATACACAGGAACAATACACTGACCCTTGATATTCATTACACGCAAGAGGTTGCACCTTAAAAGACGTTTTACTAATTTAACAAAAGATATTCAACCTGACAGCATCTGTTTAATAGAAAATGTGAACGTAAAACTGCTTAAGATTTCAGTTTTGTTTTCACCCGGGACATGATACATGATGGCTGCCCCTAGAATTACCCATAATCCTACCTGGATTAGTGAGCACTTCCTTTGCAGCTGCCAAATCTATGAACTTCTTTTCTGCTTTCTTTTTATCGTCTCCCTCAGGATACTTGTCCGGATGCCACACCATTGCCAGTTTCCTGTAGGCTTTCAGTATCTCCTTCTTTCTGGCCGTCCTGAACACACAAGGGATTGGTGAACACAGCGGATTGGTGAACACAGCGGATTGGTGAACACAACAGATTGATGAACACAACTAATTGATGAACACAATGGATTGATGAACACAAGGGATTGGTGAACACAACGGATTGATGAACACAAGGGATTGGTGAACACAACGGATTGGTGAACACAGCGGATTGGTGAACACAACGGATTGATGAACACAACGGATTGATGAACACAATGGATTGATGAACACAAGGGATTGGTGAACACAACGGATTGATGAACACAACGGATTGATGAACACAAGGGATTGGTGAACACAACAGATTGATGAACACAAGGGATTGGTGAACACAACAGATTGATGAACACAAGGGATTGGTGAACACAACAGATTGATGAACACAACAGATTGATGAACACAACCGATTGATGAACACAACCGATTGATGAACACAACCGATTGGTGAACACAAGGGATTGGTGAACACAAGGGATTGGTGAACACAACGGATTGGTGAACACAACGGATTGGTGAACACAACGGATTGATGAACACAACAGATTGATGAACACAAGGGATTGGTGAACACAAGGGATTGGTGAACACAACGGATTGATGAACACAAGGGATTGGTGAACACAACGGATTGATGAACACAAGGATTGATGAACACAACGGAGTGGTGAACACAAGGGATTGGTGAACACAACGGATTGGTGAACACAAGGGATTGGTGAACACAACGGATTGATGAACACAACAGATTGATGAACACAACGGATTGGTGAACACAACAGATTGGTGAAAACAAGAGATTGATGAACACAAGGGATTGATGAACACAAGGGATTAATGAATACAACGGATTGATGAACACAACAGATTAATGAACACAAGGGATTAGTGAACACAAGGGATTGATGAATACAACGGATTGATGAACACAACAGATTGATGAACACAAGGGATTAGTGAACACAAGGGATTGGTGAACACAACAGATTGATGAACACAAGGGATTGGTGAACAAAACGGATTGATGAACACAACAGATTGATGAACACAAGGGATTGATGAACACAACAGATTGATGAACACAAGGGATTGGTGAACACAACAGATTGATGAACACAAGAGATTGATGAACACAAGGGATTGGTGAACACAAGGTATTGGTGAACACAACGGATTGATGAACACAAGGGATTGATGACCCCAGTGGATTGATGGACAAAATGGATTGGTGAACACAACGGATTGATGAACACAACAGATTGATGAACACAAGGGATTGGTGAACACAACGGATTGATGAAAACAACAGATTGATGAAGACAAGAGATTGGTGAACACAAGGGATTGATGAACACAAGGGATTGGTGAACACAACGGATTGATGAAGACAAGATATTGGTGAACACAAGGGATTGATGAAAACAATGGATTGATGAACACAACGGATTGATGAAAACAAGAGATTGATGAACACTACGGATTGATACACACAACGGATTGATGAACACAACGGATTGATGAACACAACGGATTGATGAACACAACGGATTGATACACTTAACGGATTGATACACACAACAGATTGATGAACACAATGGATTGATAAACACAATGGATTGTAGAACATAACGGATTGATGAACACAACGGATTGCATTAAACTGGGTAAATGTAAATACAACAGTATTAGAATAATGAAATAAAAAATAGAAGTGGTGACAGACTAATCACATGCCAAAAGGGCAGTGGTAACCACAGCAACAATGATTTAGTGCATGTTCAAGTCAACAATATTTTTAGGTATAAACTGTCCAGTGTACATCCAAACTACAGACACAGGCATCCTACCTTTTAACCCCTAATATCTTATAGTAGTCCCGTTTCTGGGACTGTTTGAGCATCTTCTGAGCTTTATTGAGGCCGTCCTGTATCCGTCGGTTGTTCTCGTCGATACCGGCAGCCTCCTGGTAGTCGTTGATGGCTGAAACATGCAATCAAAAGTTAGCATGATTTCTTTAATGTAGTTTTATTTTCAGAATTTCTGATGTATTTGAAAATCCTGAAAAAAATGAAGCAACTTTATTATGTCATTCTTTTACTTCATCTCCCCGAGGCAAGAGAGTTAACTGACTATGAAAGTCCAGTTTCCACCCTTGCCGAACTAGGCTGGTATTATGGAGTTACATTTTGGCTGGACTAACGAGTCTATGCATAGTCCAATCAAAATCGCGCACCGAAATTGAAATCCGGTTCGTAAAGTGTCATGCAGATTTTGGTCGACAGCAGGATTTGCAAAGCATGTGCACCGCGAACTCGTTTTCAACAGATATTTTCTAAATCTTTTCATGCTTTTAATCAAGGTGCTCACATGATTTGATGCACTTCGCGATGTAAGACTCGTTTTATCACAATATAGATCTTGATTATCAATAAGATCGTCTTGACTGGGCGCCACCATTTTGTTTGAACCCTAGTTCGGCAAGGGTGGAAACTGGACTTTAACTCTCTTGCCTCGGGAAGATGTTTTACTTATGAACCCAAAGACACTGTGTCCTGCTTGCTTTCAGATCATCCTCTTACAGTACTGCTAAGCACATAGTTTCTGAAAAGGTAAATCCAAGTGGATCTTCCTGACTATGAAAGAAGAAGCATTTCTACTTGCCTGAAAATCAGTAATTCACATTTGATAGACTTTGTTCTTCAGAAAAAACCCATATATTTGGCACAATCAAAATTTAGCCTGCAGTTTGACACAGTTATTTTTAGACTATGATTGGACAGTCACCAAAGCATGTTCCAAACAAAATTTGTTACTTCTCTTAGTTACACAATCAATTTGATACAATCTGAGAAAAATGGCATCATAAAGAGTGAGTGAGTTGGATTTATCGCAGCTATTAACAGTATTCCAGTTATATCACGGCGTGTCAGCTTAATGTGGGAGGAAAGCCCGAAGTGATGCAGGTCTCAGACGTTTACCACTTCGGTGAAACCCACGAGCACGGGTATGGTGCTGACAAACCTAGAAACATAATCGGGGCAAACCGGGATTCGAACCCACAATCATAGGTTTCTGGCGTGCCCAAGTGATGCAACTCTGCACAGCCAATAGCGGCGCCTTAGACGACTGGGCCACCCGTGTCCCCGCATCATAAATACCACGTGCACCATTTGATGGTTGAACATTGAAGTACATTCAATACTAGGTGAGACTTATATTGTGCAGTGAGTGAGTCAATATCATATAGCAAGATTTAGCAGTATTTGCAGCATTATCCAATGGGACTGACCTGCCTGGAAGTCTTCGTTCAGTATGTGTGCCTCCGCCCGGTCTGCCAGGGCGTCAATGTTCTGCGGGTCCAACTCCAGAACTTCCTCGCAGATCATCAAAGCATCGCTCACATGACCCCCCTGCAGACACCAGAGTCACACATGGTATCAACTAGTGAATGGTATTTTAAGCTACAACCAGCCATACATCACAGCAGCAGGTAAATTACTGAGTCTGGTCCTGACAAAACTGGTTCCTAATGGGACCAAAAACTCACATTGTCAGGGTACCATCACACAGATCTTTCATCATAAACTGAAATGGATTATAGTCTGCTTAGAGCCATTGATCTGTGGGTATTGCGGGTTAGAATAGGTCCACTTGTCACGCTGAAGACCATGGTTCGATTCCCGTCATGTTGCTGGAATATTGCTAAAAGCGGCGTAAAACCATACTCACTCACTCACCCCAGTTGGATTTAAGAGGCAAGTAGATTCACAAAAAATCATTGGATAGTTGGGACCTATTGTGAGTGAGTGAGTGAGAGGTCGTTTTTAACAGTATTCCAGTTACATCACGGCGTGTCAGCTTAATGTGGGAGGATAGCCCGAAGTGATGCAGGTCTCAGATGTTTACCACTTTGGTGAAACCCATGAGCACGGGTATGGTGCTGACAAACCTAGAAACATAATTGGGGCGAACCAGGATTTGAACCCACAATCATAGGTTTCTGGCATGCCCAGGGGATGTAACTCTGCACAGCGAATCGCGGCGCCTTAGACGACTGGGCTACCCCTCCCCTATCAAGGACACACCAGACAATACTACCAGAACTGACCTTGGAATGACAATGACACAGATGTGAGTGAGCGCGGAGCACGTAGGGATGGACATTCGGCTCCGTCTTGAGCATAGACTTGGCCTTGTCTATACAGTCATCGAAATTCTCCTCGTTGCTGTAGGTCTGGGCGGCCTCGATCTGCTTGACCAGCTTCTTGACCTTCTTGTAGTGGCTGAAGCATTCCTTGTGGTCAGGATCCAGCTTAAGGCACTCACGGATTTGCCTGTGGGGAGAAGGCAAGGGGCACAATGTGAGTCAGTTGGTTTGGCTTCACATCACTTTTAAACAGTATCTGGGATTTGAATCTAAGATCATTGGTTTCTGGCCTGCCATGGGGATGCAACTCTGCAAAGCCCTTTTGGAACGCCGGATGCAGAGCCAGTGGTATTTCAGATGCCACAGTGCAAGTACCATGGATGCCATGAAATGTTTATCGGGTATGTGGATGCCAGTACCGTCAAGTCTCGTTAATCCGACACTCGGCTTTATCTGACACTAATGATGGGAACTGATTAAATCAGTGCTATTCAGACCCGATAATCCGACAGTCTCGCACTCGTACATGTTAGGGAGATATTTAGTGACATGACAGCCACAGATATACAATGCTGATAGGATTAATTGCTGGAGCTTTCATTTATGCCCAATTGTTGTTTTTGTTAATCCTCATTAAATGTATGTAACCCTGTCTTACTTCCTCTTGCTTGACAACGGTGTAAGGATCCATACCGAAGCGTTGCATCAATGCAAAAAAGAAGTTTTCATCCATAAAATAACTTGTCTTTATTGTTACTTACCAACTTATATAAAAATATGCCAGTAGAACAGTTTAGTATTTAGACAAAATGAAGATAGTCATCCACATTCTAATGCAATAAAAGATCTATTTGAATTAATTTTCATAGTGTTTTATCTTCAATATTTTGATGCCTAACAGGTGTGTAACAGTGACATATGCATCTTCCCAAGGCAAGAGAGTTAACTGACTTTAAAAGTCCAGTTTCCACCCTTGCCGAACTAGGCTGGAATTACTGGGCTCGATCGTAGCGCCACCAGTGGCTATTACCATTTATGTCCCCTCTAAGCCTCTCCTGTGGAGAGGAGATTCCACCTCTCGTATCACTTGCGTTTGCTTCACCCAAAATGGTGGCGCCCAGTCAGGACGATCTGATCGATAATAAAGATCTATATTGTGATAAAGCGGGTCTTACATCGCGAAATGCATCAAATCATGTGAACACCTTGATTAAAAACATGAAAAGATTTAGAAAATAACTGTTGACAAAGAGTTGTTGGTGCACATGCTTTGCAAATCCTGCAATCGACCGAAATCTGCATGACAGTTTACGAACCGGATTTCGATTTCGGTGCACGATTTTGATTGGACTATACATAGACTCGTTAGTCCAGCCAAAATGTAACTCCATAATACGAGCCTAGTTTTGGCAAGGGTGGAAACTGGACTTTTATAGTCAGTTAACTCTGTTGCCTCGGGAAGGTGTGACATATGAAGACAGTCAACAATACGCTCTGCCTCTGAGTTTCTAGTCCTGATTACAAATGTGGTGAAACCTCAAGACCATGAACTGACTGCTGATCAGATCATTGGTGGGTGCAAATTCTAAATTCAACCAGAAAAGCTCAGGAACTACAAAGAGCCACCAGCAGCAAGCTCACCATGACGTAGACACTGTGGGATGTGTACCGTACCATGGGATCACAACAAAAGATCAACAGTGGATTTTGTTCATATTAACATGTTATACTTATTCATACTTATTTCTCTTTAGTTTAGTAACAACTATTAAACAAACCATATCACACCTAGTCTTCAAAATCAAGTCACAGGATGCTGTACAGGGTTTCTGTAATGAAAAAAGTTTCCTGGGTGTCTAGATCTAAATACTATAGGAGCTAAGCTCAAGGACCCCCCCTTAGTTTCAAACACTGTAAAAGGTGAGGTGAGGTGAAATGGGGTTTAATGTCGCATCCAAGATTATTGCACTTATATAGGGACGTGCATGCACGTGTATGTGTGTGTGTGGCTGCTTGTACTAGTCCGGACTGATGCCGATTTATAGTGCTAGCTCACTGAGATACCATGCCCCAGTTTAACATGAATACCCCACTCAGACACAGTATACTGCCTCCGAGCCGACCAGTCCTTGTTTTAGCCCCTTTTTGCCGAGCACCAGACAGGGTAACAACAAGTACCATATTTTAACGTCTTTTGGTATGACGTGGCTGGGGATCGAACCCGGGACCTTCAGCTCTCTGGGCGGACGCTCTACCATTAGACCACTGTAAAAGGCCAGCAAGCACTCACGTCAGAGATTCATCGGATTCGCCCATGTTGTAGTACAGTTTGCTGAGTTTATAATATCCCTTGGTATTGTCTGGCCTCAGTTTGGTGGTGGGGCGAATGTCTCCGGTGGCCTTGAACAGATCCCCCTCGGCAATGTAGCACTCCGCTCGGATCTCACGTAACTCCGGGTCCCAGGGGCAGATCTAGAACATAGCAACAGATCAAGAGTTGAAGAACAGGTGGGGAGGACCACAATGTTAACTGAAGATTTTAGTACTTAGTACCGTAATCGACGTAATAAGCGCCCCGCTCTAATAAGCACCCACAGCGATATTTGCTAATATATTGGCTAGTGAACAATCCCAATTAGCACCCCTTCCGATTGATCAATGTACACAAGACATATTTATTCGCGTATAATACGCACTTGTGTGTTATATGCATCCTTAATTATGGGCAATTAACTTCTGGACAAATATATCTGTCATACATAAACATTTCAGGCTGTCAGCATTAAATATGAAATTTATCTTTCAACACTGTTTTTCCCCCCAAAATATAATATTCTAATAACAGCCCCCTATTTCTAATTTTGAGAAAGCCTAGGGCGCTTATTACATCGAATACGGTATATGTTGAGAAGTATACTTATCAAACCAGACATTCACAACACTTGGTGAGTTAGATGAGGACAAGCAACAAAGGAAGGTCACTCACCTCTATAGCCCGAGACAACAGGTCAATAGCCTCCTTAAAGTGAGCATGTTTATAAAACTCTTTGGCCTGATGAATATCCTCTTCCAGTGGTTGGATCAGTTCAATCTGTTTCACTGCATCCTCATTGTCGGGGTCTTTCTCAGCCTGGAAACCAGAAAATGATGTTATTGTTTGTTTGTTGGTTGGTTAATGCCACACTCAGCAATATTCCAGCTATACGACGCCGGTCTCTAAATATTCGAGTCTGGACCAGACAATCAAGTGATTGATAACATGAGCATCGATCCACAAAACTGGGACATGATGACATGCATCAACCAACTAAGCGAGCCTTACTGCCTGTTAGTTGCCTCTTATGACAAGCATGGATCGCTGAAGACCAATTCTAACCTGAATATTCATGGGTCTCATGTTAATCAGATGATATATTATTACCTGGTCATGGATCTGTGCAAGTTTTGATTAGTCTATTGTATGTTGCACCAAACTAATATTATCTACAAAAAAACCCAAAACATTCAAAACGGGATCTATAATTTATAATTGGACAGATGGTGCCACTCCGAGTTTTGAAAAGTTTTCGAACAACATACTTTGTTTGAGCCAGAGAAACCAGTGGTGCATGTAATGAACAACACCACAGCTACGTAACACGCAATCAACCATGTTACAGAGGCTGACAACCTGTCACAATTTCAATCTCATTAAACATAAATCATGGTTCTCGCTTTATCTCATTAAAATTAGATCTTAGTTTTTGCTGCCGCTAAACAAAGATCTGAGGACATCCCACTACGGGTCACGTCAGAACGACTTTTCGCGAATTTTGACCGACCAATGAAATGACTGACAAGAAATCGACATTAGCCAATCAGAAGGCTTTCTCGAGCTTTCAACACTAGTTTCAAACTGGCGACTACGCTTCGAAACATATTTTGACGTATTCTCGATTAAAAAAATTAACATTCTGGAATGGCTTATAGATTGCCTAGATTGTATGATATAATCATAAAACCCGTAACTGTCGTTCAGAATACCCTGTGTTAAATATTTCGTGGTTGCATGATTAGAAATCACATTCTGACAGTCACTTTCATGGTCTGGTAAGCGATGCTCTGATTGGTTGGATGAAAAGTGGTTCTGACGTGACCCTTAATGGGATGTCCTCAGATCCTTGTTTAGCGATAGCGAGAAATAAAATCTGATTTTCATGAGATTGGGTTCTCGCTACTGCTACACATAGATCTGAGGACTTTCCATTACACATCACCTTTCTTGTACTTGACCAACCAATGAAATGATTAACATGAAGTCTACACTAGCCAATCAGAAAGCAGCTATCTCAAGCTTTACGGTACCAGTTTTAAAATGGCGATTTTCATTCCAGACTTTGCTTTGAAATTTTTTCGACAAAGATAAGGTGAAATATTCAGAAATACCCATATTATCTTGAATCTACTCACCACACTCTCATAATCATCCAAAGCATCATCTAATTTTCCTTGTTTTAATAAAACATTTCCTCTCTGTAGCCTGGCCTGCAAAACAAATAAACAAATACAACAAAAGAACACAACCACATTTAAATACATTAGACCTTTCAAATAATTCAGTCATTTCACTCAGTGACGTAGATTTTGTGTTGTGAGAGTGAGTGAGTGAGTGAGTGAGTGAGTTTAACGCCGCTTTTAACAGTATTACAGTTATATCATGGCATGTCAGCTTAATGTGGGAGGAAAGCCCGAAGTGATGCAGGTCTCAGACGTTTACCACTTCGGTGAAACCCATGAGCACCGGTATGGTGCTGACAAACCTAGAAACATAATCTTGGCGAACAGGGATTTGAACCCACAATCAAATGTTTCTGGCGTGCCCAAGGGACGCAACTCTGCACAGTGAATCACGGCGCCTTAGACGACTGGGCCACCCGTCCCACCTTGTGTTGTAAGAGAAATACGTATAGCACTTCATCATTGTACACAGTATTGTATCAGTTGGGCCACATACAATAACTGCATGATTGTCAATATTCACTCTTGCAATAGGCGGGATTAACATATTGTTACTCCTGCCTGGGCTGAAGTGAGTGAGTGAGTGAGGTTTTACGCCGCTTTTAGCAATATTCCAGCAATATCGCGGCGGGGGACACCAGAAATGGGCTTCACACATTGTACCCATGTCGGGAATCGAACCCGGGTCTTCGGCGTGACGAGCGAACGCTCTAACCACTAGGCTACCCGACCGCCCCCCTGGGCTGAAGTCTAAGAGGACCATGGAGTTGCATACTTGTGTCCTCTGGCTGAATGTTTCACCCTGCGAGCTGCGAGCTGCCAGATGTCACTGGTATTTGATGTGTTTATTCATTAAAGCTGCTCTCAGCAATATGAAAGTTGACTATAAATAATCTTGTCTGGTCAAGACAAACTAGTGATTGATATAATGAGCAATGCCATCAGGGTACGGTGACCCACAACCAAACAAGTCGACAAGCCTCACAACTGGATCCACGTCAATCTTACTTGCTGGGGGCCTGCACATAACTTAATGGTATGATGTTAAAATGTTGAAGACAAAAGTTGTTCAGCAGAAATTTTATTATGGAACTTCTGCATGACAATGGAATCACTACTACCGTATTTGACGTAATATGCGCCCAGGGCGCTCTCAAAATTAGAGTGAGTGAGTGAGTTGGGTTTAACGCCGCTTTTAACAGTATTCCAGTTATATCGCGGCGTGTCAGCTTAATGTGGAAGAAAAGCCCGAAGTGATGCAGGTCTCAGACGTTTACCACTTCGGTGAAACCCATGAGCACGGGTATGGTGCTGACAAACCTAGAAACATAATCGGGGCGAACCAGGATTCGAACCCACAATCATAGGTTTCTGGCATGCCCAAGGGATGCAACTCTGCGAAGCAAATCTTGGCGCCTTAGACGACTGGGCCATCCGTGCCCCCTCTCAAAATTAGAAATAGGGGGCTCTTGTTAGAATATTATTTTGGTAAAAAAAATAGAGTTAAAGGATAAATTTCGTGGTTTATGCTGACAGCCTGAAATGTTTATATACGACAGATATATTTTTCCAGAATTTAATTGCTCATAACTAAGGGTGCATATAACACCCGAGTGGGTATTAGTGTACATTGTTCAATCGGAAGGGATGCTGATTGGGATTGTTCACTAGCCAATATATTAGCAAATATCGCTGTGGGGGCTTATTAGAGCGGGACGCTTATTACGTCGTATACGGTAAGTGGTTTAGCTTCTTTCCTATAAGCACATGCTTCCCCCAGTACAAAGAAAAGCCACTTTACTTACAGCTGTGAAATCTGGCCGTAGCTCTATGACCTTGTCAAGGTCAGGTAAAGCTGATCTAGACTTGCCAAGGGCGAGATATACCGTAGCTCTTCGGAAATATATCAAATAGTTACTAGGGTCACCCTCTGGAAAGACAGAATAAATAAGATAATTCAAGCAGTTGAAATCAGAGAAACATGACAATGATACAAGAATGAGTTGCGTTCAAAACTATTTTTAAGATTGCAAGTGACTTTTTTCAAAAGAATTTCAAATTTCATATAAAAAAGATGAAGCACAATGATTCATGAAATACATTTTGAGTTCTGTTTTCAAAAGACAATTATGAAAATTATACGTAAAGCACCTTTTGAGTTCTGTTAAAAAATGACCTACATTGATAATATTGTACACACCTATACATTTCATGTTCTGAAATTGCTAAGAAAAGTCTAACAACAATCTAATTAGTTCTCGCTACCGTTAAATAAAGATCTGACGACAACCCATTTTGGGTCACGTCACAACGACCTTTAATCCTATCAATCAGACCATCGCTTACCAGATCATGTACATGATAGTTGGAATGTGTTTTCAAATCAGGCAACCTTGAAAACTTTAACACGGGGTATTCTGAACAACAGTTACAGGATTTACAACTGAATCCATACAATCTAGGCCATCTATTTGCCATTCCAGAATGTTCTTCAGTTAAGTTTCAATATTTTAACCGAGAATTTGTCAAAATATGTTTTACCAGTTTGAAACTAGTGCCGTAAAGCATGAGAAAGCTGTTTTCTGATTTGATAATGACAACTTCTTGACAGTCATTCCATTGGTTGGTCAAAGTTCTCGAAAGGTCGTTCTGACATGCCCCATAATTGTGGGATATCCTCATATCGGTAGTGAGAATGAAGATCTGATTTTAATGAGATTAAACTAACAACATCTTTTCGGCTCAGAAAATAAGAATTCAGACACTGGTTGAAACATTTGAAAATATTCATAAATATATCGCGGCGGGGGACACCAGAAATGGGCTTCACACATTGTACCCATGTCGGGAATTGAACCCAGGGTCTTCGGCATGGCGAGCGAACGCTTAAACATGTTTAACCACTAGGCTAACCGACCACCCCTAAACACATACAGGAATAGGAAACAGTATACCTTTCAGTGATTTCCAGTGGTTGACTGTGGCATATGATAGCACATTATTTATTTGCTAAGTTCTCTACAAATGTAAGTGTTGGAATAAAGAGATAGGGGTTGGTCAGAAACAAGGCAGGTTTTGAGGAGAAATCCAAGATGGTGGCCAGACTCACCCACGGCTGCATGGTAGTGTGACAGTGCGTCTGCTAGCTGTCCTGCTGCTAGCAGCTTCTTGCCCATCTCCAGATGTTCCTGAACCTCATTGGATGATCCCTCCACACCTGCAAAATCAAATAGTTACCATGGTTACTATTCTTATGACTGTCATGCAAAGTAGGATTTTTTGCAGTAGACAGCAATATACAGCAATATACAGCTCTAACAGAACTGCTAGCTCTGAAAATGTTAAGTGTTTTATTGATTACAAGAGGGAGTGGGTGAGTGAGTGAGTGAGTGAAGTTTTACACCATGTTAAGCAAATTTTCCAGCAGTATCCCTGGGACACCAGAGATTGTACACCAGAGATTCATACATTGTATCCATGTCGGAAACGGAGACCAGGGCTTTGACTTGACATGCAAGCGCCTTAACAACCAGGCCACCCCTTAACTAGGAGAAGATATGGGACTAGACATATAGATCAATCACTTTATATTACATGTATACAGATCGCATGATATTTTGACAGTGATAAACATGGTTTACCATGGGGATTGACTTGGTACACACACCAGGTAATGATAATTAGGGGACGACCGTCAGTCAGGGCAGCAAAAGAAGTTGATAAGAATTGTGCAGAAGCTGGAATAGCTTAACCTGTCTGTTGCATAAATAGCTATACAAAAACTGGACTTAACATGACCTTAACATCAAAAACAAATCATTAAAATTCTTTTTCAATCTGTCATTTGAGTGTGATTGTGTGCGACCCGTGAAGATCCGGGGTAGAATAGGTCTTCAGCAACCAAACGGGATCGGGTGGTCAGACTCGCTGACTTGGTTGATGCATATGTAGCAGGGCGTGGAGTCATCCCACAGATGAGATCCTTACCTTGTCAGCTTGTTAACCTCTTTGGTCATGTGGACAAGGCGTCCGACCTCTGATCAGAAGGTCCGTGGTTCGAATCCCATCACGGGACTCGGAAATTTTATGGCCGCTACATTGGCGCCCAACGTGGGGCTGAGCACGTTCATATTAAATTTGAGCAAATTAAGCCTCAGTACCCTACTATGCGGCCCGGGACGTGCCTTCTGTTGACGGGGGAGTATGTAGCAGGGCGTGGAGTCATCCCACAGATGACATCCTTACCTTGTCAGCTTGCTGACGGGGTTAACCTCTTTGGTCATGTGGACAAGGCGTCCGACCTCTGATCAGAAGGTCCGTGGTTCGAATCCCATCACGGGACTCGGAAATTTTATGGCCGCTACACATATCATTGATCCCAATTGCGTGGATCGATGCTCATGATGTCAATCACTTGATTGTCTGGTCCAGACTCGATTATTTACAGACCGCCGTCATGTAGCTAGAATATTGCTAAGTGCGGGATTCAACAACAACAAACAAAAAAACGAGATTGTGTGCGACAGATGCTGCATCATTCGCTTGGAGTAACACGACTACTGTAAAAATATCTGTTAATTGCCAGTGGCAAGCTGGCCATCACGTTTCAATGGACAGTATCAAATATCTATAAATGCAGAATTATTCAGAAACATCTGCAGATGTCAATTTGACATTTTGTGATAATGTACATGTTCATGTAAAAATGTTTAGCAAGTTAACAAGATATTAATTCAAAGGCAATCTTGGACTGTCCGGGTCAGCGCACCTAGCGGGCTAGTGAAGGGAGATCAATTGAAAAAGATTGCCCTTTCTAACCCGGATCTTAAGGGGTGAAATCTCATAACAGTAAAATCACAATGAAGATAAATGAGAAGGATTTATCTAGAATTGCTCACATAGGCTAATATTCGGTCCCAAGTTTGCAGTAAATGACAGTACAACTTCCCAATTTGAAATAAAAAAAATCCAATTCTACAACATTTACAAAAATAAGAATTTTTTTTAGCAATATCACAAATTTGCCTGCCAAGAGCACTTCAGTATGAATCATAAATAATTCCACGAATAGTAAATGTTTCAAATCTTTATAATCTGGCTAAACTCAATGATATCACTTGCTAATCTGCAGAGATGAACATAACAGCAGCTGTCTGACTGTGCCAGGCCTACCTGAGTGGGAACATGTGGAGGACATGTGACTGCTGAACTACCAGCTTAACAATAAGGCAAATTAATCTCCCCAGGGGACTTAAACTTGCAATGTCATGTAGAGTGGAGGATTAATCTATGCCACATACACAAAGTCATTAAGTTATACTGCATTGTCTTTACCAAGCAAGCCAGGAAACGTTATTTTTTCTTAGATTTTTGTAGAAAACATTTGCATGAGTAGTGACTATTCACAACTATAATTTATAATGTCAACATTCTTGCATTAACATTATCACTTCCAAGAGGTATCCCAATTGCGTGGATCGATGCTCATGATGTCAATCAATGGATTGTCTGGTTCAGACTCGATTATTTACAGGCCGGGGTCATTTAGCTGGATTATTGCTGAGTGCAGCGTTAAACAACAAACAAACAAACAGTCTTCCAAGAGGAATGGCACATTTGAACTGGTCCTCGGCAACCTGTACATGTTGTATGACTACATGGAGGCCAAATGAATGATGTGGTCAGACTGGTGACTTGGATGATTGCTGGTCATCGTACCTTGACGGCCTTGTTCACAATATCTATAAATGGATGGTACGGATTGGTCCAGACTCAATTATTTACAGGCCACTGTCGTTCAGGTTGATTATTACCGAGTGCAGTGATAACCATCATACAATATGGCATGTACCAAGACTGATGATGGACCCCAGCTACTGGTCACAATAACAATTTCATCGTAGCTAACACTGAAAACTCATGTGCTTGATGGACTTGTAATGTCAGGTTAACTGCAATGACTAGTGAATGAAATGAACCATTGAAGGTAACATGATTGCAAGAATAAAAGACGTTTCAAATAACCTATTTTTAATTACCGTATTCGACGTAATAAGCACCCACGGCGATATTTGCTGATATATTGGCAAGTGAACAATCCCAATTTGCATCCCTTCCGATTGATCAATGTACACAAGACTTATTTATTCGGTATAATACGCACATGTGTGTTATATGCACCCTTATTTATGGGCAATTAAAATCTGGAAAAATATATCTGTCGTATATAAACATTTTAGGCTGTCAGCATAAACCACGAAATTTATCTTTCAACTATGTTTTTCTTCACCAAAATAATATTCTAATAAGAGCCCCCTAATTCTAATTTTAGGAGCGCACCGGGTGCTTATTACGTCGAATACGGTAATCACAATTCTTCACTTCAGATGCTTAAATTCTAAAGGATCATCTAAAATATCATTGTGAATGCCCTGTGAAACACAATTTCCCTGAAAATCTTTCTACTACTACTACTATATGAGAGGCTTTTTCTTGAAGCTGTTCGGGCAACGACCAATTTCTTTCCCCACTATGATCGATTTAACAACCAGCTGAAAGATTATATCTATTTACAAAAGATTTAAATTGAATGGTTTTATCCATATCTTCGAATATTCTCCAATTCCAACATTTTTATGGATAGGCCCACCTACCATGCCTACAGCAATTAGAATTTGTAACACTGACAAAAAGATGGACTAGAACTTCAGGGAAGTTAGTGGTGGTCTTGGTTCCTGGCAGATGTCGATGTTCGAAGCCACCTCTGACTCCTGATGTATATTTAGCTGATCATGCCGAGAAAGCAATATTGTACATGTGCATGTGTTTTAGGAGTCAATGCAATTTTGAACTAAATTTAATACACATTAAAACAATGTAACAATGGTAAATCATTCATGTTCATAAGTGAAGAAACATTGCAAAAAATAATTCATTAATAAATTTAGATCCCTTCCCAGCCCTGTAATGATTGAGATACCCAGAGCCAGATATATCCTATTAGTTAACCTCCTCCTGTTATTCATATCTCTTCAGGAATGATGGAACCATTGTCATCGATATATAGTCATGGACATTAAATATATTACATTAATAATAAAATGTCCATTATATTGTCAAATGTTCAAACTTTCCAACAAAACTTTTAACAGAGATGATGCTAAAATCTGAAATGTTCACTGTTTTAACATGTTTAAAGATGTCCAATAAGATAATATTACTCATGTAGTAAGTCTGAACATTAAACAGTACTTGATAAGCCAGGATTCAAAACCTTACATTACATAATAACATTGCAGTTTGTATGACAATGTTCATGAAAGACTGGGTATTAATGATACTTGTGACAGTTTAGTATGAATTATCAAACATTTTACACAATACGGCGACCAATAATTACTGAAACTATTTGTAAATTTATTATTATTATGTTTTATTCCAACATGTCCAAAACAATATAAATCTATTCAATATTACTTTCTTAAAAATAAGAAATAAGATCTACTTATATCCAAGTATTTCAGAAAACCAAACAAAAATAATTCTTCATAGAAAATCAAAGAGAACGATGAAAATATATACATGTTATATCTACACATACAGATTACACCAAATCATTAAAGCACACGTAGTACTTACTGTTTAAGAGGTATTGAAATGGCAATGGTTTTCGATTTACAAATTTAAAATAGCAACTGACAAATTTTGTACTCACCATCGCTAAGGAGATCAAGAGTAAAGATGAAGAGGGACACGGTATGAAATATTTGTATCGGCTGCGTTAACCCACTCATCTCTGATGCAAAGACACCTCAGCGTTTACTCCAGAACATCTCTCGGTTATAGACCAAGTTGACAGTACTCGTGGTCAACCTCGATTGGATAGCACGTGCACTTCCGGGTCAAACTACCAGACCACGCCAGAACGAGAATTAGATATTAAAACACCATTATTAGCTATGTTTCTATTTAGTAAATCGTTACGTATGTGGTAAAGATCAATTAATAGTTTGATTTTAGTTTCATTTCTGTAAGTTTAAAAATAAATATTTCCCATAGTGCTCAGAACGAATTCCATCATGGCGGCGATTTGAGTTGACAACCGCGACGGCAAACGTCGGATGCAGGATAAATATGTTTACAGATTTATGGTAGGAAGTGTGCCAATTATAACTAGCTCATGATGATATTTATATTGTTGTGAATCATTAGGCAACTGATGAAACCATCAAATAAAGTCAGTTCTGTATGTTTAGCTCTTGAAACGATCGCAACCTGCACGCACCTTGTCATTCATCTTTGTAACTACAGACGCTTTGTTTCTAAATAGATCATAACCTTGTCAGTGTATGCAAACTAGATATTTTCTACACCACGAAGTTGCATCCTTATATGCATTGAATATATGTAGCTGCAGTTTCTGGTACAAATAGTTTATTTTTGTTATTTAAAATGCCAATGAAGACATGTTTAGACTTGTTATCAACTTCCAAACATTCAAAATATTGAGCCAAATAGTTATTTCTTTGACAGTAGTGGAATCAGCAGCATTAAACACACCATGTAAAGGAACCTTTGGGCTGCCCAGCATGATGTTCTGAAGTGAGTTATAATTCATTAATGTTTTTGCAGTTTATCTAACTTTCAGACAAGGATGGTTAAGAGTTTATTATGTTAGATACGAAGTGCCCATCAGGGGCAAGGGTTGGCAAAGTAAACCACACAATGCATTAATACTTGTGTGATTATAATGTTGTTGCCAATGTGACAAATAAAAAGAATAACTGTTATGCTCGAAGAAAACCATGCATTGTGAAGTTGGTGATCCTATTTATACTTTGATCGAATCATGCTCAGTTTTTTTTATAAATTATATTTCAGATTAAAATCTGTAGCAACTGAAACATTTGAAAATGGCAACCCAGTTGATGTATGCCCAAGGTCAAGGAGGGTTTGGTGGCCACATGTATGACCACGGAGGGCATGCTGGTAAAAATGGAAGCAGCTTTGCATTCAGAAAACGTTTTGAGAGGGTTGACTGGAGAAAAATTGCATCAGTTGACGTTGACCACATATCAAGAACTCTTGACTTCAATGCCCTCCAAGAAAATATCATGAATATCACATTTTGCAACATTGAAACTGAACTGGTATGTACATGATGTAGACAGGGTATACCATACATTTGTCAACTTATTTTGTTAAAATCACTTTGTAAAATACATGATGTATTTGATCTGAAATATTGTAATTAATCATGAAATTTACATATTTGCATGCAGGAAATTGGAATGTTTTGCAAAATAAAAAATCATTTGATATAAATTTTTTAATAACAAGTCCTAATAAACATGAAAATGCCAGTCAAAAAGGGTTTCTCAGTCTTCAGCCATCTTGTCAAAGAGGTCACAAATGATTTTGAAAGAATTGGCAGATCCATTTGTTGTTTTATCCCAGGAATCGCATCATCATATCACTGACATACTTTCCAGATGCAGTTTAAGGTTCTTGTAGGCCATTTGGAATTCTTTCTTGGCTTAATAATTAATACCAAATTGGACTGTATATTGTAGGTTCAATGTGACCACTAACCTTGACAGAGACTAGTGAAAAGAAACAATCAGCAGTTTTCACCTAAAATGTGTACTATGCTGGTAATGTTATATTGAATGTGTTGTCTGAATTGAACTGTGGACTAGTCAGCAGTCAGATGTAAGTCTACCATTATTTCTACCACTGACTACTGTAGTACTTATTTGCATCATATTTCCTTTGCAGGACCTGCGAATGGTGGATCCCAACTTTGTAAAATTGTTTAAATTAGCGCAACTTACGATAGAGTATCTGTTGGTGAGTAATAGTACTTCAAATTCAACTTACTCAATTGTACATGTATCATCTTGTTCTCGTCGCTATATGGCTGAAATAATGCCATTGAGAAGCTAAAGTTTAACTCACTCACTCACTCACTCATTTGTCATATTGGGGCGGTAGGGTAGCCTAGTGGTTAAAGCGTTCGCTTGTCACGCCGAAGACCTGGGTTTGATGCCCGACATGGATACAATGTGTGAAAACCATTTCTGGTGTCCCCAGCCGTGATATTGCTGGAATATTGCTAAAGGCGGCGTAAATCATACTCACTCAAATTTATTAATGTTCATAATAACATGTTGTTTGATACATAACTCATCCCTTATTACTTGTATCTGTTGTCCTTGCAGAAACATTTATGTGTACATGTTTATATTGACAGCACTCTCAAGATTATTTGGCTGGACTCGTTGCTTCTAATGAAGAAAAAGCGAAAAAGGAGAAGGAGGTAAGACAATAACAACATACATTCAATTGTGTCCTCAGAATAAAATGTCATGTAAGTCCAGTCATCCCTGATTGCAAATTGGTCTGCTCAAAGTGAACAAAGCCCTTTTTGAGGTCTCCTGACACAAACATTTATGAGTCCAGCTAGTCCACTAGCTCTCAAAATGATAACATATTGCTAAACCAGGGGTCCGGAAACCGTCATATGCGCCGGACATGTCCGTCTGGGAATCTTAAATGTCCGTTTTAAAATATTGCTTACCGAACATTTTAAAAAGTATTGTCCGGACATTCTTAAATTTTGACCGGACATGATCAACAGTTAGGACTGAGCAGTTTCTGTCTGCAGTTGCAACACAATGAAGATTAACTACACTGACAAGCTTTGTTTGTTTTGATTGCTGTAAATACATCGTACCTACATGATAGTCCAATCTGTCAATCACTGTAATAGGCAATAAACTGAGTTGACACTGATTAATCGAGGATTAATTACTGAGAACATCTTGTTAATTTGAGTGAAAGGTGTTTACAACTGTACATTAATACCTTGCATCATCGATGTACCTCATAATCCTCACAATGCGTAACCTCAGACAATAAGCGAAAGCGTGACGACAGGCAGTCGACCGATGCAGATCAGTCGAGCGGATCTGCCAAACCCTCAAAGTCTGGACGATCATTTTGTAAGTCGTGGCTAACGACTTTCACTTGGTTGGCATACAATGAGGATTTGCAGATTTTATTGTTTTCAGTAGCTAGTCGTATATTGAATCTTGATTGACCGCCATTTTGCTTTCTCGGACGATCGATATCCAATTTTTTTATGGTCAATAATTAAGTACAGATGAAAAAAGTATTCAAATAACTATTGCTATCAACGATATTTTAGTATTTGTGATTAAATTATCTGTCTTGTTTTTAAAAAAATCTTTAGTTTAAAAAAAACCTTTTCCCGTGAGGTCACGTGATAACCAAATATGGGATAATAGTCTCGATCCAAATGTTACAACGCGTACACTTGAGCAGACTCATGAATATAACTCATGAATATTAATTAGACCGGTCACTACGTTAACAGATCGTTATTATAACAGAAACAAACGTATTTTTTCGATGTAAATCTAAAATGATATTATTTGTTATTAACTGTCCGGTGAATTAAACAATTTAAATTGAAACAATTAATAATTCATCATATTATGAATACGTAAACTTGTAATGTGTGTGAAAAGTTGTACTAAAATACGCTATTTGAAGGGGGCGTGGCCTAAATGCAAATGTCCGATTGGGATTTTAAATTTTCCGGACCCCTGTGCTAAACCCTTAAAAATGGCAAATGGGCATGTTTGGCGAGGACTCAGGACCAGTGCCAGTTTCTAACACTTCAGTGTGTGAAGATGGGAGTCCACTTTATATTGAAACAAGGATGTACACATGTATTTCAACAATGCAAAGGTACTGTTATGTCACAATCTCATTAAAATCAGATCTAGTTCTTGCTACAGCTAAACAAAGATCCGAGGACATCCCATTACAGGTCACGTCAGACCGATGTTGTGCAAACTTTGATTGACCAATGGAATGACCAATCAGAAGGCAGCTTTCTCGTGCTTTACGGCACAAATTTCAAATTGGCGACTACGCTTCGAAACATATTTTGACAAATTCTTGATTACGAATTTGAAACCTGAACAAAAGAAATTTCTGGAATGGCTAATAGATGGTCTACATTGTATGGAATCAGTCGTTAACTATCGTTCGGAGTTAGAGTTTTCGATGTTGTATGATTAGAAATCACATTCCGACTGTCACTTTCATAATCTGGTAAGCGTTGCTCTGATTGGTCACATGAAAGGTCGTTCTGACGTGACCCCTAATGGGATGTCCTCAGATTTTTGTTTAGCGGTAGCGAGAACTGAGGTCTGATTTTAATGTGATTGTGTTATGTCATTTCATGCCAAATGTTATTTTCAAAAGAGGTGTGGTAATTGGAGGTAGGGTTCAATTTTTAAGTCTATGTTTTTTATCTGCTTCATATCAGTTCTAGATTAACTTAAAATATGTCATAAGAATACTCCTATATGTGGCTGTAATGAGCAGACATCCTTGTTAGAAGGGGATGTAGGGATTACTTCTGTGTGAGTCTACAATTCTCAACATGCTTTTCCAGGAGCACAATGAGCTCCAGAAGCAGGTGGAGAAACTGCAGCAGGAGCTCAGTGATGTCAAGAAGGAGAGTCACAAGAGGAAGAAGCTTCTCATGGCTCAGCAGCAAATGATGCATGCTGGCTCCGGCAGCTATAATAAGGTCAGAGTTATCTCCCTTTGTTGTGGTTGAAATTTGAATCTCCATCACTAGGTCATAACTTCCTTTGGTGTTGTTTTGTGTAAGTGTGACTGTGATGTTATTGTTTGTGGGGAAGAAACCTTTTGAGTTCACATTCTGTAGAAGATAGTGATTGGAGACATTGGAGTAAAATGTCACACAAACCAAGTCATCCATGACTGCAAGTAGTTCTGTACTGTGATGATTATTGTTGGGGACCAGTGCTTTTTAATAGGTTAGGTTTGTGTTCACATGTGCTTTATTATAGGTTAGGTTTGTGTTCACACATGCTCTATAAGTTAGGTTTGTGTTCACATGTGCTTTATAATAGGTTGGCATGTGTTCACATGTGCTTTTTAATATGTTAAGTTTGTGTTAACATGTACTTGATATTAGGTTAGGCATGTGTTCCACATGTGCTTTTTATAGGTTAGACATCAGTTCACACAGGTTTTTTTATAGGTTGGCATGTGTTCACAAGTACTTCATTGTAGGTTAGGCATGTGTTCACATGTATTTTATATTAGGTCAGGCATGTGTTCACATGTGCTTTAAAATAGGTTAGGCATGTGTTCACATGTGCTTTAAAATAGGTTGGCATGTGTTCACAAGTGCTTTGTAATAGGTTGGTATGTGTTCACAAGTGCTTTATAATAGGTTAGGCATGTGTTACATGCTTTATGATAGGTTAGGCATGCATTCATATGTGCTTCATGATAGGTTAGGCACTTTATATACCGGTAAGGTCATGCATGTGTTCACATGTGCTATATAGTAGGTTAGGTTTGTGTTCACAAGTGCTTTATTATAGTTTGGCATGTGTTCACACATACTTTATGATAGGTTAGGCATGTGTTCACACATGCTTAATAATAGGTTAGGCATGTGTTCACATGCTTAATGATAGGTTAGGCATGCATTCATATGTGCTTTATGATAGGTTAGGCATGTGTTCACAAGTGCTTTATAATAGGTTAGGCATGTGTTCACATGTACTTTATAATAGGTTAGGCATGTGTTCACAAGTGCTTTATAATAGTTAGGCATGTGTTCACATGTGCTTTATAATAGGTTAGGTTTGTGTTCACATGTGCTTTATAATAGGTTAGGCATGTGTTCACATGTGCTTTGTAATAGGTTAGGCATGTGTTCACAAGTGCTTTATAAGAGGTTGGCATGTGTTCACTTGTACTTTATGATAGGTTAGGCATGTGTTCACACATGCTTAATAATAGGTTAGGCATGTGTTCACATGTACTTTATCATAGGTTAGGCATGAACTTTAGGAAACGGGTGTAAAATATCTGTTGCTGGCGTATGGGTACTTGAAAAAAGACATTCTTTAATGCATTGTGATTTATCGTCGCCCCTGTAGGCTGGTGGTACACTCGCTGGGCTAAAGATATGAAGGTTGCATGCTCGATCCGCAGGAATATAAATAAAACATTTGTCATTTGATTTTACATTTTATTTCATTGTGTTCAAATGCAAAATGAATTTCTAGCAAGAAACATTCATATGTTACAATATTAAATGGAAGTTGTATTAATAAAATCACTGGGATATTTTATAAAATCCTGGGGATATTAATAACATATCATTTAACAAATATCCCGGGGATATTATATTAAACCCCAGGGATATTATAACTACCCTGTTTATGATATTTAACCTGGCTGGAGAACAATAGGATGATGTCACTGGAGGTTTAATATATAGGCCAGGCATGTGTTAAGTGGGCTGAAGAAATCAGCATGACCAATTGAAGTGATGTAAATTAATGGAGGTTTTAGATTTAAAGAATATATTAGCTTGCAAGGCCCAGTGACTTCCATGATGAGACTGTCTATGCAGAGTTGTGTCCCCTAGCTGCTGGGCTCTCAAGCTCCTCACAGCGATATCCCGTTTGCTGAGCTCTCTATACTATCGCTACCAGCAGTCAAAGCTCCCCACTGTGATAGGTGGCTACAACCATGCTTGGATTTGAACTCGCAACTGACTGACCCTTATGTTTTGAAACAAGTGACGGCTGCCGTGGCGCTGAATACTGTATCTATCCCTGCTTAATTATTTTCTTTGTCAGTTTGAATGTCTGTTTCATTACAACTATCAAGGGGGAAGTTGGTTGATTTTCCGATCAAACAACAAAAAAGTAAATTCATATGTGAAATATGGTCACTTGTTAACCTTTGAAAAATTAACTGATGGCATTCTCAAAGATATAAACAAAAGTATAAGCAAAAGTATAAACGTTACTACATTTGGGGTTAGAGGGCAAATGAAGGTGTCACGCTCTGGGAAGGAGCTTGCTGGGCTCTGTTGGATTTGTCCCATGCTCACCCTGATATCTAAGGCACCAGAATTTGGAGTGCTGAGTTATTTCCCTTAGTTGTGGAAAGATCCTCTGATTGTTGAATCCACGTAATAGGACAGATAATGATCCCTGTTCTATCACCATACCTGTGCTTGTGTGGACAGCTCCCTGTCTTCCATGGCTTTAGGCTTTCCTCCCAGATGAAGCTGCAGTGGTATAACTGAAGTACTGTTTAAAGTTGTATTATGATCTCAATAAAATAACTACAGCAGTTATGTAGTCATTTCAGTTCAGACAGTTCGGAGTGCAAACATGCTAGCGCTGACAGTATTCTTCCTTGAAGATCCGGGGTAGAATTGGTCTTCAGCAACACATTCTTGCCGTAAAAGGCTACTATGCTTGTCGTAAGAGGCAACTAACGAGATCGGGTGGTCAAGCAAGCTGACTTGGTTGATGCCTGTCATCGAGCCCAATTGCGTGGATCGATGCTCATGATATCAATCACTGGATTGTCTGGTCCAGACTCGATTATTTACAGACCCCAGTCATATAGCTGGAATATTGCTGAGTGCGGTGTTAAACAACAAACAAACAAACAAACAAAGTATTCTTCCATTTCAGTGTCCATACTGCACGAAGGCATTTCTGAACAGCTCCTTCCTCCAGTCCCACATCACTCGTCGCCATGGAGGCTCGGTGGGTGTGTCCAAGTCATCTAGCCCCACCCATGGAGGCAGCATCAATCAGACATTGGAGCTGGAGCTGCAGGCAATCAAAGAGAGGCTCCATATGACAGAATCACAGCTCAAGGATGAACGCAAAATGTTGGATTCACTGAAAAACAAAGTAAGTAGTAATAAGTGGTAATACCATGAAGTTTTTGACATGGGGCAAATTGATAATAAAGCTGGTCATGCCGATTTACATCTTCCCGAGGCAAGGGAGTTACGTGACTGTAAAAGTCCAGTTTCCAACCTTGCCGAACTAGGCTTGAATTTCTGGGCTCGATCGTAGCGCCACCGGTGGCTATTACGAGTTATGTCCCTTCTATGTCTCTCCTATTGAGCAATCAGATTCCACCTCTCATATCACTTGCATTTGCTTCAAACAAAATGGTGGCGCTCAGTCAAGACGATCTGATTCATAATCTTTATTTATTTTGTAATAGACCGTCTCCGTGGTCCAGTGGTTGAGCGTTCACCTGGAGAGCGGAAGGTCCGGGATTCGATCTCCAGCCGCGTCATACCAAAAGACGTTAAAAGATACTGGTTAACTCGAAGTCAGTATACTGTGTCCGAGTGGGGTATTGATGTTAAACTGCGGCATGGTATCTCAGTGAGCTAGCACTATAAATCGGCATCAGTCCGGACTAGTACAAGCAGCCACTCACACACTCATCATGCTCATGCATGCAAGTCGTTATATAAGTGCAAAATTGGACCCGACATTAAACCCCATTTCACCTCACCTATTTTGTAATAAAATTGGTCTTACCTTGCGAAGTCCATCAAATCCCTTTCGCACCTTGATGAAAAAAACACGAAAAAATTTGGTAAATATCTGTTTATGCCCAGTTGACAGTACACATGCTTTGCAAATACTGCAATTTAGCGAAATATGCTCGGCAGTTATGAGTCAGATGTCGATTTCGTTACACGATTTTGATTGGACTCTGCATAGACTCTTTAGTCCAGCCAAAACGTAACTCTGTAATTCCAGCCTAGTTCGGCAAGTGTGGAAACTGGACTTATCGTCAGTTACCTCCCTTGTCTAGGGAATATGTATGCATCGGTGCACTAATGAATCATGGTTACAAAATCCTGGATTATGTCATTGTGTGTACAGGTAAGCGTTCCCAGCAGTTTAATGGATTAATGGATGCTGGACAAAGTTTCACTGTATTATGATGGTTGATATTTTGATACATGTGATACATGGAGAGTACAAATGTTTAATGTCATTTTTCAGGAGAATAAGATATCATCTGTAGTGACGGCGCACATGCAGGCGTACAGGGAGTCGGAGGGCGGAGACCATGAGGTACCTCAGCCTGTATTGTTTACTGTCAACAAACAGTTCAAGCTGTGATCATGCACTTAATAATCAGTGCATTTATAATGTGCCAGATTCCATTCACCAAGTGGATACTCATAGCGCTACACTTTTATTACCCCGGTCAATGAATCAATGAGCACTCGATTTTCATTCTCAGCTCCCTGGGGAGTATACAACTCAAGCTGCCTGTGAGGCGCTAGAAGGTTAACAGCCACATTACCGTCTCATCCTACCGGGTACCCTCTCACTGCTGGGTGGACAGAGGCACATTTCGAACAAAGTCACTTACCTAAGGAGACATCACATGTGGTACATGTGCTTCAGTGTGGGGCTGTTTCTTTAAGATGACAGGAATTGAGTTTTTTGTGTCAGTCTGGTACGTCCAGAAGTACTGAATGTAGGCAATCATGTGGGGCAATTTATCCAAACCCAGTGCTATAGTGTTTCAGTGAATGCGGAGTCATTTTAATGTTTGAATCACTATGTGTGCTTAAATTTGTTGCAGTGACTATGTAATCATGGTAAGATTTTTTGTGTTTCAGGAGATCGAGAGAGTGAAGGAAATGTTTATGAAAGAACTTCAGGATGTCAATCAAAAGTATATGTCCTCCGAGCAGGCTCTTGTGGAGTTGGAAACTAGATTCGGTGGTAAGAAAATGTTGCTCCAAAATATATATTCTTTTAAGGGACAGGATGTCGACCATTCTGAAGCTTTGTTGGTCAACACACTAGCCGATAACCCCCGAGTTTACTCTGCTCTGCTTGTCTTATTGTGTTTCTGCTCCAGTGGCCACTTTGCGGGTGTTGGCTTATCACGTGACCAGACTCACTTATTGTGAAATAGGAACAGACAGGCCTAATGCAAGCCTTTCGGTGCGCTATACATATGTTGTTTTGCATAATTATATAGATACACTACTACAACTCCGATAGTGAGGTGCATAACAATATTGCTATAGAAAAAGCTTTAGAAAACACTCCGAAACATCGACATACTGTCCCTTTCATCTTTGTGTGTACTGAAACAAAGTAGAGAAAGCTGATGTTTAGAATGCTGTATTGTTTGACACTATGACCTAAACTGGTATCAGGTTGGATTTGAATTGATACTGTAAATCTTGAAAGTAACACGAGCGTGAATTAAATGCGAAAAATGCGAGTGGTCTTTGCTCGCATTATTAAACATCGCATTTATATCAACAATAAGACATTTTGGATAGCAGAAATACCAACTTAGACATACGCTGAAAACAAACAACTATATATTCCACATTACTGTTCATTGAGCAGCACTTGTAACAAGTACAGTCAAGCCTCGTTAATCAGACACTCGTTAATTCGACAATCGGCTTTATCCGACACTAATGTTGGGAACCGATTAAATCAGTGCTATTTAGACTCGTTAATCCGACAGTCTCGCACTCCGACTCTGACACACCTAATTTGCAACCAATTACCGAAATCACTCATTAAAAATCAGTCTCGTTAATCCGACACAGTGATCAGCGTACTCCGTGGTCATCTGCTCGGGAGTACACAGCCCGTGTTATGATGTAAGACGAGTTGGCTGGTAGACTTACAAACCTTTAAAGCACTAGGCATATATCTAATCAAAACAGGCCTACTTGGCCGCATTTAAGAATAAAAGTACAACAAACAAGCTGCCAATAAACCCTAAATTTCTAAACCTATAAAAACACACAAACTCCTTTTAGTTTCCCCCCCACCCCTCCCCCCTACCTCCACCTTTTATGGCATATTTCAAAAATCCAAAATTGCTCCCCAAATTAAGTAAGCAACCCTAAAGAGCCCCACCTTGGTTGCCTCACCTTTTCGGACATACCCTTTTCGACCAAACACTAAATGGCCTGGCGGGCCTGTGCGTGAAATACGCGAAATACGCGAAATACGCCTGTGCGCGAAAGCGCACGTTAAATTCCTAATTTAAGTTAGTAAGTGTGTGGAAGGATTAATGTAAAGTTGGATTGAGGTGAAGATTCGCCTGTAAACCCGAAAGAGGACATTTTCTTTAGATATACACTGATGCTTGAGAGGAGGGGGGTGTCGCATTCATATTCATTATTGAGTCGCATTTTTGGCTAGGGGCCAGTGGTCGCATTCTTTTGGAGATGCATTAATTTCACCATTTACAGTATTTTTGTCTGGCCTCTCTGTTTTGAGAAAAGGATTGCAGTGATGGAAAGAAAAATATTTTGTCTTCAACAAATCCCATCATCCCCCCCCCCCCCTAAGAATATTACATTGTGGGTCACCTCATGTATCTTTTGTCTGATCCAGCTAAAAGGTCAAACTTGGGCGACATCCTGGATGACGATGATAATGAGAAGAGCTTCCTACAGCGTCAGAAAGATGGTGTTCTCTTGCTGAAGGAGGAGTTACAGCACCAGGTAAGGAGATAAAAGAGGGGAAATGGAAAAAAAGGCATAAACATGTCACAACAATGTGGCAATTAGAAAGAGAATGAGTTGCCACGTGTTCAGCGCATGTGGGTCAACCGGCAGGAAAAGCATGCATGACCCTGATTGCTGGGAGGTGACCATGGTGATGCTAAGTGTGTTCGGGTGAACTGTTTTTTTAAGAAGTTGGAAACCTTTGTTTAGGCATTTTTCTACTTAGGATTGAAAAGAAAAGGAAAGAAATGCAAAGTGTGAGATAGAATGAGTATTATAAATGTACAGTTTATTATAAAATTTACAATTTCTTTCTTCAGAAGTCCCTTGTGTCTGTGAGTTTGAGGGTCGTAGTGACACTGACCTGTGATAATGAATAATGATGCAGAGGTTTACCTGGGCTTCCCTGTCTGGGACTCTCGATCATGCTCCTCGGGGCCTAGGCAGGGAAATAGGAGACCTGATGGGACCACTGTACCAGCAACATTTGATATATAGTATCATCATGATCATGTATACATGAATCTGTAAGCTAATCTCAGATGTACGTTTCCTTGTTTGGAGCAAAACTTAGGAATTGAGTGAAGAATAAAGAACATGATAAGTCTATGATAATGTGAATGTCATTGTAGGTTCTGACAGTCGAGTCTAAGCTGAAGACAGAGTTGGACAAACAGGATAAGAAATGGCAGAAGAAGGTTCACAAGATGACGAAGCAGCACGCTGATGAACTGAGGAAGGTGGGTACTTCCATGTTGGTTTGTGTTGTGTGTGTTGTGTTGTTTAGTGCTGCACTCAGTGGTGTCTGGACCCTATCAGTCAGTCATTTAATTAGTGTGCAACTATCCACACTGCTGGGGTACCATTTTACACAGTCAACCAAGTTGGGGGTGGGGCAGGTGTGTGTGTGTGTGTGTGTGGGGGGGGAAATTCTACCTGGAATCCCCATGGGGGGTAAGTGATCATTTGGGTGGTGGCCTCTTACAAGCAGTATAAGTTGATGGGGACCAATTCTACCCGGAAATCCAGTGTGGGGGGGTGACCGATCAATTATGTGGCCCGGAATCCACACGAGTGTCAGCAGAGTACTAATTTCAGGGTTAGAAATTAACACTAGCCCGCTAGCCCGAGGCTAGAACAAATTCATTCGGGCTAGTACAAATTTCCCCGTTGTTTTAATATTGCAAAGTCATTTTATCTTTACCGGGGCTAGTGAAGCTTTTGAGTTTAGTTCTAACCCGGAATGTACCCCTCATAAATGATACCTTGTTATGATGTCCAGGGGTCTAATTATGAAATATATTTACATTATCTAACGACATATACCATTTTCATCAATTGTGTTTTATATAAAATCTGTGTTGGCATTTATTGTTACATGATGGTCCAACTTTACATTCTGATGGAAATTCAAAATATGACTGAATAGCACACCGATGTTCACATATCAGTTTCCTAGCTTGTAAAGGACGTCCATCTTCCATTGTGGATGTGGGAAACAAACCTCAGTTCTTGGCTATTCATCTATAAGGCTGAAAAATAATAGTCTTGGTTCTCAGGCACTGCCCGCATCATCACAAAGTCCGCAAAACGTTTCCTTTTTTTTTCCTGTTTCAAAGAAATAAAAAAATCCTAATACTTAAAAGCAATGTGATCCAATATAGCACACAGTTACTTCCCTTTAAATGTGCACTGCTTTACTGCGCATCTCGTGTAATGGTCATAGCGGCAATAGGAGTTTGTATGCTTGTTTATGTAGGGAGGCCATAATCTAGGTAAATGGTACTCAACTGTTTATTTGGTTACATACTAGTTTGAACAAGCAAACAAAAAGCAACATCCACCGCTCGCCCACATTATATTTTCAAAAGTCATTGCCTGAGAATTAATTCTTTTACTTTTTTAAGACTAATAGCTTCATCTATTTTCCTCCCCCATTAGATGTGATGGAGACAAGGACTTATCATGCTCAACTGCCATTGTGCCCATACAATCCTCATTCTGGTTTGTTTTTATACAGTGGAACTGTTAACAAGGGATTTCTTTAGAGTTGAGCTGCTGTTTATCCTTGTGTATTGTTGTCTCATGCTGCAGCTGAATGATGCCCTAGAACACACAAGTCGGGAGACAGGGAGACGTGCCACCACACCGGAGGCTCGACAACAGCAGCAGCAAGTAGAGAACCTACTCAGGGTATGACAGTAGATGTGTGTGTGTCTATTATAGTCTTGGTCAAGTAGAGAACCTACTCAGGGTATGACAGTAGATGTGTGTGTGTGTCTATTATAGTCTTGGTCAAGTAGAGAACCTACTCTGGGTATGACAGTAGATGTGTGTGTGTCTATTATAGTCTTGGTCAAGAGGAGAACCTACTCAGGGTATGACAGTAGATGTGTGTGTGTGTCTATTATAGTCTTGGTCAAGTAGAGAACCTACTCTGGGTATGACAGTAGATGTGTGTGTGTCTATTATAGTCTTGGTCAAGAGGAGAACCTACTCAGGGTATGACAGTAGATGTGTGTGTGTGTCTATTATAGTCTTGGTCAAGTAGAGAACCTACTCTGGGTATGACAGTAGATGTGTGTGTGTCTATTATAGTCTTGGTCAAGAGGAGAACCTACTCAGGGTATGACAGTAGATGTGTGTGTGTGTCTCTAATAGTCTCTGTGAAGTAGAGAACCTACTCAGGGTATGACAGTAGATGTGTGTGTGTCTCTAATAGTCTTGGTCAAGTAGAGAACCTACTCAGGGTATGACAGTAGATGTGTGTGTGTCTATTATAGTCTTGGTCAAGTAGAGAACCTACTCCGGGTATGACAGTAGATGTGTGTGTGTGTCTATTATAGTCTTGGTCAAGTAGAGAACCTACTCTGGGTATGACAGTAGATGTGTGTGTGTCTATTATAGTCTTGGTCAAGAGGAGAACCTACTCAGGGTATGACAGTAGATGTGTGTGTGTGTCTATTATAGTCTTGGTCAAGTAGAGAACCTACTCTGGGTATGACAGTAGATGTGTGTGTGTCTATTATAGTCTTGGTCAAGAGGAGAACCTACTCAGGGTATGACAGTAGATGTGTGTGTGTGTCTCTAATAGTCTCTGTGAAGTAGAGAACCTACTCAGGGTATGACAGTAGATGTGTGTGTGTCTCTAATAGTCTTGGTCAAGTAGAGAACCTACTCAGGGTATGACAGTAGATGTGTGTGTGTCTATTATAGTCTTGGTCAAGTAGAGAACCTACTCCGGGTATGACAGTAGATGTGTGTGTGTGTCTATTATAGTCTTGGTCAAGTAGAGAACCTACTCGGGGTATGACAGTAGATGTGTGTGTGTCTATTATAGTCTTGTTCAAGTAGAGAACCTACTCAGGGTATGACAGTAGATGTGTGTGTGTCTATTATAGTCTTGGTCAAGTAGAGAACCTACTCAGGGTATGACAGCAGATGTGTGTGTGTCTATTATAGTCTTGTTCAAGTAGAGAACCTACTCAGGGTATGACAGTAGATGTGTGTGTGTCTATTATAGTCTTGGTCAAGTAGAGAACCTACTCAGGGTATGACAGCAGATGTGTGTGTGTCTATTATAGTCTCTGTCAAGTAGAGAACCTATTCAGGGTACGACAGTAGATGTGTGTGTGTCTATTATAGTCTTGGTAAAGTGGAGAACCTACTCAGGGTTTGACAGCAGATGTATGTGTGTCTATTATAGTCTTGGTCAAGTAGAGAACCTACTCAGGGTATGACAGCAGATGTATGTGTGTCTATTATAGTCTTGGTCAAGTAGAGAACCTACTCGATAATGTTCAAGACAACTTTTTCTAAACTGTTGATTTTCTGTTTAGTGCAATTCCCCATCATAAATAGATCCCAACATTTTGAGCATTTAGAAAATGAGACAGATTAACAGAATCTTTTTTAAGCATGGTTAAATGTAAAAAAAAGTATTGATACACATGACGATGAGCAAAATACATCAGACATGGTCGTTCATTGTTGCAATGCAGCATGTGGTGTTAACAGAGGTGTTCAGATTAGAAACACATTCAGTTCAAAGACTGCTTCTCCCTGATTGTTGGGGGCGTTGTTACCCAAGGTCCTGGCTGTAACCGTAAGGAGATTACAGGTGAGATTGTTGAACTCTGTTGTTGCATATTCCAGAGGTCGCGGGAGCAGGAGAAGATGTTGACCTCTCAGGAGGAAATATTGAAGAAGGAAGTTGACAAACCAGTAAGTGTGTAAAACATGCATGAAGTCTGGGGTAGTTCTGGGAGGATTCCTGTTAATGTCTGTGATGCCAGTGGAATGATTCTGGATACATTGAAATGTTCCTTGAAAACACCAAGATTAAAATCATTAAGGAATGAAATGAAATATCAAAACCAGTCATTGTTTACCTACCCATCAGTGAAATTAGGAGTTACATGACCCTTGATAAGTTAAAAGTTTTGTGGGTCAGGGATTAAAATGCCATGGTACTAAATCTTAAGGACCCGGTCACTCCCCTTGATTTTGTACATTTTTTACCATTCATTGTAATGCGCTTGTTTAACATGTTTGAGATGTTTGATTTCAACTTTTCTACAACCTTGTATATCCAGTGTATCATAATTTCTTTCTGCCATGGTATACACCCTGCAGGGTTAGAACTTAACATGGGCCCGCTAGCTCGAGGCTAGTGTGTGTGTGTGTGTGAGTTGGGTTTCACGCCGCTTTTAACGGTATTACAGTTATATTGCGGCTGGTCAGCTTAATGTGGGAGGAAAGCCCAAAGTGATGCAGGTCTCCGATGTTTACCACTTCTGTGAAACCCACGAGCACGGGTATGGTGCTGACCATGCTGACAAACCTAGAAACATAATCAAGGCGAAGCAGGATTTGAACCCACAATCATAGGTTTCTGGCGTGCCCAAATCGCGGCGCTTACAAATTCCTGGGGGCTTGTACAAATTTCCAAATTTCTCCATTGTTTTAGCCATTGAAAACGTTACAAGGGCCTGTTATCTTCACCCAGGCTAGGAAAGTTTTTGCGTTTAGTTCTAACCCTGCCCTGGACCCATTCGCTTCGTTTAGATTCAATGGACACTGCTGAAAATAGCCATCCAATCAAATAACCATGTTCTGTTACTTTTTTGCATGAGATAGAAATTCTGTGCTTAGTTAGTTATTAGAGAGTTGGAGATGTAATGTCAATACCAAAAACAAGCTATGGTGTTGAATGGGTAGTGGGTTTATCATAGTAGAATGGAGATGTAATACTCAGGATAGCTGAGGTCTTACAACCCGTTGAAGCTGAGAGCTGCAGTGACTGAACTTTGTCTTCAGATCGTCACGTCCCAGGTAACTCACCTGTCCATCCCCAAGTCTCCCCGTCCCCCACGCCCCTCATCACCTGGCAGGATGATGAGCATGGTGCCCAGTGATGAGGATGATGAAAGCACAAGTAAGTTGTTGACTACAGGAAGGCTTGTGGTGGAGACAAGCAGCACATCAGAGAATTCTAATGACTAGAGCTTCAATGATACTTTGTCGCGGCACTCTACTTACCGTGGTAGTAAGATATTTTGATAGTAAGGTTGTGATATGTTGCATATCATAGTAGTAAGGTTGTGATATGTTACATATCTTGATAGTAAGGTTGTGATATGTTGCATATCATAGTAGTAAGGTTGTGATATGTTACATATCTTGATAGTAAGGTTGTGATATGTTGCATATCATAGTAGTAAGGTTGTGATATGTTACATATCTTGATAGTAAGGTTGTGATATGTTGCATATCATAGTAGTAAGGTTGTGATACATTACATATCTTGATAGTAAGGTTGTGATATGTTGCATATCATTATAGTAAGGTTTTGATACGTTACATATCTTGATAGTTAGGTGGCGATATGATACAAATCTTGATAGTAAGGTCGTGATGTGATACAAATCTTGATAGTAAGGTTGAGACATGGTGCAAATCTTGATAGTAAGGTCGTGACATGATGTAAATCTTGATAGTAATGTTGTGATATGTCATGTTGGGAGAGCTAATGGACATACCTAAGTGATACATTTATTTGGGGTGAAACGATACAAGGTCACAATATGATACGTATCATGATACACAGGTCACCATATGATACATATCATGATACACGGGTCACTAAACATATCATGATACACAGGTCACCATATGATACATATCATGATACACAGGTCACTATAAGTATCATGATACATAGGTCACCATATGATACATATGATACACAGGTCACTGTACGTATCATGATACACAGGTCACTATACCTATCATGATACACAGGTCACTTTACGTATCATGATACACAGGTCACCATACGATACATATCATGATACACAGGTCACTATACCTATCATGATACACAGGTCACTATACATATCATGATACACAGGTCACCATACGGTACATATCATGATACACAGGTCACTATACGTATCATGATACACAGGTCACTATACCTATCATGATACACAGGTCACTATACGTATCATGATACACAGGTCACCATACGATACATATCATGATACACAGGTCACTATACGTATCATGATACACAGGTCACTTTACATATCATGATACACAGGTCACTATACGTATCATGATACACAGGTCACTATACATATGATACACAGGTCACTTTACATATCATGATACACAGGTCACTATACATATCATGATACACAGGTCACTATACGTATCATGATACACAGGTCACTATACGTATCATGATACACAGGTCACTATACATATCATGATACACAGGTCACCATACGATACATATCATGATACACAGGTCACTATACGATACGTATCATGATACACAGGTCACTATACATATCATGATACACAGGTCACTATATGTATCATGATACACAGGTCACTATATGTATCATGATACACAGGTCACTATATGTATCATGATACACAGGTCACTATACGATACATATCATTATACACAGGTCACTATACGTATCATGATACACAGGTCACTATACGTATCATGATACACAGGTCACTATACATATCATGATACACAGGTCACCATACGATACATATCATGATACACAGGTCACTATACGATACGTATCATGATACACAGGTCACTATACATATCATGATACACAGGTCACTATATGTATCATGATACACAGGTCACTATATGTATCATGATACACAGGTCACTATATGTATCATGATACACAGGTCACTATACGATACATATCATTATACACAGGTCACTATACGTATCATGATACACAGGTCACTATACCTATCATGATACACAGGTCACTATACATATCATGATACACAGGTCACTATACGATACATATCATGATACACAGGTCACTATACATATCATGATACACAGGTCACTATACGTATCATGATACACAGGTCACTATACGTATCATTATACACAGGTCACTATACATATCATGATACACAGGTCACTATACCTATCATGATACACAGGTCACTATACCTATCATGATACACAGGTCACTATACGTATCATGATACACAGGTCACTATACGTATCATTAAACACAGGTCACTATACATATCATGATACACAGGTCACCATACGATACATGTCATGATACACAGGTCACTATACATATCATGATACACAGGTCACTATATGTATCATGATACACAGGTCACTATATGTATCATGATACACAGGTCACTATACGTATCATGAATGGCATGGGAACTTCTTAATATAAATATTTCAGAGCAGGTTCAAAAGGAAAAGCTAACTGTAGACACATGTTCGTAGCGGCTTTTTTTAGTAGTTAATTGGAAATGCAAATTACAACATATTTTGTGATATTTGACTGACAGAAACGCTGAGGTCATAAAACGCGTTGTAGGAAGTTAATTTTAGCAAGTGTATCGTCTTGTATCGGTACAGAAAAAATATATATTATGTATCGTATCGTATTGTGGCATGAAAACTCACAATGCACCGGTGCACCGATGTATTGTTTCACCCTCAACAGTTACTGTTACCAGGAGACAGACGTGACTATATTTTCTGTTGAGCAGTGTTTGGCACCGGCAGCATGAGTAACCCTGGGCGGCGAAGCTTGCGGAGCACATTGGGGTTAGTAGCTCTCACTCAATTAGTTCTCTGAATCGCACATGGGTCGTATTTTAGGCTTAACACTGCTTTCACTCGCACCATGCCTGTTTCATTGTCTCACAGGTCTGCAATGCTTAGAGAAATCTGCAATTTCCTGAGGCAAGGGAGTTAACTGACTGTAAAAGTCCAGTTTCCACCCTTACCAATAGTGATGGGTACCACGAAAAATACAGTACCATGGTATACCGCGGTATCTGCTCAAATACCACGGTACATACCATGGTATTTGAACGCACAGAGAAAAGCCTTCATTTATGCCATTTTTACCTTTTTTAAAGCTGCAAACACATACATTCAACACAAAAACAAAATACTTTAAAGAAACACTTCAATTCATTGAACTGTGAACATTGAACACTCGTCATGACAGGCCGATGAATGTCGTCTGCTAAAGTGTTTGGGTGATGTCGCCTCATATGAGCGTATAAATTTGAAGTCCCACCACCACATTTCACAATACCTCTACATGTGTTGCATAGAGCTAAATTCTCTTCAACAATACTGTCTATTTTGCGTTTTTTCAGGCCAAAATACTTCCATACTGAAGCTTTGGCCCTCGCGTTTTTCACGGCCACGAAGTCCGCCATTTTGTTACCAAGCAGACATGCAGTTCACTCTCGAGACAGGATTTGCACGGGAAATTAAAAAAAACCATAACTTTCTATGGAAATTTATTAAATCTGACGTCCTTTACTATATATTAGTTGTTTGTAACACATGTATATAAAAATATTACTTAAACTATGTAGAAACGTAATATTCATCATCGGAAATTTCCATAGCCTACACGGACTCCGGAATTTGGTGAAGTACCGGTATAGTAAGGAAGTTTACCGGTACGTATCACAGCTAACAAAGACCATGGTATACCGGTATACCGGTAATACCACACACCTCTACTTACCAAACTAGGCTGGAATTATGGAGTTCTATTTTGGTTGGACTAACAAGTCTATGCATATTCAAATCAAAATTGCATATCTACGTCCCGTTCATAAACAACATGGATTTCAGTGTGCAGATTTCAGTCCACTGCATGATTTGCAAATGATTTTGTTAAAACAAATGCAAGTGATATGAGAGATGGAATCTGATTTGTCAGTAGAAGGGACATAGCTTGTAATAGCCATCGTTGGCGCTATGATCGAGCCCCGAAATTCTAGCCTAGTTCGGCAAAACTAGCTTGCCGTAAAAGGCGACTATGCTTGTTGTAAGAGGCGACTAATGGGATCGGATGGTCAGGCTCGCAGACTTGGTTGATGCACGTCATCTTATCCCAATATGTGTAGATCGATGCTTATCACTGGATTGTCTGGTCCAGACTCGATTATTTAGTGCGGCTTCAAACAAACAAACAAACAAACAAACAAACAAACAAACAAACAAACAAACAAATAAACAAACAAACAAACAAACACCCCCCGTATGTTGGTCCACACAATTTATCTATTGATCTATGATCTGTGTCACTTCAAAAGTCTGAAACTTGACTTTCTCACCTACTGTGATAAGGTTTAGTTCTCTGCATGCTATTCAATTATTTTTTGTCCGATAGAACCACTGGCACTCTGGGTGAACGGACCCTTGGCACCACCCAGTTCCTGGAACAACTGAGGAAAAACCCCACCCTGAAGATCATGCATGACGAGTTTGCTTCCTTGCTGGACGAACAGGTGGCGAAGAGAGGAATACCACCGGTAGGTGACCCACAGTCAGGTGGTTCATAGTTAGGCACAGTCAGGTGTCTCATAGTTAGACACAGTTAGGTGTCTCATAGTTAGACACAGTTAGGTGTCTCATAGTTAAGACACAGTTTGGTGTCTCATCGTTAGGCACAGTTAGGTGTCTCATAGTTAGGCACAGTTAGGTGTCTCATAGTTAGGCACAGTTTGGTGTCTCATAGTTAAGACACAGTTTGGTGTCTCATCGTTAGGCACAGTTAGGTGTCTCATAGTTAGGCACAGTTAGGTGTCTCATAGTTAGGCACAGTTAGGTGTCTCATAGTTAAGACACAGTTTGGTGTCTCATCGTTAGGCACAGTCAGGTGTCTCATAGTTAGGCATAGTTAGGTGTCTCAGAGGAAGGCACAGCTAGGTGGCTCATCGTTAGGCACAGTTTGGTGTCTCATAGTTAGGCACAGTTTGGTGTCTCATAGTTAGGCACAGTCAGGTGTCTCATAGTTAGGCACAGTTAGGTGTCTCATAGTTAGGCACAGTCAGGTGTCTCATAGTTAGGCACAGTGAGGTGTCTCAGAGGTAGGAACAGCTAGGTGGCTCATAGTTAGGCACAGTTAGGTGTCTCATAGTTAGGCACAGTTAGGCATCTCATAGTTAGACACAGTCAGGTGGCTCATAGTTAGGCACAGTTAGGTGTCTCATAGTTAGGCACAGTTAGGTGTCTCATAGTTAGGCACAGTGAGGTGTCTCAGAGGTAGGAACAGCTAGGTGGCTCATAGTTAGGCACAGTTAGGTGTCTCATAGTTAGACACAGTCAGGTGGCTCATAGTTAGGCACAGTTAGGTGTCTCATAGTTAGGCGCCTCATAGTTGGGCACTGTTCTGTGGCTCATAGTATTTTTCTAGTTGGCCAAGTTTTTCAAGAAATATGTTTTTTTCTGGTGGGAGAATAGAAACAGACACATTATGTAAAGTCCTCTATACATGGATTTCAGGGCTCGCCTGGAGTCAGTCAACAAGTGCTGGACAACAAGCTGGCCATGATGAGGACACAGAGACAGTCATATGTCAAGGTGAGTCATATCTGACCTGACTCACCCATGTGTATAACAGAGTGTCATATGTCAAGGTGAGTTATATCTGACCTGACTCACCCATGGGTATCACAGAGTGTCATATGTCAAGGTGAGTCATATCTGACCTGACTCACCCACAGGTATAACAGAGTCATATGTCAAGGTGAGTCATATCTGACCTGACTCACCCATGGGTATAACAGAGTGTCATATGTCAAGGTGAGTCATATCTGACCTGACTCACCCATGGGTATAACAGAGTGTCATATGTCAAGGTGAGTCATATCTGACCTGACTCACCCACAGGTATAACAGAGTCATATGTCAAGGTGAGTCATATCTGACCTGACTCACCCATGGGTATAACAGAATGTCACATGTCAAGCTGTGTCATATCTGACATGACTCACCCACGGGTATAACAGAGAGTCATAAGTCAAGGTGAGTCATATCTGACCTGACTCACCCACAGGTATAACAGAGTCATATGTCAAGGTGAGTCATATCTGACCTGACTCAACCATGGGTATAACAGAGTGTCATATGTCAAGCTGTGTCATATCTGACCTGACTCACCCACGGGTATAACAGAGTGTCATATGTCAAGGTGAGTCATACCTGACCTGACTCACCCACAGGTATAACAGAGTCATATGTCAAGGTGAGTCATATCTGACCTGACTCACCCACGGGTATAACAGAGAGTCATAAGTCCAGGTGAGTCATATCTGACCTGACTCACCCATGGGTATAACAGAGTGTCATATGTCAAGCTGTGTCATATCTGACCTGACTCACCCACGGGTATAACAGAGAGTCATATGTCCAGGTGAGTCATATCTGACCTGACTCAACCATGGGTATAACAGAGTGTCATATGTCAAGCTGTGTCATATCTGACATGACTCACCCATGGGTATAACAGAGTGTCATATGTCAAGCTGTGTCATATCTGACGTGACTCACCCATGGGTATAACAGTGTCATATGTCAAGGTGAGTCATATCTGACGTGACTCACCCTAGGTATAACAGAGTGTCATATGTCAAGGTGAGTCATATCTGATGTGACTCACCCACGGGGTATGGTACAGACAGTCATACGTCAAGGTGACGTGGTATTTTTACAGCTGTTTTTTTATTATGCCACTTTTTTCTTAATTCAAGGATGACCCAATTGTTTGCAGAAATTTCCTGACTTTGATGCGCTACGACAGTATTTTGATAGAATGGCGGAACAAAAGGCTCGTGAGAAAGTGCGAGCCATGAAGACATCACCACCACTGCCCCGTGAGTACAGCTGCCCTTGTGGGCGTCATATTGCAGTGTGTCCTTGACCTTGAGCGATCGTAATGCTATGACTGTTGGAAGGACCTGTGAAGATCCGGGGTAGAATAGGTCTTCAGCAAACCATACTTGCCGTAAAAGGTGACTATTCTTGTCGTAAGAAGCGACTAACAGGATCGGGTGGTCAGGCTCGCTGACTTGATTGCTGCATGTCATCGATCCCAATTGCAAGGATTGATGCTCATCATGTCAATCACTGGATTGTCTGGTCCAGACTCCATTATTTACAGACCTCCGTCATATAGCTGGAATATTGCTGAGTGCGGCGTTAAACAAAAACAACAACAACAAAACGGTCGGAAACAGGTAATTTGCATACTTTTTTAATTTGATGAAAGTTTGGACTGACAGAAATTAGAAGGGACTGGTAATTTTTAAAGTTGCCAGTCCTTCAGGACTGGAGGTTTCAAAAGCTATCGGGAACACTGTTATGATCAAACCTTTTACAGTTTCCTATGTAATCACTAAGAACATAATGTCATGGTCTATTCACAGATAGACCGACAGAGCTCAGAATGTTTACTCAAAACAAATGTTAGCACAGACTAAATAGCCTATATTGTGATGCAAGTCTAAAAACTAAAAGAGGCTTGTTGATTGCCAAGAATAATGTGCACTGAATAAATGCTGGAATCGTTGACATAATCTCTTATTTGATTACCTGGTGTTACCATGGTGATGGAGAATTATGTGAACACTTTTCAGACTTTGGTGAATTATGTTCATGATGTAATCATGTTTTTTTAATGATATTTATTGTTGTTTTCCAGCCCGCAATCTCTACCACTCACTGCCCTCGTCACACACAGGACCCCAGCAGACATCATTCAGGTCCCCCGCCCATACCCCCGCCCATACCCCCGCCCGCACCCACAGCCCCAGGGTCAGGAGCCCACAGCCCCAGGGTAGGAACCCTAGCCCCTCCCCACCCAAACCTGCCCCTCGGTCCACCACCCCACAGAGGACTCTACAATCAACTGGGTAAGTCAGTCACTTATGTGTTTTTGGTAACCTAGTAGATGCAGCGTTCACCCAGTGCTTTCAAATTTGAACGCAAAGACATTTTCAAGTCACATCATTATCACCTAAATGCTACATTTGGTCACATAAGAATTGACTTGAATTGTTTTGGGTGTTTTATGGAGATGTATGTTTTTGTTTGTTGGTTTGATTGTTTTTTGTTTTAAGCTGCACTCAGCAATTTTTCAGCTATATGACTGTGGTCTATAAATAATCGAAATTGGACCAGACAATACAGTGATTGACATCATGAGCATTGATGAATGCAATTAGGATACAATAACATGCATCAGCCTAGTCAGCGAGTCTGACTACCTGATCCCGTTAGTCGCCTCTTACATCATTCACCGAAACAGTTTTCCTGCTACTTTCCTGTTACTCTAGTTATCAAGACAACTCTTCAAAATTAATACTCACTTTTTATTTGTCTACTTTCCAAACTCCTTATTAGGGTATGGAGTATTTTTGTTTTCGTTCTGTTAAAAATTGCCTATGGCTCTTAAGTATAGTGAAATTCCTGAAACTAATTTTGCGAAAATAGCCGTGTTTGGTTTAGTACACTAATGTAGAATTAGGAATTTTAGGATTTTACTGGTATGTCTCTTATGTTATTTTAAACATTGATATGTTTTGTTTTCATCTGCTGAAAGCCAATTTCATGGAGGGGCACGGGTGGCCCAGTCGTCTAAGGCGCCGCGATTCGCTGTGCAGATTTGCATCCCTTGGGCATGCCAGAAACCTATGATTGTGGGTTTGAATCCCGGTTCCCCCCGATTATGTTTCTAGGTTTGTCAGCACCATACCCGTGCTCGAATCGAAACGCAGCGAATGGGTCAAGGGCAGGGTTAGAGCTTAACTCAAAAGCTTTCTTAGCCTGGGTGAAGATAACGGGCCCTTGTAACGTTTTCAATGGCTAAAACAATGGAGAAATTTGTACAAGCCCCCAGGAATTTGTAAGCGCCGTGATTTGGGCACGCCAGAAACCTATGATTGTGGGTTGGAATCCCGGCTCGCCCCGATTATGTTTCTAGGTTTGTCAGCCGTTCTCTGAAGTGGTAAACGTCTGAGACCTGCATCACTTCGGGCTTTCCTCCCACATTAAGCTGACACGCCGTGATATAACTGGAATACTGTTAAAAGCGGCGTAAAACCCAACTCACTCACTCACTCACTCCATTACATGGATCTAAACAAGGGTTTGGTGAAAATATTATGTACAGACACTTGAAGGATGTTAACGACATCTGTATATTCTCCAGCTCCACGACCGAGTGGACCAGCACGCAGTGGGATTCAGAGGAAGAGTCAGAGGAGGAAGAGATGGGAGGAAGAGGCCAACCAATCATGGTGACACCCTCCAAGTCGAATCGTCAGCCAGGTCACACAGGCCCCACCCCCAGTCCCCGCCCACGGGGGCAACTGATTCAGTCGAAGCCGCTGCGTGACATCGATGACGATGATTGGGATGAATCTGAAAGGTGAGCTGATGCACATCAGAAAAAGACCACTGAAACTGAATTTTGATGGAGACATTTAGTTTCCACGAGCAATTATAGCGCTAAGATGACAGAAAGTCCTGTACATTAACAGTTATTTACAACTCTCCTATGGCACTTAGATCGCCTTGTTGAACCATGTTTGTTTGTTTGTTTGTTTGTTTGTTTGTTTGTTGTTTAACGCCACACTTAGAAATATTCCGGCTGTATGAAGGCGCCCTCTAAATATGGAGTCTCGACCAGACAAACAAGTGTATTATGAGCAGGCGTCCACCAGAAACATTTAGTTTCCTCCTCTGGCCAGCATTTAGGATGCTGGGGACGTATTCTAACCCAGAATCCCCAAAGGGTCGGATCATGAAGAATAATTCAGGACATGATACTGCTAATATGAAGAATAGGCCAGGATTCAGCCCCTGCAATGTGATTTCCAGAGTTGTGTCCCTTAGCTGTGCCATGATCTTCTGTCACTGGTTCGAATCCAAGATTAGCTGTATCATGATGCTTGGTCTGACATCACCATACTCACTGTCACCATAATTTAACTGAAATATACTGATGGAAATAAATAAGGGATCGCATAGTGTGTTTGGTCAATGAGTCCGAATGTTGTTATTTTTTGGTGGCTGTTTTTCGGAAGTACATGGTCAACATCTCCAAAACGCAGGGTATCACCTATAGAAAGACATGCAGTGCACGTGTTTCAGTAGTTTTTCATGGCGCAATGGGGTATAAAGTCTTCTACTGTAAGACCAATCTCATTGACATCAACTGCGTGGAACATGCCAAGACAGTACATGTGTTTGAAGGAGAAATGGCAGGCAATCGGGATGGTGAGATCAGGCCAGTCACTGCGAGAAGTTGCAAGACACTTTCATAAGTCCATCAGTGTCCTCTCACGACTGTGGAACCTCTACAGGCAGATCGGCGATGTTGTCATGAGACGTGGGCGTGGGCCACCAAAGAAAACTACAGCTCGTCAAGATCGTCAGATTCGGCTGATTTGTTTGAGGGATCGCTTTAAACCTGCCCCAAAAGTGAATACCGAGTTCAGAGCTGTCACACATCTACGGTTAAGTGATCGCACAGTTCGTAACAGGCTGCGTTCAGCGGGTCTACAAAGTCGCCGTCCCGTGGTAGGAATATGGATGACTCAAGAACACAAACCGCGAAGGTTACAGTGGGCAAGGCAGCATGGAGCCAGACAGCTGCGTCGTTGGCGATACACCATGTTCAGCGATGATTCTCGTTTCAATGTGGACAATGCAGATGGTCGGATACGTGTTTGGAGACGACGTAATGAACGATACCAAGCATGCACTGTCAAACAGCATGACAGATACGGAGGTGGATCAGTGATGGTCTGGGGTGGAATCACCTACGACAAGCGAACAGATTTGATTCGTGTGGATGGTCGTCTAACTGGTGTTCGTTACCATGACGAAGTGTTACGCCCAGTGGTGCTTCCGTTCGCTAACAGAGTTGGGCGGTTGTTCGAGTTTCAGCAGGACAATGCAAGGCCACATACTGCTCGTGTTTCAGCCGATTTTTTTAGGCAGAACCAGGTCGCTGTGCTTCCATGGCCGGCTAAAAGTCCAGACGTTAACCCGATAGAACATTTATGGGACGTTCTTGGTCGTCGGGTGCGAGATCGCATTAATCAACCTCGTAATCTGGACGAGATGTTTGACTGTTTAAGACAAGAGTGGCATAATGTTCCAAGGGCTACAATCCGGGCATTTATTCGGAGTATGCCAAGACGTTGTCAGGCTGTTGTGAGAGCTCGTGGTGGTCACAGGTCATACTGAAGAACTGAGATTAAGTCATTATTTACCATGCAGCTTTCATCTGATCAAGTGTTGTATTAAAATCTTATGTCTGCACCATCTATGCGATCCTTTATTTTATTCCATCAGTGTACTAAAAGATGCATTAAAACCAACTCATTCACTCACTCACTCAAATAGAAATGATCAATGCACATGTTTAAAATTGACACTGGGTCGTTTCCTGATCCTCACCAAGACTCGGGCAGCATGTCTGATTAATCAAGGGCCCTTGTTTACATATTCGAAGTAATAAGCGCCCTGCTCTTAAAAGCGCCAACGGCGATATTTGTTAAAATATTGGCTAGCGAACAATCCCAATAAGCACCCATTCCGATTGATCAATGTACACAAGACTTTTTTTTTCATGTATAATACACACTCGTGTGTTATTGGCAATTAAATTCTGGAAAAATATATCTGTCGTATATAAACATTTCAGTCTGTCATGATAAACCACAAAATTAACGATTCAAATAAATGTTGACTTCAGTGACCTGTGACCCCATTTGTTTTTACATCATATGAATACAAATATCGGTAGTTGAAAATGGGTTGAGTCAGTGTTGGTTTTCGAGTCCTAGATTAATCTGGTGATGGGTTCCATTTCAAAGTGTAAACATATATCTTTGTTTCAATGTGCATGTTAGTTGTTTTATCTACTTTAGAGATGCAAATGATAAAAGTTGTGTGTGTTGTGTTTTCATGCGTAAAAGCGTGCCTATTGTAGATACGCATCCCCCGTGTTTCAGCACTGTCAGCCCCAAACCTGCGGCGGTGAAGACCCGGGTCATCATGTCTCAGCCGAAGGGGCAGAAAGTGTCGGAGCTGTCACGGTCAATAGAGTCACAACTCGTGGTAAGTTCTTAAATTAGATGAGCTGTCATATACTTCTCAAATGAAGTTAAGGATCACCTGATTCTTTCATATTACAATAGTTAATCTCTCATGCCATGACAGATTAATATTACCAATATGAAAGAATCGGGTGATCCTTAACTTCTTTTGAGTAGTATATTTGTGCACTGAAAGGAACATTTTCTTAGGCTGCCTACTTTTATTTCTTTGTCTGATTTTCTTGGTCAACAAGATGGTGGCAAAATGTCTTCTTTGTCAGGGTTGATTTGAGATGAATTTTTACAAGCCAAAATTCTACCAGAAAACATGTTCAAACTATGCAAGGTTGTTTTCACTGATCATTTATAGATCCTGCAACCTTAAGTTTTTGCAAATGTGAAACCTTTCTGCAGAAGCCATTAAAAAAGACATTGAAAGTATTATATGGGTGAAAAAAGAATGATACCTTTTGATGTCACACCAAGCAGTGTGTTTCTTTCACTGCAGGATTTGTTTCACTCTGCCAACTTTAACGAGATCACTAAACAAAATATGTTTTTAACTATACTCAACCACAAAAAAAACGCGAGTTGTACATAAAAGGCGGATAACATTAAGACCATAAGAGATATGTAGATAACATTAAGACCATAAGAGATATATAGATAACATTAAGGCCATAAGAGATATGTAGATAACATTAAGACCATAAGAGATATGTAGATAACATTAAGACCATAAGAGTATGTAGATAACATTAAGACCATAAGAGTATGTAGATAACATTAAGATCATAAGAGTATGTAGATAACATTAAGACCATAAGAGTATGTAGATAACATTAAGACCATAAGAGATATGTAGATAACATTAAGACCATAAGAGATATGTAGATAACATTAAGACCATAAGAGATATGTAGATAACATTAAGACCATAAGAGATATGTAGATAACATTAAGACCATAAGAGTATGTAGATAACATTAAGACCATAAGAGTATGTAGATAACATTAAGACCATAAGAGATATGTAGATAACATTAAGACCATAAGAGTATGTAGATAACATTAAGACCATAAGAGTATGTAGATAACATTAAGACCATAAGAGTATGTAGATAACATTAAGACCATAAGAGTATGTAGATAACATTAAGACCATAAGAGATATGTAGATAACATTAAGATCATAAGAGTATGTAGATAACATTAAGACCATAAGATATATGTAGATAACATTAAGACCATAAAAGATATGTAGATAACATTAAGACCATAAGAGATATGTAGATAACATGAAGACCATAAGAGTATGTACAGTAGAACACGGATACAATGAACACAGATATAACGAACACATATATAGCGAACACATATATAGCGAACCCAGATATAGCGAGCACAGTTATAGCGAACACATATATAGCGAACACAGACATAGCGAACACAGATATAGCGAACAAACGGATACAACAAACTGTTAAAAAATCCCTGATTTTATATCTCCCATATAATATCATATAAACTTTACGTATGTAACGAACTCTCTACAGCAAACTAACGGATACAGTGAACTGATATCTGATCACTGACAAGCCCACCTACCACTTATCAGTGACGTGTATAGCGAACTGAGAAATCTCACTCAGTGTCAAGTGTCACTGACAATTGGCTGTACACAATCAGCGGTGAATCAACACAATCGCGGCGAATCAATACCATAAATGTTGTTGATGCTGGTATAAAAACCAAGAAAAACATTGCCATGGAATTTGTCATTCCAAAATCAACATTGAGTACCATAATGAAGAAGAGAGAATCCATTCTTGAATCCTGACTGACTTTGGCCCCGCCCAGAAGAGGTTACGAACTTCCAATCACCAAGAAATTAGGCCATGAAGATTTCACGTGTCCACTGCATGGATCGACCATTTTAAGCAGAGGAGGGGGGATTGTAGCAAAACGAACATCATCGATGATTGGTTGACCTCAGAAAACATTTTCAATGCAGACGAAACTGACCTTTTTGGCCGACTTCACATCTCCCCGTATGTAAATCGTAAAATGATAAATATGTTTACATTTTGTGCATGTATTTGATAACAGTGTTCGAAAATGTTATGAATTTGATGTTATTAAATGAAGTAAATGCTGCAATTACGCGTATTGTGTTTCGTTTTATCCGAGATGATGGATGTTTGCGAGCGAAAACGTGTATGACGAACAACGGATATAACAAACTGATTCTCTGGTCCCTTGTTGTTCGTTACATCCATGTTCTACTGATGATAATATTAAGAAATGATAACTGAGAAAAGATTTGATAATAAATGGGTGTTGATTGTTTGATGACAACAATCCGTATTTAATGAAAAATCCCCCCAAAACATGGTACCGGTACCCCAAAACAGAAAAATGACAGGTGTCAGTCATGTCCATTAACAGCGTGTGTGGCCTCCGTTAGAAGTGATATGAGGGGTGTTCATTAAAGATTTCCCCTGACCCACTTCCGATGGACCTAGTGGAATGAAACTTGGCATAGGTATTAGTCTTTCTCCACATAGGAACCACCAAGAGTTACACACTTCTCCCATCGTTTTATGCAACTATGGAGACCCCGCTTGTAAAAGCCCTCATTTTGCGTCTCAAACCAGGACTTGACTTCAGAAATCAGTGTTTCATCATCTGTGAAACGTTTTCCCTTCAAAAATGACTTCATGGTTGGAAAGAGGTGGAAGTCAGATGGTGCAAGGTCAGGAGAGTAAGGAGGATGTGGAAGGGTTTCATAGCCACAGGACCGCGCTTCTGTCTGGGCAACATGAGAGTTGTGTACTGGAGCATTGTCTTGCAGGAGACGGACACCCTAGGTCAGCATGCCACGCCTCTTAAGCTTGATAGCGTCCCGCAATTTCCGCAGCAGTTAAGCATAATAAGCTCCTGTAATTGTGGTACCCTTTGCGAAGAAATCCATCATCACTCCTCCGTGCTGGTCCCAAAACACAGTGAGCATGACCTTGCCTGCAGAGGGTTGGACATGTGCCTTCTTTGGGGTTGGTGACTCCACATGCTTCCATTGCATCGACTGAACTTTAGTCTCAGGATCATAGTGATGGACCCATGTTTCATCCAGTGTGATAAGTCTGTCAAAAAAGTTTGCCTGTTTTTTTTGGCACTTGTCCAAAAGATCCTTTGAGCAATTGACTCGTTCCTGCTTTTGGAAAGGTGTGAGCAACCTGGGAATCCATCGTGCAGACACCTTATGCATGTTCAAATTGTCATGGATGATTTTTTCCACAGACCCTACACTGATCTTGACATCTTGTGCTACCTGGCGAACAGTTATATGTTGGTCTGCCAAAATGGCGGTCTCCACTTGATGGATAGTGTCCTCATCAGTGGCTGAATGGGGGCGACCGGGAATGGCAGCTGTTTCCACAGATGTCTGACCACTCTTGAACTGGCGATGCCAGTGTTTAACAACGTCATATGATGGGGCATCTTCCCCATAAGTTGCTTTCATTTCATCGGAAGTTTCTTTTGGTGTGCGCCCTTTCAAATATAAAAACCTAATCACTGCTCGGTATTCTACTGGCTTAAAAGTCACACCCTACTCGATCATAACACCTGTAAAAGTGGTATGATTAATAGTTCGGTGCTGCAAATTCAGACATAACCCATAAATACATGTATCATTACACATGTGAAATTTCAACCAAATATGATAACTCTAAGTGGTTTAGGGGAAATCTTTAATGAACACCCCTCGTACAGGCCCCACATTGAGTCTTATTGAGTTGACAAGTCTTTGGATGAAGGCTTGTGGAATCACTTTCCATTCACGTATCAAAAGGCTTCCAGTTCCTGAAGTGTATCTGGCTGCCTTGCAGCCTGAAGACGTCTCGCAATCTCGTCCCAGACATGCTTAATTGGCGCCATGTCCGTGACAAATATGGCCAGGGCATCACAGGAATGTTATTCACTCTGAGGAAGTCCATAGAGACCCATGATGTATGGGGACGAGCGTTGTCCTGCTAAGGTTGACCCCGGAAGAGAGGTCTGATGTGTTGCGAAACCCACGTGCTGAGGTCACCGGTTTCATTGAACTGAGTTCACGAGTGCAGGCGATATTTCATCTCCGATACAGGTTATACATTTGAGAGTTTTTATTACAGTTATTTAATTAAAAACATTGTCTATGTGATGAGTCGGTTTATAAGTTGGACAAACCATGTCTCCTCGAGATTACTAGAGATTGTAAACCCTCATGTGATGGTTTATAATCTCTAGTAATCCCTCGGAGACATGGTTTCTCCTACACATCCAGTCTCTACATGACAGCAGTCACACGCTGACCGACCACGTGTAGAGGGGTCCTGTGATGATACCTGAAGCCTCCCCACACCATCATGCTTCCTCCTCCCCACCGGTCGGCCTGTAAGACACAGCAGTAAGCGTAACGCTCATTACGTCATCTCCACACTCTGACGCGGCCATCGGCATGAGAAAGGTTGAACCTTGATTCGTCTGAGAAGACAACTTGTTACCACTGTTGCCGTCACCAATGCAGGTGCTGTTGGGCCCACTGCAGCCGTTGTTGGCGGTGATGTTGAGTCAGTATGGGCCTGACGTAAGGTTGACAACATCTGATTCCCGCTGCTCATAGACGACGAACTGTGTTGGCTGATGGGGACCTAGAATGGTTGCAGCTGTCTGTGTTGCTCGTCGCTGTCGGTCATGCAGATGTGTCACCCGGATGTAACGGTCGTGCCCTGGAGTAGTGATCCTCGGCCGTCGTTTGATGCCTTGTGACTAATCTGGTGATGGTAGACACATGACATCCAAAGTGCCTCGCCACTGCAGTTGACGTTGATCCGGCCTGTAACATCCCCATGGCAACGCCTCTCTGGAGTTCAGTTAATTGAACCATGTTTCCTGTCCTTTTTGAAAGTCGAGTGTGAATGCTTGGTGTTTTCTTTGTATGGTGGCTTATAAAGGTTGGACAAGGTGGGAAATGCACGCACTTTTGCATATGAATTGCGGTGCGTGTGCTAAAATCGCCAGACGAGATGAAACAACTGCGTTCCTGCAACATTCTCAAGATGAATGATGTAAATAGTGAACAGTTTTTCTTCAACACGTCTCCTTACGCTTGTATACATTTCTTTTCACAAATTACTATTTTGTGCATTTCACAAACAAAAAACTTGACTTGCTTTTCTTTGGGGGTTGAGTATATTTAGTGTTTTGACCACTATGTCTATGTCTATGAACTCATGATGAATTTGAAACAGAGATCTAATAACCATGTATTAAAAAATAGCTACCGAAACATTTTCATGATGGCATTATGAATTATCAATGTAGTTTTCTGTTGCCCAGTGTTGTTGAGGCCCAACTAAGCATGCTGGGAAACCCGAAATAATCATTGTTTTGCCAAACACATGAAAGCATGGTATTTTTGCTGGAAGCAGTGCAGGAAAATTTTGACACTGAGGTCGTACTTGTTTCTGTCGACTCGCTTACTGAGAACTGTCTTATTTTTAAACCTTAGCTTACAGAGCCTGTGTAAACAAAAGTAAAAGCTCAGATTATTTATTTTCACATTGTACTAATCTGCTCAGTATTTGGACAAGTGTTCAGCCCAAAACAATGTATGTATGTCGTGTAGCTTTTAGAATTAACCGTTGTTGTGTGGATGAAACACTGATGTTGAAATTTATGTTGTAGGGGAGAAAGAAAGGAGACAAGCCATTCGGAGGCGTGGACACGATGGAGAGAACAGGGGGAAAGAAGTCCAATAATGTAGATATCCTGGTAGGTGGCCAACTGTGGTGTATTGTTGGATGGTGTTGGTTGTCTGCATCATACAGGCCTGACAGTCCAATATTGTAGATATCCTGGTAGGTGGCCAACTGTGGTGTATTGTTGGATGGTTTGGGTTGTCTGCATCATACAGGCCTGACAGTCCAATAATGTAGATATCCTGGTAGGTGGCCAACTGTGGTGTGTTGTTGGATGGTGTTGGTTGTCTGTGTCATACAGGCCTGACAGTCCAATAATGTAGATATCCTGGTAGGTGGCCAACTGTGGTGTGTTGTTGGATGGTGTTGGTTGTCTGCATCATACAGGTCTGACAGTCCAATAATGTAGATATCCTGGTAGGTGGCTAACTGTGGTGTGTTGTTGGATGGTGTTGGTTGTCTGCATCATACAGGCCTGACAGTCCAATAATGTAGATATCCTGGTTGGTGGCCAACTGTGGTGTGTTGTTGGATGGTGTTGGTTGTCTGCATCATACAGGCCTGACAGTCCAATAATGTAGATATCCTGGTTGGTGGCCAACTGTGGTGTGTTGTTGGATGGTGTTGGTTGTCTGCATCATACAGGCCTGACAGTCCAATAATGTAGATATCCTGGTAGGTGGCTAACTGTGGTGTATTGTTGGATGGTGTTGGTTGTCTGCATCATACAGACCTGACAGTCCAATAATGTAGATATCCTGGTAGGTGGCTAACTGTGGTGTATTGTTGGATGGTGTTGGTTGTCTGGGCCTAGATTTTCGAAACGATCTTAGCTAAGATAAATCTTAACAACTTACGTTCAAAGATAAGATATCTTAAGGTTAAGATTTTCAAAACTATCGTAAACCTGTCGCAGATCGTTCAGAGCTACGATACCTATCGTAACTCTGACAGAGAACTCATTTGTGTTAGAGATCGAAAAAGCGGGTGTTTCCCAATGACGTCACGGGGATTTCCCAGCTGCTGACAATAACAACAACATAGATAAATGACACGGAATTCATGATCACATTGTCAGGTCACATTGTTTAACACGCACATATTTGAGTGAAATTCTGTACAATCCTACATATGTTCTACATGTAGACGTGTTGTTCTTATGATAAAAGATGCCATGACTAACCGAACACAAAAAGCGTTCATGTGCCATGCAATAGCATTTTTCAAAGCCAAAAAATGTTATAATCAATGAGTATAGTTTTACCACACTTTAGCTATTAGAAAGGAAATAATGTGCCAAAAGATACTTCACTATTTTCCCTTCAAATGGTCCTCTCGTGACCGCGCAGAACTTTATGATATAAACACATCGCGTACAAAGTCAAGGACGAAAGTAAGGGACGTTATTCTAAATGACAATGTCGAGACCTTTGATCGAACAGCATATGCGTTCAGCATTTAACATGCGTGATCAAGTCTGATGTTAAGTGATGATTACTGTATATGTTTGTGTTTATGTCAAACGTCAAGTTTATATTAGTGTAAACACCAACATTATACGTGGAAACACTCAAAACAAAAATTGTTCAGGAAGCAGCGCACCCACAAGCAAGATCTTATGACAATCTCAGCTTGTTAAGTTTGTTTTGTTATTTATGTATCCAATATATTTCACGAATTAACCAAGGACTTAAATACAATATCAAGCTATAAGTATTTAGATGATAAAATTATTTTTATCTGTCTAGATCCATAATTCTTTTCAAAATTTAAAAGTTACACTAATTTTCGTTCGCAAAGAGAGATAATTTAAGAATTGTCAAGTAATGTTGTCTCATGGAACACGCCACAAGTTAACGTAAACATACATATAATGTAGTCATTTTCTAACCTTTTAAATATGGTAGAGCTAATAAACTGATTTGTCTGATTTCATTTAAATCTGACTAAGGAGCGAAAAACTTTGTAATGTGTCAAATCTATTCCAAAACGTAGTTCAATGATGTTTGGCTTGTCTGACAGAATTGCTGAGGATCATTTACTAGTATTTGTCCGTTGACCCTAAACGTGACAACGATTTTATTGTTTGAATGGTCTCAAGTATATCTATATATTTTTTAAACATAAAACGGGAAGATGTAGACTTAAATATTAAAAACACCAAAACATTTTAAAACTGGTTTATTGAATGCAAAGATTATTGTGCTGAAAATGTGTATTTTATATTGATCAGTAAATTTCATTCAATAAACCTTTTTTTTCTGCGAACATGTATTGGATTTTTGCAAACTATGCTACATTTTGACGAGAACCAGGACTCCGGGAATCTTATATTCCACCTATTTATTATAAACATCCTTCTGTTACAACATTTGTAAAGCTAATTAATTCCAAATGCCCTCAAACACTGTTTAATTTAAGTAAATACATATTTTTCGCTTTTAAACTGTATCCTACACTTCATCTATAATTGCTTGTTGTTATGTATATATATTGTTTTAATCCTCTTGTGTATATTGTAACTATCTATTTTGTTTTAATATTGACAACGTATGTCCTGTGGGCCAGTGGCCTTTTTGACTTGAATAAACACATGAATAGACGAGAACCAGAACGAGCATGGGAACCCATTTTCTATTTGATTTGTCGATACAAAAATCTGTGCTTAACTTTTACTGTCAAAATTTCAGTAAATTGTTATATTTAATTGAATACATCTATATGCCGTTAATCACCTGTTTTTAAAGAATGCAATTGTTCAACAGACAGTTTTTAATCATTTTTTTTTATCAAATATTTGTCTTTCAAGATGATATAGATAACATAGGTATTGAATTTAAAACGAAACAAATTACAATTACTTTTGCAAGAAAAATATTAGATATTGTATACAAATATTTGATCACATGTATTTCCTTGTTAAGTCAATAAATACTACACTGTATAGTTAAAATTCAATTATTAAAACCACCCGTCCCACATGATTTTAGATTTAAAAACTTATGCGAAACCTTTAAGTTTTTTTTTACATATGTAGATTGATATAATTTTGTAAAATGCGAAAATAAAGACTAAAGCATTGACACAAATGCGATCCAGAAAATATAACAGCGGAACTCTGCGCTTTATGAAAACTGTAACATTGAGCAAGGTGTCCCGGGCGAATACAAAGGGAAACCACTCTCAACTAGAGTTTGAACTAAGATTAGCTCCCCCTGAGCTATCAATGAGCTCACGGTCATTACTGTAGCCTGCCGACACCTTCCGTTTTTATCCTTCCCAAATTATCGAAAAGGTATGTTGTTTCACACTTCTTCAGCATGGACTCGAATAGAAATATATTGTAAGCTATCAACTCCACAATTATGTGGATCGCTGTCGCGATTAAGAACATTTTTTTTGTGAAATCCTTGATGCGTTCTTCATGTTTTCGAAGTGTCAATTTGAATCACTCAGTTTTACAAAATGAAATGTCAATGTTTGAACGTAAAGCAGACTGTAATTGTTTAGCAAACTTAAGACAGGTATGGGGCTATCTTAGATTTACGACAATCTTAAGATATCTTAGGGCTACGGTAGTTTCGAAAATAGGCTATGATAGCCTACGATTTCCTTACGATAACTTTACGATAATTTTAGGGCTATGATCGTTATGAAAATCTAGGCCCTGCATCATACAGACCTGATAGTTGTGCTGGCGGCCAGATGGATGTACGGAAATCTTGAGACACTTTTCACTCGCCAATAATCAGCATGTTACACAGTGTCAGAAGGTAAAACATCCTCCTTGTAATGTTTTTGTTTGTGTTTCTTCCCAGGAGGACATCGACGGCAGTGACTGGGATGTCTCTCCAGTTGAGGATGAAGAGACTCAGAGAGGAGCGAAGTGAGAATTAATGCATTAATTAATTATTATATGTATTGTTAGTGTAGGATTCATGGTGGATTTGTAGTCACATGTGTCACTGGTAGGTGTACGGGAGTTTACATGTGTCACTAGTGGAGTGTTACCCATGAAGATCCGGGGTAGAATAGGTCTTCAGCAACCCATGCTTGCTGTAAAAGGTGACTATGCTTGTCGTAAGAATCGATAATGGCATTGGGTGGTTAGGCTTGCTGACTTGGTTGATGCATGTCATCATATACCAATTGCGTGGATCGATGCTTATGCTGTCAATCACTGGATTGTCTGGTCCAGACACGATTATTTACAGACTGCCGTCATATAACTGGAATCTAAGTGCTGCGTTAAACAACAAACAACCAAACTGAGTGTGCTGAATTTTACAGGTGTCACTAGTGGGGTGTACAGTATTTTATGTGTGTCCAAAGTGGGGTGTACAGTATTTCACATGTGTCCCTAGTTGGATGTACAGTATTTTACATGTGTCCCTTGTGGGGTGTACAGTATTTTATGTGTGTCCAAAGTGGGGTGTACAGTATTTCACATGTGTCCCTAGTTGGATGTACAGTATTTTACATGTGTCCCTAGTGGGGTGTACAGTATTTCACATGTGTCCCTAGTTGGATGTACAGTATTTTACATGTGTCCCTAGTGGGGTGTACAGTATTTCACATGTGTCACTAGTGGGATGTACAGTATTTTACATGTGTCACTAGTGGGGAGTACAGTATTTAACATGTGTCCGTAGTTGGATGTACAGTATTTTACATGTCACTAGTGGGGTGTACAGTATTTTACATGTGTCACTAGTGGGGTGTACAGTATTTTACATGTCACTAGTAGGGTGTACAGTATTTTACATGTGTCACTAGTGGGGTGTACAGTATTTTACATGTGTCACCAGTTGGGTGTGCTGAATTTTACATGTGTCACTAGTGGGGTGTACAGTATTTTACATGTGTCACTAGTGGGGTGTACAGTATTTTACATGTGTCCCTAGTTGGCTGTACAGTATTTTACATGTGTCACTAGTTGGATGTACAGTTTTTTACATGTGTCGCTAGTGGGGTGTGCTGAATTTTACATGTGTCACTAGTGGGGTGTACAGTATTTTACATGTGTCCCTAGTTGGCTGTACAGTATTTTACATGTGTCCCTAGTGGGGTGTACAGTATTTGACATGTGTCCCTAGTGGGGTGTACAGTATTTTACATGTGTCACTAGTGGGGTGTACAGTATTTTATGTGTGTCCAAAGTGGGGTGTACAGTATTTTACATGTGTCACTAGTGGGGTGTACAGTATTTTACATGTCACTAGTAGGGTGTACAGTATTTCACATGTGTCACTAGTGGGGTGTACAGTATTTTACATGAGTCACTACTTGGATGTACAGTATTTTACATGTGTCACCAGCTGGGTGTGCTGAATTTTACATGTGTCACTAGTGGGGTGTACAGTATTTTACATGTGTCACTAGTGGGGTGTACAGTATTTTACATGTGTCACTAGTGGGGTGTACAGTATTTTACATGTGTCACTAGTGGGGTGTACAGTATTTTACATGTGTCACTAGTGGGGTGTACAGTATTTTACATGTCACTAGTGGGGTGTACAGTATTTTACATGTGTCCGTAGTGGGGTGTACAGTATTTTACATGTGTCACCAGTTGGGTGTACAGTATTTTACATGTGTCACTAGTGGGATGTACAGTATTTTACATGTGTCACTAGTGTGGTGTACAGTATTTTACATGTGTCATCAGTGGGGTGTACAGTATTTTACATGTGTCACCAGTAGGGTGTACAGTATTTTACATGTGTCACTAGTGTGGTATACAGTATTTTACATGTGTCATCAGTGGGGTGTACAGTATTTTACATGTGTCACTAGTGGGGTGAACAGTATTTTACATGTCACTAGTGGGGTGTACAGTATTTTACATGTGTCACTAGTGGGGAGTACAGTATTTAACATGTGTCCGTAGTTGGATGTACAGTATTTTACATGTCACTAGTGGGGTGTACAGTATTTTACATGTGTCACTAGTGGGGTGTACAGTATTTTACATGTGTCACTAGTGGGGTGTACAGTATTTTACATGTCACTAGTAGGGTGTACAGTATTTTACATGTGTCCGTAGTGGGGTATACAGTATTTTACATGTGTCACCAGTGGAGTGTACAGTATTTTACATGTCACTAGTGGGGTGTACAGTATTTTACATGTCACTAGTGGGGTGTACAGTATTTTACATGTGACCGTAGTGGGGTGTACAGTATTGTATGTGTGTCACCAGTAGGGTGTACAGTATTTTACATGTGTCACTAGTGTGGTATACAGTATTTTACATGTGTCATCAGTGTGGTGTACAGTATTTTACATGTGTCACTAGTGGGGTGTACAGTATTTTACATGTGTCATCAGTGGGGTGTACAGTATTTTACATGTGTCACCAGTAGGGTGTACAGTATTTTACATGTGTCACTAGTGTGGTATACAGTATTTTACATGTGTCATCAGTGGGGTGTACAGTATTTTACATGTGTCACTAGTGGGGAGTACAGTATTTTACATGTGTCACCAGTGGGGTGTACAGTATTTTACGTGTCACTAGTGAGGTGTACAGTATAAGTTTCTCTATTGATGTGAGTAGTTAGTGACTCTCCCTGGTATAACCCAGTGTTTTACAATGTTACAGACGTCCACCAACAAGGAACAGCAACCGTGGCAGCCATGCCGAGACCGACTTCTCCACCAACACGTACGGCACCAGTGTCTGGGGTTCTTCCTCCAAAGGTAGGGGCATGTCAGCAGATCAAGTACCACATACTCATGTTATTGGATTTTCTTCAAGTGTTTCATGTACCCAGCTGGGGGCACGGGTGGCCCAGTCGTCTAAGGCGCCGCGATTCGCTATGCAGAGTTGCGTCCCTTGGGCGCGCCAGAAACCTATGATTGTGGGTTCGAATCCCGGTTCGCCCCGATTATGTTTCTAGGTTTGTCAGCACCATACCTGTGCTCGTGGGTTTCACCTAAGTGGTAAACGTCTTGAGACCTGCATCACTTCGGGCTTTCCTCCCACATTAAGCTGACACGCTGTGATATAACTGGAATACTGTTAAAAGCTGCGTTAATCCTATTCATTTACTCACTCACTCATGTACCCAGCAGGATAAAATTATCGGAGTCTTTTTGATGAAATATAAATGATGACGATTATGATTATGATTAGGACTAGAGGTAATTTTGATATACCATTATGCAAATTTGATATCTTTTCCCAGCAGCCAGCACAGCGAACCCCAACAACCGGGCATCCACATCCAAGAGTTCCTTCATCACAGATGTCAGCTCTGATGAAGAACTTGACCTTGACAACATCTAGATGAAGAGAGGATAATTTGACCTTGAGAACATCTAGATAAAAAGAGGATGATTCAACCTCAACATGTAGATGAAGGAAACGCTAACCTTGACTGTGACAATATCTAGATAGAGAGAGGATACCTTATCTTGAAAACATCTAGATAAAAGAGGAATCCTTATCCTTGACCTTGACCTTGACATCATCTACATGAAGTGAAGAAATCCTGACCTCGACCTTGACGACATCTAGACGAAGAGAGAAATAACTGACCTTCACCTTGACAACATCTAGATGAAGGGAGGAAGTCAGGTCATGAGTTACACGAGACTGACAACATCTAGTCAGTTCATTGTCTCCATGATAACATACATTGTTGTGTGATGGCATATTGAGTGCTTGATAGCGACATATATGATAAAATGGATGAGAGAAACTTGAAACTCCTATCAATAAGTATTGTGGTCATTGTAGCTTTTTTGAATGAAAGACATGAAGTTTTTTTCAGTGATTTGACCACAAAACTATGAAACCAGAGGAAATGATTTTTCATTTAAACCACATGTGATCTGTGTTTGGATGGAAGGCATTGATTGGTTGTGTTGTGTCCCTCTCAGTCAATACTGAAAGAAGTTGGGATGATTTAGCTTGCATGATGTCATATGAGGGTTTTAGAATGACTCCTATGTCGTGAACAGGTTGTATATGAAGTCCAATGTATTTCAACTATCCATCCATACACGTCCAACTGTTGAACTCAAAGTGTATTTTAGAAGTATGAAATGGCATCAAATTTTGTGATGTTCTATCATTTTGATGTCTTTCATTACTGTATTGTCATCTTGCATAATTAATTAATGTACATGTATTAATATTTGCATAATCTGTGAAAATCCATTCAAGATATTTTACCATATAAATTGTATATAAAAATGGCCTTTACAGTAAAATGCATGCTTTTATGCAAATTTTATGCAAATTAGATTTATCAAGCATAATTTTGCATGTTTGGTGTTTTCATGGCATGTGATTCATACCGTCCATTCAACTGTTGTACTCATGGTAGATTTTACATCATATTGTGGGCTTGTAGTTGTAGTGTTGTAGGGTTTGCACTGATAATTTATTTACTGTACTATTTCCTATCTTTCAATACAAAAGTAGGCCATTAATATGGCTGACAAATATAGAAAATGTAATAAATTTTGACGGGAAAAAGTTTTATTTTCAGACAATGTAGCATGTGTAAATGCCTCCTGGCATAAAGGAAAAGGAATAACAAGACTAAGTGTATTATAACCACGCAAAACGCGAAGTCAGGAAGGTTATCTCAGCGTTCAAGAAAACGAATTCGAAGCACGAGGAAGATCAAGGGCAGTTAACTCTGATTGGTTGACCAACTACCGAGTGTGCCTTGTGCGAGTTATTATCACTCTGTGCCATGGATATTGAAGATTAGAAGTAAATTGACACTGTGACAGTAGGCTAAACATTAAATATATGGAATACTCAAGTTTCTTGAAGCTTGTTACTATTTCATGATAAAGCTCCTTTATTTTTCACACAGGTATCACATTTATAAACCAACTTGTTTAAATTTCTTTGATCACAGATCTATTTAGGTCAGACCTGTCATCCCCTCATCATATGTGGGAGATTTGACTTCAAAATGGAGGAGATTTGACTTCAAAATGGGGGAGATTTGACTTCAAAATGGAGGAGATTTGACTTCAAAATGGAGGAGATTTGACTTCAAAATGGGGGAGATTTGCCTCCAAAGGGGATATTTTTATGATAGTGAAGACAAGATAAATTCCAACCTTCATTTTTATCAGTCTTATTAAGCAATCTCATTAAAATCAGACCTTAGTCCTCGCTACCGCTAAACAGAGATCTGAAGACATCCCCTTAGGGGTCACGTCAGAACGACCTTTCATCCGACCAATCAGAGCGTCGCTTACCAGATCATGAAAGTGACAGTCGGAATGTGCTTCCTAATCATACAACCTCGAACACTTTAACACGGGGTATGCGATAGTTACAGGTTTAATGACTGAATCCATACAATCTAGACCATCTATTAGCCATCCCATAATGTTCTTTTGTTTTGGTTTCAAATTTGTAATCGAGAATTTGTCAAGATATGTTTCGAAGCGTAGTCGCCAATTTGAAATTAGTGCCGTTAAGCACGAGAAAGCTGCCTTCTGATTGGTCATTCCATTTGTCGGTCAAAGTTCGCGCAAGGTCGGTCTGACGTGACCCGTAATGGGATGTCCACAGATCTTTGTTTAGCGATACCGAGAACTAAGATCTGATTTTAATGAGATTGTCTTATTAAGAAAACCAAATATTTTTAAACAATAAATAATTGATAAGTTTCTTATATGTACAGCTTGCTTAATTTCTGTTTGCATTTTCCTCCTCCAAGAATAAACCTAGCACAATCTACCAATATCACTTTCGTTCAAAGATCATATCAGATAAATGCAAACAGATGTTGAAATTGAAAGATCAGTAGCTTGACCAGATGACGATGTGTTCAATCCGATCAGTTGTCAGGCTCCGTTATGATGCAGGTTTTCTGAGTATTTGGCACGATTTTTGTTAAAAGGATTCTGCATTTGGAGGACAATCAACTTGCCTTGGAAACATTTTCCCCAATTGTTTGCTGGAGTTACAAATAAACATTACCACGTTGATAAGTTTAAGATGCCTCACATGGTCGGAAAGTACATTTTAAAAAAAAAATTATATTATTTTGATTGTGTTTAAAAAGTTGAGTAAGTAATGAAAAAGTTGCCCTCGTACTTAAAATCCTGTCCACGTGTTTTCATCGTAAAGACTGAACTATAATTCTGGATGTTTGTTGAACATTTTAATTCTTTACATATGAAATAAGACATATACATTTTTAAAAACAGTATTTAGATATCAGTGCCTCTATTATTTACATTTGTTAGTATTTGATTAGATGTTGTAACATTTTGTTTCTTTGTTTTCTGGGAAATTATACTATTATACTCATTCTTCGTGTCTATCTTCATATGTCTCCTCATTCTGGTCCCATTTTTACAGAATGATAACTATGATGGCTATTTTATTGTTCATATTTATTCTACCTATATATTAATAACTTCCTTAATGCAGTGTTGCTATACATGGTGGTATGTGTAAATATGGAGTTTCTTCGCATAATCACCATGAAGATAATGATATATGTATCTAAGTGCTTTGTTGACAGAAAATCCATCCATATTTTGTATTTTGTGTTCGTCATATCTTGTTCTATTTTCAATTTTTAAACTTCATAATCAAATTTGAATGAAGTGTTATGAAAATGAAAAATCCACCCATATTATGACTGACTTAATTGAATTTCCATCCAGTCCCTACATATATTTTACATACATGTTCAATATTTTATTCCCGAATAGAGATTTTGAACTGTTGTCAAGAGTATATTCACCTGATATTAATGAAACAATCAGTTTTGTAGTGTTTGTATTGCAATTGAAGAGTAAATCCATCCATTTACCTAAACATAATCAGCTACTTTGCTTTCATGATGTACATTTTTGCGTCAGACTGTTTTGTTTGTTGAAATACTTTTTTAAAGAGTATCTCATATATTTTATGAAACAGGAAAGAAATAAGGCTCTGTCCTTATTTTGCATTTCCTCTTGAGAATGAATAGGAGAATCAACACATCATTTGCCTTAATCAGTAATTGCATTTGTGACCAACTTGTGTTATTCCGGGACAAGCCGAATAGCGACTCGTGCCCCTCTCAAGGCCATGTTTGCGACCGGGTGCCGTCTTAGCGCAAATGGGCATACCTAAAACACCTGTCAACTCGTTGCGTAATGGTTCAGATATATTTCGCCACATAATTTAAATTGCAATTTAAAGCACATCTGGACGTGCGGAATTATACAGTATGACTGAACACATTTAACTGTGTCTTGGGTATATTTTTAGATGCAAGACATGTGTAAAATCAAAAATTATTTCTGAGGGATTCTTTGACGAAGAACTTGAAATCATACGCGCATTCTGATTGGTTTGTCGTATTTTGGCACATAACACTCATCGATAGGGGGACGAGTCTTCTTGCAGGTTACGGAAAGGGGCGAGTATTGACGAATGCAGTTATTGATACCAACAGTTACCTCCCTTTGAGGAACATCTGGTTACATGTCCTGGGCCAACTTGCACAAAGCGATCTTAGCGCTAAGACTATTGTAAGCCTATGTTAAAGTATAGAAGTTACGCTCATCAGAACAGCACAGCCCCAAATGCATGCTCAAAGGTTATACTGTCTGTTGACAACAATAACCATTAATGATTGCAAGACAACTTATTCTTATCTTTATGTATTCTATTTATTCCAAACCATAAGGACAAGCCCTTGTGGTGTGTGTGTGCTTACCTGGGTGTTATGCATATTTCCCCTGATATTAAAAGTTCATACGCCTTAGAGTTAATTGTGAATGTATTGCTCTTAGAAAAGGGGGATGTTCATGTTGATATTATTTTTTGGAAAAACATTTTTGTCAGGATTATGACCATGTACTTGAAAACATGATATATTTTCCAGTATACTTAATTTGATGGCAAAAAGGGTATGATTTAAATGTGATTTGTTCTTAAAGGTGCAAGATTGGATTTGCATTTGTTTTCTACAGCTAATAGTTTGGGGGCACACTGACCATCATTCACTGATTGGACTGCAGGTGTACATCTGAGGCTGAGACGAGGCGGTGATGCACTGATGCATGATGCATTGCTGTACTTTTGTATCACTGCATCCTGATGTTAATCCCAAGGACAGGATACACTTTCTTCTGTATATATATATTATGGTTTAATGCATCGTTTTGAACATCTGGCTGTGAGATCGGCCATGGTACTGATCAACATCTGGGCTTGATCCAGTCTGATTGTGTGAAGTAACCGAAGGTATACAATGTTACGTAACATCGGCAATATGTCAGCTATGTCGTGAAGAGTAAAGCACCAAGGATATCTGATTTTTGAAATAAATAGGCTGCTTTCCTCTTATCAAACCTTTAATTTTACTGACTTACTCCAAATAGTGTAACTCGAGTGAAGATCTGGGTTAGAGGTCTTCAGCAACCCATGCTTGCTGTAAAGGGCGACTAACAGGATCAGGTGGTCAGGCTCGAGGACTTGGTTGATGCATGTCATCGTATCCCAATTGACTCCTAGTATTGTGGGTTCGAATAAATAGCTCTGATTATGTTTCTCAGTTTGTCAGCACCAGTCCAGTACTGGTGGGTTTCACAGAAGTGGTAGGGTCTTAGACCTGCATCACTTCAGGCTTTCCTCACACATCCTGAAACACCCTGCTATAACAGAATAAAGTTTAAAATGGCCTTACACCCCACTCACTTACTCACTCTCATGACTTCAGGGTGTCTCTTCAGCTGTTATGTGCATACAGATTTATAAAATATCCCTCTAGGATTTACAAAAGTGATGTGCCACAAATGATATTGAAAAAAGGAAACTTATAGAAAATCTATTATTGCACCTTTAAGAACTGTTTGATATGTACATGGCTCAGGGCAGGGTGTGATCCCACTGAGGACCTCCCATGTGAGGGTTTACTTGTATGTTATGTGGACAAGGCCCTGCCCTTAGATGGGAACGTCTTTTGTGAGAAGCCAGGCTAATCAGGGTTTGTATGTCTGCTTCATATATATCCATATGTTACATATATATCATAATAGTTGTAATGTGATATGAGCAAGCTATGGCACATGGCATCCTCGATTATCCAGCGTATATCTCCATATCATAATACAGTCGAGATTTAATACAATGGATAATCGAGATGAGTACATGGTTACGAGACTCTTTAGTGTACAAGCAATTATTGTAGCCTGTATGCTTGAATGTGATTATGTTCAAGGATCTTTGTATGTCATAACTGTGATTGTATATAATAATTTAGACATAGTCACTTGCATGTATATATTACATATAATAAACTATCATTTAGATTCTCATCTTGGTGTTTAATCGATGCAATGGGTGAGTAAATATTGTTTAGACACACATAGGTAATATATATGCTGTTTGATCAATCTCAATATAATGAGATCACTTACTCTTATACAATGGGACTGCCTCCGTGGTCTTGTGGTAGAGCGTCCGCCTGGAGAGCGGAAGGTCCGGGGTTCGATCCCCAGCTGCGTCATACAAAAGGACGTTAAAAGATGGTACTTGTTGTTACCCTGTCTGGCGCTCAGCATTAAGGGGCTACAACAAGGACTGGTCGGCTCGGAGTCAGTATACTGTGTCTGAGTGGGGTATTCATGTTAGACTGCAGGACTGTATCTCAGTGAGTTAGCACTATAAACCGGCATCAGTCCGGACTAGTACAAACAGCCACACACACGTCCATGCACGTCGCTATATAAGTGCAATAATCTTGGACGTGAGGTTAAACCCAATTTCACCTCACTCACCTCTTATACACTGCCTCTCTGCTTAAAGATCTGAACACACCTCCATGGGAGGCATCTTCCTGAGTCCAGGGTGCCATTGTACAAAGCGATCTTAGACCTAAGATGATCGTAACTCCCATACCTTAACATAGACTTATGACAGTCAGTCTAAGCACTAAGGTTGTATTGTACAACAGCACCCTGGGAGTTAACTGACTATAAAAGCCAGTGGAAAACTGTATGTTTACAATCAGTTAACTCCCTCACCTTATGAAGATGCATGGAAGGTCTCGTAAGTTGAACTATCTGATCAATCAGTCATTGTTGAGGTCTGAAATTTCTTGGTGTGAATGAGCGAAGCATTCGGACAAGTATATATTTGATATACCTAGGAGATGTATCTAGTAACTTCAGTTCTTACTTTCCAATTGTGACAAGAAACAAGTAGCATTTAACACCACTTTTGGCATTATTCCAGCAATGTCATGGCAGGGGACACCAAGAAATGGCACATTGTTACCATGTGGGGAATCAGCCCGGCCCTGGTCTTCAGGGTGATGATCAAATGCCTTTACCACCTGGCTACCTTAAAGTCAAACCGGTTGCTGTGACAATAATGTTGGTTGCTCCATACATTACAAAAACACTCAAAAGCCTGGATACAGCTTTTTGAAAACTTAAAAAAAATAAATGGAAATGATTTGGGAACTAAAATTTATGTTTCGTAACCAAAGATTTGACAATTAATTGTTAACTGTTTTTAAAAACTCACCAAATGATTTAGTTATGAGTTTCTTCTATACATCATAAGTATGCTATAAAAAATACCATAGGTAGTAGTTGGGGCGAGTGGGGTGAGTCTGTTATTGAGTCTATTAAAAATAGACTATTCCAATTGGAACTCTTAGCCATCAATGAACATTCCTTTTCATGTTAAGTCTACTGCACCAGGGGTCATTAAGCCTGCGGATTACCTTACCGTCAGTTTGTTGTTGTTTAACACTGTACTCAGCAATATTCCAGCTATATGATGTTGGTCTGTAAATAATCGAGTCTGAAGCAGACAATCCATTGATTGACTTCATGAGCATCAATCCACGCAATTGGGATACCATGACCAAGTCATCAAGCCTGACCACCCGATCCTGTTAGTCGCCTCTTACGACAAGCATAGTCGCCTTTTACGGCAAGCATGGGTTGCGGAAGACCTACATCGGTCTCAGTATTTCAGTATCACCATGTGCCAGCTTGATGAAGGAGGAATACTCAAGATGATGCAGGCCTCAGACGTTTACCTCTTTGGTGGAATCAGGAGCACAAAGTCATAATGAGGGCAACCTCAATCAAGGGTCGACAGTGTCACAAAGAGAGTGTAACTAACCCTTTTCTTTATGAATTGAAGCTGTCCATTTAGAACTTAATGAAGGTACAAGACCATCTTTATGCTGATGGGGTTGTTCTGGACCTAGGTACGATTTTATGTTTGTTTGTTTATTGCGATACTCAGCAATATTCAAGCTATATGACGGCGCTCGGTAAATAATCCAGTCTAGACCAGAAAATCCAGTGATTGTCATTCTGAGCATCGATCTACGCAGTTGGGATACGATGACATGTATCAACCAAGTCAGCGAGCCTGACCACCCGAGTCGCCTCTTACGATAAGCATAGTCGCCTATTACGGCAAGCATGGGTTACTGAAGACCTCTTCTAAAACGGATATTGACGGGTCCATCGCATTGAACCAGGGTACAGTTCTATATGTCAGCGTTTATCCAGTTTCACATACAGCCTATAGAAATGACAGTTCGTACCCAGGTTTACTTGTGCACTGCAAGGCATATCCACGTGGTAAAAAACAAACTGAAAAAAAACACTTTCGGTACCATGGGTTCCGCAAAATTGATGGATTGGAACACGAAACTGCAGCCGTAACAAACAGGGTACACTTTGATTCATCGAAATGTACCCTTGTGCCACTTGCACAAAGCATTCTTGACGCTAAAAGAATCGTTACAACCATACTTTGATATGGACTTAAATACCATATTTCCTCGAATAAACACCGGGTAGTTTTTTTATGCACAGACTTTTCTTTGCGATTAAACGCCATAGGTAAAGAGGAATCGAGGAAATACGCTACTGGGACTACCCGTCTTTAAGCCCCGGGCCTTATTACGGAAAATAGCACTTTCTCATTTACAATATTTTATCCGATCTTAAGCACAGGGCTCAGTTTCGGAAACTTACCCTTTCTTACCTAAATAGGACACACCCCTCGCTGAAAAAATCAGAAACTGTTAAGTTGTTTTAACTGAGAAATTATAAAACTTTACATTTGAATAGGGAATAACTTCATAGAATGCAGAAGCCGAACGTGCACTTACTGTTCAACGTACATTAAGATTTTCCTTGTGTAGTGCATCGTGATGTATTAACTTTCGAAGGGAGTAAGGTATTAATGTAAGGAAGATAACTCCCAAATTAATATCCTAATTAAAGCCCATGGGCCGAAATACGGAAATATGATAAGATTGCTTTGTGCAAGAGGGCCCAGGGCGAGAATGGCGCCGTGAGCCATATTTAGATACACGTCACAGACAGTGTGGATCTGTGTACATTTATTTGTAATTCAACTGAACATCAGGGTTATTTTGTTATTAATGCCACACTACGTGTCCTTTTGTCAGGAAGAACATCACATTTCATCATGGAACACAACCCTCGCATAGTCTTTATTTTGATGGACAACATGCTGATGGCTGGGGGTGTCAAGATACACGATCTCACTGATAAACTCTTCCTCTTCCTCGTGGTGAGCTTCAGCGACTGGGAACTCGTGGACTTCACGGGGCGGTGGAAAAGTCTTGACAAAAACCCGTTCCGAATACTTCGTCTCACCTGCCCTGCGTCTGTCACTCCGACGTAGCAACTCAACGTTACTGACATCGTCTGCTTCCTCGCCGACCTCTGACCTTGGTGTGACCTCGACCTCTCGACTGTCTTTGAGTTGATGGACATCAGGATGTTCTCCCTCCGGCAACAACAGATCGCCGATATGCTGGGGTTCTGTTTCAAGGGCGAGGTTTTTCGAGTCCTCTGCCACTTGTTTGATATGTTCCTGTGCCTCAGACACCGATATTCCATGGTGTCCGTCTTGGTCAACCTCTTGCAGCGTCTCCAGGTGAAACTCGAGGTTACTTTCATGTGCCATCTCCACTATTTCGACCTCCCCCTCGACGTGGTGCACCGTGTGAAGTGGAGTGGGATACAAGATACTTTTCTGAAGGGTCTCGTTCTCATTTTGGTATTTTGAGTTCGGCTCGAATTTCAGACCGCTATTTGGAGCAACGTCATCTGTGGTACAGGAAACAGATATTAAATTTTCATGAGGTTGTTAAGACATTCTGTGAGAGTGACTTGTTTAACGCTATAGTAAGCAATATTTCAGCCAGGTCATAGCTTGTAAATCCCCGAAACATGACAGGGAAAACCAGTGACCGAAAGCATGAGCAAAGGTCAGCTTCATGGGAATTATGACACGCTATCAGCCAAGTCAAAGATCTTGAACAAACCATCCGTCTTGACCAAACCCGGAACCAACGTAATGGAATTTCGGCTGCTGTCCGTTTTTAAGGGTTATTGTTTATATATTGGTGTATATTCATATATATTTGACGGTTTTTTTCCAATATGTGTTCTGGTGTCCCCCAACGTGATATTGCTGGAATATTGCTAAAAGTGGTGTACAGCCATACTCGCTCACTCCAATATATGTGTTGCATTAAAGGCCGGCTTGTAAAACACCCTCAAAACCAATAACCATGGTTCAATGACATCGAAGTAAATAACTCCAAACATTTGTGATTATTCGCTGTGCAGAGTTGCGTCCCTTGGGCACGCCAGAAACCTATGATTGTGGGTTCGAATCCCGGTTCGCCCCGATTATGTTTCTAGGTTTGTCAGCACCATACCCGTGCTCGTGGGTTTCATCGAAGTGGTAAACGTCTGGGACCTGTATCACTTCGGGCTTTCCTCCCGAATTAAGCTGACACGCCGAGATATAACTGGAATACTGTTAAAAGCGGCGTTAAACCCAACACTCACATTTGTGATTAAACTTCATAAATAAATATTAAAATTCGAGCTGTTGTACGAAGTTCAGAACCAAAAACCAGTTCGATGATAGGGATAATTGAAGGTGTTAATTGTCCCTCAAATGTACTGAAGGAAGTAGGCCCAGGGGATCGATCATTATAGAATTGAGATATGACACACTGGATAATAGAGGACTTGTATAACTGAAATATATTCTACTCAAACGAAGTTAAGGAGCACCCGATTCTTCATATTACTATAGGTCATAACAGAACTGTAGTAATTATTGCTGTAGTTAACCTCTCATGCCCTGTAGAAAAATTTAGGAATCGGATGTTCTTTAACTTCTTGTGAGGTTTTGTTTGTTTGTTGTTTAACGCCACACTCAGCAAAATTTAGCTGTATGACGGCGCTCTGTAAATAATCCAGTCTGGACCATCCAGTGATTGACATCATGAGCATCAGTCCACATAATTGGGATAAGATGATGCATCAACCAAATCAGCGAACCTGACCACCCGATCCCGTTAGTCGCCTCTTATGACAAGCATAGTCGCCTCTTACGGCAAGCATGGGTCTCTTTTGAGTAGTGTATACAAGTTCGTCAGTATACTTCACCATCCTTGTGTTAATGTTTTCTTTGAAGACGTATTAGTGTTAACACTATGTTTGCTGGTGATAAATAACATATACACCACCAGAAAACCACAAGAAAGTGTGATACAATTTTCCTTCATTGAGAGTTTACAGTCCCTAACATAACCTCGAAGTTCTCTCTTCCTGCAATAGAAACATTGCCATACATGCTACTCACCAGCCTCCACTGAGAAGATGGCCGGTGAAAGGATGGAGCTCACTACTAGTAGTCCCCACAACAACATCCTTGTCACGACGATGCCGACAACGTCGATCCTGTGTGAAAGTGGGCCTGAGCCGGACTTGCATCAGAATGTATATCAATAAAAATAAACGATTATGACTGCCATGTGATATTGACTTGCCTGTAACACCTTGCCGAAACTCTCTGCGGTCATACTCCGGGTATTGTCAATAATACTCATTGAAATAACGTTAAGGTCACTCTGACAACAATGGGGTATTGTGACATGAATGCGCATTGAAGTCAAAATGTTCGCCATAAACTGGTTTTGGAGCAAAAGTACTATTGCCAGGTTCCAATGTTCTTCCGATTCGAAATGCTATTGAAGTTATTGTGTTTAATATTTGTCCTTCGGGATATTTGTTTTTTGCAAAAAATACCATTTAATTCTTCATTAATTTTTTTAATCATTTGAAATAGTATTATGTGAGGATGTGATGACTTGAAGCTTGTGCGTGTACCACTGTTCCACCCGCTGTGTTCCGCGTCGTGTACACGACCTCTGTTCATGTGTCCCAGTGATATATGAGACGGGCGTGAATGCAGCAAGCGCAGCTGTGTCTGCACGTGAACAATTGAAACTCTCAACCAATCAATGACCAGCAGTGACGTTTGGCAGAAAGTACTGATCTGTCATTGATGGGGGCCGTATAATAAGGTTCACGATGATTTTGAAACCATCGATTGCATGCGAATTTATCCAGTCACTTGTGGCTTTCTACATGGTTGCCATTGGCAACACGCCGCTGACGTTTGGTTGTGTATATACCATACTATGGCAGGTTTAAACTGGAATCAGTTGTGGATCCATTAAAAGCATTCGTCTTTAAGCATAACCCTTCATATATATGACACCTTCAAACTTAGTAAGGATAAGAATTTATGGATGAACAACTTCTTTATTTATTTACAATTAAGAGCAAGTGATCACTTGCTTGATAACGGTGTTAGAACCTACACCGAAACGTCGCTCTTAATTGTAATAAAGAAGTTGTTCATCCATAAATTCTTAACCTTACTTAGTACTCCAACTTCTAAATGCCTATCAAAGAAGAAACCTTCAAACTTGTTTACTCTTAGTGTTTTCTTCGTCATATTCGTAGTTAGAAATACCTGTTACTGTTTGGCCTAAGCAGTCGACACAACACCGCTGTTTTGTTCTTCCACTTATGTTGTTAATGGTGCTTGCATGAATCAACCCGTTTGTCCTTCGCGGGGCAGATTAGGTACCGAGTACCACATGAGTAAAATGGCTTTTACGCCGCTTTGTGCAGCAACATCCCAAAGCGCGCTGGGGGTCATCAGAAATGAGTTTCACATATTGTACTCTATCTCCAGGCACGCATTTCAGTAAGCCTACTCTAACTCCTGGATCCATTCGCGTGGTTCTTTGCGATCTCAAATTACCCACCTTTGATTTTCATTAACATTTTACCGATCAATCAGGGAAAGGGTAAGGGAGATAACTCGTATTACCTCGAAACCAAAGCCACTGCCAGTTCTAATGCACATAAAGACAGACTTTCAATTTAAAAGATTTTTGAGGGCTTTCTTTTGCGTGTAAGTCATTTTGTCATTTTCAATTTATCGCAAACTCGACCATAATCATTGGGACTGGCCAACCCAACGCTGAGGCTGGTTTACCCGTGAATATCCGATGTATGTCTTCAGCAGCCCATGTTTGCTGCATAAGGCGATTATGCTTGTCGTAAATGGCGACTAACGGGATCGGGTGGTCAGGCTCGCTGACTTAGTTAATGCATGTCATCGTATCCCAATTGCGTGGATCGATGCTCATGATGTCAGTCACTGGATTGTCGGGTCCAGACTCGATTATTTACAGACCGCCGTCATATAGCTGGAATATTGCTGAGTGCGGAGTTAAACAACAAACATCATCATCATCTTGAGGCTGGTTGGGAACTCGTTTGACCTAGTAGCGTAGCCAATCAAACTGGCAAATATAAATTAACGGGTAATTTGAGATTTTGAGAACCACGGGGATGCAGCGGCTGTCAGAGTCACTTGTCTGCCAGCGCCTGGGTTGCCTGACTAACTTATGATGTGATATATCGCGGCCATATTGGTATAAGCAGCGAGCATCTTCACTCATTGACCCACAGCCAGAGTAAGGGTTTAACACTCGGTCAATAAACATCAACATGAATAATAACAAAACTGATTCATTTATTCACAAACTATGATACAGACGCAAGATCGAACAATACAGTGGGCATAATGTATATTGATACTCCCTCGCTAACGACCAGCAGGGGATGTACGATTGTACTTCGATCAGCAATATTCAAGAACATATGAACTTTGGTTTGATCGTGTCAACTAGCTATAGAAAAAAATCATTACATATAGTTGTTTGATACACATTAAGTACTGGGCTAAAAAAAATTAAGTACCATCACATACACATATTAATAATATCACAAATACATCAGTGTCACATCAAGTTTACAAAACCCTGACACACTGGACAAGGAAGGTTATCTCAAGGTAAACCGGGTTGCGAGTCGTCATACTATCGTTTTTACCCTGATGAAACAATATTTACACACAAAATAAATGCCTTCACTTTCTGAAGTTATCCGAAAAGGAAACAGTCCTTGTTAACATTAGGAATTTAAAAGAGCTTCCTTCGAGTTTCTAAAGTACAAACGTTTCATTTCTAAAAGTGTAATGTGTCAAGACGCCATGGTGGAGCCACTCGAAACGAACCGATGACGTGCTGTTTGTCACTTCACGCTGTTATTTATCTGAATACTTCAAATTGGGGGACCATCGTTTCCCATTAAGACATAAAATACGTGAAATGTCATATATAAATATCTTAGAATTAAATCTCAACCTCAACAAGATGCAGGCTTATGGCCTACAGTTCCTCAGTCAACAGACATCTCCCTGTGAGCCCATTTTCCTGAAGACCCAAATAGTAAGCATTAATATAAGATGTTTTCAAATTGTCCGTATAAGCCTTTTAACTTAAACCTCTCCCATCTCTTAACACTGGCACAGTTAAACTGACCATTTGCATTGAAAAAGTGTCTAGAACCATCACATGTCGACTGAGATAGTTGATGTGTGGTGTTATGGATGTTGGTGGTTGATGCCCTAGTCCCCCTTGCCAACAGGCCGCGTCACCACTGACTCGTCCCACTCGTCAACAGGCTGCCTGGAGCTGATGTCGTCGATGTCCTCGCCGTTCTTGAAGTAGCGGAACTTGAAGCTGTTGAAGATGTTCCACACCGAGTCGTCTTCCCCGCCTTTCTCGGATATAAATCTGTGGGAAATATATGCACCTTAAAATCTCATTGTATTTATCCGATACAGTTTTGTTAAGGCTATAAAGCTTCTTTTAGATAGAAATGGGATGTGAGAAGTTTAAAAAAGGAACAACCGAGTGAGTGAGTGACTTTTGACTCTTTTAGCAACATATGTTTGTCAAAGATGTTCTAAACTAAGCTGCAATACATTTTATCTGCCCTTTTGTCAAACACCAATAACAACACAGCCTCCGTGGTCTGGTGGATAAAGCGTCTGCCCAAGAGCGAAAGGCCGTTGGTTCGATCCCCGGCCGCGTCATACCAAAAGACGTTTAAAGATGGTACTTGTTGTTACCCTGCCTGGCGCTCGACATTGTACGGACTCCAACTTTGTGGATCGATGCCTACACACTCAACACATTCGTCGCCATGAAATGGTTGTGGCGTTGCTAACAACCGCTTGAGATTTACTCGAAGTAAGAAACTAATTTACTTGTTGTATTCATCCATATCGTCTTGGATCATCTTCTTCAGATTCAGACCTTTCAGCAAGTTTTTATCCAGGCCCAAATGCTCCAGATCACGTGGGCGTATCGCCTTCTCTTTCTTCAACTCTGAGTCGTCGTGCTCGTGCTTCTCGAGGCCTCCGTGCATGATGTTGTGCATGAAGTCGTCGTCCAGGACACCGTCAACACCCCCGCCCCCACGTGCTACCTTACTTGCTGCTGCATGCCCGTGCACGTGATTCTCGCCTTTCCCATGCAACAGCTGCTCCGTGTCTACAGTCTTTGGCGGGGCTGCGGGAACGTTGCCTTCTTCCTTCTGAAGGCCGGCGTGGTCTACCTGTGAAAGAGATCACCAGATCATGCATGAACATTAGCAAATAAGTTATGTACCATTGTCTATTTGTTTAATAACACGTTCTTGTCCCTAATAACTAGTCATGTGAACGCAATAAACTTATCCTGTCCCGTTCCAGTGAAATGCGATGATTGACGTGTTCAGTGCTCCTTCAAAGCTGCAAAATGGAAGCTATGCACTTTCCCGCTCTGCACTGAGGCACTGCCACAGAGTATGACCAATCAATCAAGTTTATTTCGTAATTCTGGCCACATGGCCCATAGTACAGTTGTAAGATAAATAACATTTTTGGATGTGAGTGAGTGAGTTTGGTTTTACGCCGTTTTAAACAGTGTTGCAGTTATATCACGGCGTGTCAGCTTAATGTGGGAGGAAAGCCTGAAGTGATGAAGGTTTTAGACGTTTACCAGTTCGGTGAAACCCACGAGCATAGGTATGGTGCTGACAAACCTAGAAACATAATCGGGGCGAACCGAGATTCGAACCCACAAATCATAGGTTTCTGGCAACTCTACACACCGAATCGCGGCGCCTTAGACGACAGGGCGACCCGTGTCAGCACAATATTCCAGCTATATGACGGCGGTCTGTAAATAATCGAGTCTGGATCAGACAATCCAGTGATTGACATTATGTGCATCAATCCATGCAATTAGGATCGATGACATACATCAACCAAGTCAGCGAGCATGACCACACGATCCCGTTAGTCGCCTTAACGACAAGCATATTCGCCTTTTAGGGCAAGATTGGGTTGCTGAAGACCTATTCTACCCCGGATCTTCACGGGTCTAGTTTTGTCATTAAGTGGTACACATTGGAAACATCTCTTCTTAACGTACATACCTCACCACATGTTTCTATAGTTCGCGTTTCTTTTTGCGGTGAGAATAAATACTAGTATATGGATAGTATACCGCCGACTAATCCCCTGACTCCCCCACTCGACTGCACTCACCCGTCCGATCCGGACCGTGTCCTCCCCTCTCGGCTTGTCCTCCTCCTTGAGCTGGTCCTCGTGGCTGTGGTCCTTCCCGGCCACCTCGTCCCCGTGCATGAGGACTCCGTGCAGCGCCTGGTCAGGTCTTTCAGGGCCGTGGTCTTGGTTGTCAACCTTCTTGTCATTAGGGTCAGGATCTTTGAAAGCATCCTCTTTAAACTGTTTCAAACTCTCTTTATCAAAGTTCATCTTGGAAACATCTCCTATTTCAACTGGCCTCTCCTTTAACAGCTCTTTATCCGCTTCCTCGTGGTTTCCTTCCCCGTCATGCATCATATTGTGGAGGAAGTCCTCGCCGAGGGCTCCAGTGTCGACGTGTTTGGTAGCCTTCTCCTCTGGAACCTTGCCGTGCACGTCGCCGTCCTCGGCACCATGCGTTAAAACCTCTCCACTGGGGCTCCCGATCTCGCCGTGATTTTTGGGAGCATCCCGGCCAATCTGTTCCTTGACTGCTGTCTTCCATGCAGCCGTGTCCTCAATTACCGCCCCTTCTCCTCCAGTGTTCTGCTGATCTCCGCCAGGTGGCGCAGCTTCACCCTGTTTGTTCTCGGCTCCTTTCTGTGGTTCGAACAGCAGACGATCATCTTTTTTCTCAGGGTCGTCTTCAGATTCGCCTACGGATAAAAAAACCCGACTTGTTTAAACTGACACAAATATTATTTTGCTATGCTCTCACAACTGTTCATCTGAATGAGGGAAATCCATAGCAGATAAGATCCCAGTAGTAAATGCTTGTCGGAACCCGATTATGATCAAGCGGTTACAATGTGTAAGCTCGCTATGCGTCATCGTGCTCATGCTGTCAACCACTCGTTTCCCCCTGCCCATAGATTCGCTATGGATTACAAGCATGAATGAGCTTACAACTGAATGAATGAACGAACGTTGTTTTAAAGTCGTTGTCGGGAATATTCCGTCGACGTTCACGACGTCGGGGTACGATGACGCATAAGGAGCCAAGTTGACCACTGTCCCTAAAAAACAGCTTGTTTGAAAACTGAGACACAGGGCACCTCCTCTGCCTCGGAATCCCGGTTCTCAAACGAAAACTTGTGGTATTTACATAGTAAATGAATGATCCCTGACATTCAATACATGTCGAAACCCGACTGGGAGCACGGGTGGCCCAGTCGTCTAAGGAGCCGCGATTCGCTGTGCAGAGTTTCGTCCCCTTGGGCACGCCAGAAACCTATGATTGTGGGTTTGAATCCCGGTTCGCCCCGATTATGTTTCTAGGTTTGTCAGCACCATACCCGTGCTCGTGGATTTCACCAGAGTGGTAAACGCGTCTGAGACCTGCATCACTTCGGGCTTTCCTCCCACATTAAGCTGACACGCCGTGATGTAACATAAATCATGTTAAAAGCGGCGTTAAACCCAACTCACTCACTCACTCGAAAGTCGACGAGGATCGAGTGGTAAAACTGTGTGACCTGGCTGATCGTGTGTCATTGATTGTTCAGCCTGCCGTCAACAACTTGCTTTCACTGGGCGCCATGAAACGACTGCAGCATGAAACATCACTCCCAGAAGCATTTGAGCTAGCAATTGATAGTGATGGGTATTGTCGTGAATTTTGTATTGCAATTTATTGCAATAATAATTCATGTTTTGCGATACGTAAAACAATATATTGCATGAGTTCTTTCATTTGTAATTTGTTATGAACCTGAACAAAATATTGCATATCGTGGTATACTGGTAATATCGCATTCCCCCAGTAATTGATATATGGATATTGACCAATCCTTACACCATGGACCCACTGTCTGTCTAATAGAACCGGTTACTCCGGCGTATTTATTCCCATGGTTACCTTGTGGCTTACCATGCACAAGGTGTGTGTTCAATACCCAGTTATTATTTCTGTGAAACCATCATTGTATTGCATTGCTGTGACATGACTATGCGAATACTTAACATGAAGGCAAATACTAGTACAATGTAATTGGGATAAAAATTGCAATAACTCCAAAATTCCGCCCTATGTCGAGCTACACATGTGCCGAATACGTCTTCAGAACCCCGGACCCGTGAAGATCCGGGTTAGAATACGTCTTCAAAACCCCGGACCCGTGACGATCCGGGTTAGAATAAGTCTTCAGAACCCCGGACCCGTGAAGATCCGAGTTAGAATTGGTCTTCATCAAAAGGCGACTAACGTGATCGGGTAGTCAGGCTCGCTGACTTGGTTGATGCATGTCATCGTATTCCAATTGTGTAGAACGATGCTCATGGTGTCAATCACTGGATTGTCGGGTCCAGACTCGATTATTTACAGACCGCCGTCATATAGCTGGAATATTGCTGAGTGCGGCGTAAAACAACAACCAAAGAAACAAATAAAACTGTGACAGTATTTTCAGCAACAAGGTAAACTACTGTTTTCACAATACTTGACCACAGATGACGTTTGGCGTTTCAGTATTGATGTCGATAAAAAAAGGACAAAAGAGACGTACAACTAACAGTTGGCAAATTACATAACTAAACAGAATACAATATTATGACGTTTAAAAAGTAAAACATTAGCACAATATCAACAAAGCTTGGCATTACCGATAAATTATGCAAATATGAGATCAGGTAGGTATACTACTTTGTGTGTTTATACAAACAAACATGGCGTCGTCCTTGTCCATTGGTGATCTCGGATCTGATATGCTTCATACAATCTGTTATCATCGTCAAATAATAGCCTTAAACAACAAAACCAGTGGCTAAAACATGTTTCAGTTGCAACTATACTACCCGTTTTCAATGTACGACTGACGTATGACTGACATAGTATTTGATATTTGACTGCGCACATTCCAGGAAAACTTGTTTAGATACCGTTTGTGTTGAGAATATATTTTCGATGACTGAATCTTAGAATGACATTATATGATAAGGTAGTTTTCAAGCGAGTGTGTTTTGGGATGGTAAATGCTACGTATAAGGAAAAACTGTATTCCGCTCAGGATATTTATCATTCCAGAACACAATCGTGTGGTGACCTCTATATACGTGTGCATATCTTACCTGCACGTGTAGGTAACGCTGCAACACAGGTAAAACTAATCAGCACAATCAACAGGTATGTCCACGAAGTCATCATGGCTTCCCCGTCTGTTCCAGTGCATCTATCACACTCGAAGTCGTGGTCGATACCAACGAATGAGGGTTGTAACGGGCTATTCCGTTGTAGTTGTGTTGTTCGCAGCTGTTGTTCAGAAATGTCGTTCCCCAGATGAAGCCACAAAGAACCAAGTTTAGTCTGGTGAAAGACGTGTGTACGGTTTTGGTCCGATCTAACTCAAACACGTTGTGTTTTCTTCATGAAATAGAGTGGGAAGGGTCTACGTGGTGTTCATATACTGGTGTGTTGTTGTCTACTAATCCTGGACATACCTATTGCATCAACTGCCACACTTTCAGGAATGACGTGTTCACACGACGCGAGTTGAAAATATCAATTACAAATCCGTGGTTGAATTGTGGCGCAACGTTCGCTGTTCTAGCATGGCCAGAAAAGGTTGAAATGGAAACTACTTATTTATCAATTTACAGAAATTGTGCCTGAAATTGATTGTTTCTCCTCATAAAGAACATTTACGTGTAAGGTTGCGTGTAGGGCATTAATTAACTTTTCAAAAATTGGGAACAGACGCGGAAACGCAACAAAGACATCAATATTTTCTTTATACGGCAGACTGGTGCACGAGAGTTCAATAAGAGGCAACACGTGGTGGCTATGAACGGGGTCATCTCAAAACCTCACAAGCCGTTTATTGACCAGTATGGACATTACACATGCCATATACAATTACGAAATATTGGAAACAAATTATATACAACTGTGTGTTTGTGTTGCTGAGACAATGTCCGCGTGCATTGGATCGATGCATGACAATCTCGTTAACATGTGTTTCCGATGTTTTCCGATGATCGAGAACACTGACACATGCTTAATTAACACTGTTCACGAGTGGCCCAGTCGTCTAAGGCGCCGCGATTCGCTGTGCAGAGTTGCGTCGCTTGAGCACGCCAGAAACCTATGATTGTGGGTTCGAATCCCGGTTCGCCCCGATTATGTTTCTTGGTTTGTCAGCACCATACCCGTGCTCGTGGGTTTCGCCGAAGTGGTAAACGTCTGAGACCTGCATCAATTCGGGCTCTCCTCCCACCGCCGGGATATAACTGGAATAGTGTTAAAAGCGGCGTTTAACAACTCACTCACTCACTCACTGTTCACGAGTAAAGTTGGTAAGAAACACAATCAAGTTGAAGCGGGAAACGAACTCACAATCATAGGTTTTGCACAGCGAATTGCGGCGCCTTCGATGACTAGGTCACCCGTAATATACACCATAAACGTCACGAACTGAAACGTGTATTTGTAAGATACGTTGTCCGGTTCGTGATGCGTAAACTGTTATTAAATATTAACATCCTAACATATATGTATACACATTTAGGGTTTTGTGAATACGAACAATGGTAAATGGTTTGCCAGAGGTCACCCAGGGATACAAAAAAAACAACATGCATGCTTTACCTGTATCAGAGCAAATAAATGTTCATTTATATTAATACAAAATTTATATGACCGTGGCATTTATTGAATATATCGGTTCACATCGATCGAACAATAGTTACAAAAACAGTCAGTTTTGCCCCAAATGAGAACGATGAATTGCAAAATAACTCAAAATTGTAAATAGTCTATTAAACGTTAAGCGGCAATGAATACTCTGTACCCAACAACATCTGTTGTTAGTTTTATACCCATCACTGGAAAAAAGTTGTTTAAGAAACTCTCATGTTCTTGCGTGTACAAGTTGACGTCTTGAACGGAGGGGAACACAACGGTAGGAGGAACAGCGCAAACACATCAATATGGAAGTGGAAGTGCTGTTACCGACTTTCCTGTATTATATGCCACATCAGTGCACGTGCTTGTATATTGCGGAGCCAGCAAAACGTTTGTGCAATGCATTTATGGATATAAATGGAAGTTTCAGATATGGGAATTGGAACCTGTAATATCATTCCATTAAAACTTATTTTACCCCGGGTCAGTATTGAGCAGATGTCACTGAACCCAAGCACCGAAACATATGGTCGGAACACATATACGCGAGATTGTCCTGCATCGACCCCTTGCACACACAGATATGTAATATCAAGAATGGCTCTCGCGTCACGGGGGCGGTCGGGTAGCCTAGTGGTTAAAGCATTCGCCGTCACGCCGAAGACCCGGTTCGATTCCCGACATGGGTACAATGTGTGAAGCCCATTTCTGGTGTCCCCCGCTGTGATATTCATGGAATATTGCTTAAAGCGGCGTAAAACCATACTCACTCACTCTCATGACACGAACGCATTTTGCTTTGTTTTCGGAGTTTATTTCTTACATATAGAGAAAGAATTTATTCCAGTTTCGGAAAAGTGCTATTTATCATTGTTAATATATAATTTGTAATCCATTTCTACTGACGCCGTGATGTAACTGAAATTTAAACGCGGCGTTAAACCCAACTCACTCACTCTCATCTAGTAACAAATATATATATATATATATATATATAAAACAATGGAAACGTTTGACACTGACATCTTACGATAACAGTAATAAAGTAATTGCCATTAATATCCATTTTATTGCGTTCAAGGATCCAAGACATAGGAATAGCATTGCTTCAAGAATACACAGCCGACTGTTTGAAGTATTTATATTTGTAAACAAAAACTTGCAGGCACACATGAAAATAAAATAACTTTAAAAAAGAAAAGAAAAAAAGATTCTTTCAATATACCATTTGTGATCAGTGGTGATTTTCCCATGCTTATATCAAATGCCTGTACCTTCCAAACAAAATCAGGGAGCACGGGTGGCCCAGTCGTCTAAGGCGCCGCGATTCTCTGTGCAGAATTGCTTCCCTTGGGCACGCCAGAAACCTATGATTGTGGGTTCGAATCCCGGTTCGCCCCGATTGTTTCTAGGTTTGTCAGCACCATACCCGTGCTCGTGGGTTTAACTCAAGTGGTAAAAGTCCGAGACCTGCATCACTTCGGGCTTTCCTCCCACATTAAGCTGACACGCCGCGATATAACTGGAATACTGTTAAAAGCGGCGTTAAACCCAACTCACTCATTCCAAACAAAATCTAAAACTATAACAATGAAATTCTATCAAATAATAAGGGGTGAGTGAGTATGGTTTTACGCCGCTCTTAGCAATATTTCGGCAATATCACGGAGGGGGACACCAGAAATGGGCATCAGACATTGTACCCATGTCGGGAATCGTATGTCGGCGTGACGATCGAACGCTTTAACCACTAGGCTACCCGACCGCCCCCAAATTACTAAGACGCGGGAGATAGTTCTATGGATATACAACTTCTTTATAACAATGAATGCGACATTTCAGTGTAGAAACTAAACCGTTATCAAGCAAGTGATGCTGACAGTATCTACATCGAAACGTCGCATTCATTGTAATAAAGGAGTTGTATATCCATATAATTATCTCCCTTGTTCATCATACCAACTTCTAAATGCCACCTAAAGAAGTTACAAATATTAAGAGATCGTGAAGATCTGGGGTAGAATAGGTCTTCAGCAACCCATGCTTGCCGTAAAAGGTGACAATGCTTGTCGTAAGAGGCGACTAACGGGATCGGGTGGTCAGGCTCTCTGACTTGGTTGATGCATGTCATGGATCCCAATTGCGTGGATCGATGCTAATGATGTCAATCACTGGATTGTCTTGTCCAGACTCGATTATTTACAGACCGCCGTCATATAGCTGGAATATTGTTGAGTGCGGCGTTAAACAACAAACAAACAAACAAATATTAAGGATAAATTCTTTTTGTATAATTTGCATTTGTGTGAAAAAGTCACCATGACTCGAGAGTGTTCGAGTTAACCATTCGTCGCTTTTGCAGACTTTCCGCAATAAACCAATATCCATTTCACTGAGTTGGATTTCCGGCAATATCAATCAGTAGACTGGCAGTGGGGGTCAAGGTCACTGGAGTAGAACAGGCGCTCCTTTCTCATGCGATTCCCTGCACGCCCGGGCAAGTTTCATGGCTGACAAAGTGTCGTGCTTGGTCACTTCCAGTTCTGTCTTACCTGGAACATACACATCGCCCGTCTATCACTATCACGCTTAGCATACACGGATCACGGAACATACACATCGCCCGTCTATCACTATCACGCTTAGCATACACGGATCACGGAACATACACATCGCCCGTCTATCACTATCACGCTTAGCATACACGGATCACGGAACATACACATCGCCCGTCTATCATTATCACGCTTAGCATACACGGATCACGGAACATACACACCGCCCGTCTATCACTATCACGCTTAGCATACACGAATCACGGAACATACACATCGCCCGTCTATCACTATCACGCTTAGCATACACGGATCACGGAACATACACATCGCCCGTCTATCACTATCACGCTTAGCATACACGAATCACGGAACATACACATCGCCCGTCTATCATTATCACGCTTAGCATACACGGATCAAGACGGTCGGGGTGAGAGGTACATGGTGCTCTCCCCCCCAACACACCTACCATTTTCAAGCATACCAATGATGTTAATGTACAAAAAAAAAGCTTTTGGCTTACAAAGGCAGATTCTATACATAAACTCATGTCCAAAGGAAACAATTCCAACTAGTTTTTTAAATATTTTTGTTATAAGTGATGTATTTTTGTGAACTTAAACATATCCCACATACCAAGCCAAATGTAAAAGATAGGAAAATTTGGGAAAATTTGACAATTTGTGTAAAAAATGTGCACTTTGCTTTAACAATGTCAGGTGCCGTAGTACGAAATGCACGTGCAGATCTACTGTATAAAACTGCTGACCCGACATGTTAGAAACACAACACTAAAACACACACAAGAGAAACGGCACGTTTACTGCGATGGAGAGGGAGAGAGCCGTTTGAATGGCCCAACAGGGAGCGACGCACGCCGTCCTTGCCAGAACGTTTGGATGCGCCCGTATAACAGTTACTAGCTTGATGCAACGGCTACGTCAGACAGGCCCGACAACGGACAGGCCGAGAAGCGAAAGACAACGGGTGACCACACCCATTCAAGACTGCTACATCCGGACAATTCACCTCAGAAACCGCTTCGTCACGGCGACGTTAACGGCAGCGACGGCACTGCGACACAGGATCAGTCAGCAAACCGCATATAGGAGATTACGAGCCCATGGTATCAGAGCAATCGACCCTACCGAGGAGTGTTGTTGGCGCCTCGACAGACTGACAAGGGCCAGGAGACTTTGACGTTGGCAACTGTGTGACTGGGCACGTCTTGTGTTCTCTGGTCGTCAACGTATTTACAAAAGAGTTGGTGAAAATTTAGCGCCGAATTTGCATTCATCAAGTCCGGGCATTTGGAGGCGGAGGCATAATGATCAGTGAGGAACCTGCGGTGACTTGAAAACGAGGCTCGTGTTTATTCATGGTAACGTGAATGCACAGCGATATTGAGATGAAGTTTAGCGACCAGTTGTGGGGCCATTCATCCATCAACAGCCCTTGGAATCATTTTCCAGCACGACATGGCGACGCCGCATGGTTGACGCAGAACTTCTTAACACCGCGAATATCAAGGTTTTTCCATGGCCATGTTAAAGTTCGATTGTAATGAAATTATGAACACATGATGTTATCTGGATCCTCATTCAAAATTTACTTTCGATGTGAAACCTAAACGTATTTGCGGGTAAGTCATTAAAAAAGAAAGAAATGTGTATGGGTCATATACTAGTATACATATGATTTGTTAGGAATCTGGGTTCAGTGGATCCTGGCATTGCTAAGGAACAGAACTCTGCACAGCTAAATACGGCGTATTACAAGACTGGGAAAGGCGGAGGTTTCAGCCCATCAATATCACGGCGGCCATCTACAGTCTGAAGATAACCAGACACGATGCAGGTTATCTGTTAACGTCATGTAAACGCCAACGTCACGCGCCAAGTCAAACCGCCAAAATATGTGCAACAGTTTGGATATACCCGATTCATAAATACTTTGTGGAGCAGTGCTCATTTTAAATACAATTTTAATAACACCATGAATCATGTTGCTCGAGACCCGTGAAGATCCGGGGTAGAACCCATCTTCAGCAACCAATGCCTGCCGTAAAAGGTGACTTTGCTTGTCGTAAAAGGCGCCTAACGGGATCGGGGGGTCAGGCACGCTGACTTGGTTGATGCATGTCATCGTATCCCAATTGCGTGGATCGATGCTCATGATGTCAATCACTGGATTGTCACGCCCAGATTCGATTATTTACAGACCGCCGTCATGTAGCTGGAATACTGCTGAGTGCGGCGTTAAACAACATGTTGCTCGATATATAGCTGTGTCTAAAAAAGCCAGCCGCCCGTATTCCCGCAACACAGTACCTTCCATGACATCCAAAAAGTGTTTGAGCTCCAGATGGTACGCTTCATCATAACGCCCAATAAACCCTGGTGACATAGGAGGCGCTGAGGTTGCGGAGTGGAGTTGGTTAACGCTGGTGTTTCTCACCGTCAAGTCCCCCTGGTCAAATTTTGCCTGCAACATCACGTGATTATAAACTGAGGCAAGAATGGACCATATGATGAGTAAAACATTTATCAGAAAGCACACTTCTCAAATCCAAAGGTAAAATTTCTAATTCACCTCCAATCTCTGATCGTAGCCCGCACCAGAAACGCGGCCATTGTCAATCATCGACACTACACCGTTTTCATACTTGATGGTGACGTTCACCAGGTCAAGATCACCAAGCTTTCTGACTTCCGGGTCAAATGCATTTCCACATGCGTAGATGCTACTTGGCTTTGAGCCCACCATCCACAGAGAAAGGTCAAGGTCGTGGATTGTGGAGTCAAAGAAAATTCCTCCTAGAAAAGAATGTCATCAACTGTAACTTGTACCTATGATAAAATTAATACAAATTGTGTACGGGTATGTAAGTTCTTCAGTACAACAAGATATATGCTCAAAACATTAAGAAAACATATACATAAAAATAAAAAAGCGAAGGCAACATTCTGAAACGATAAGGGTAAATTACGACTTGCGGGAAAAAATACCCATAGAGATTAAAACTGGAAACGGAAGTTGCCGTTTCTTGAAAAATGGCGGCTTACCTGAAGTCCGGATGTAGTCGGGCGGGGGAGTACTGACATCGTGGCTGGAACCCTTCAGTAGGCGAAGTTGGCCGAATGTCTCTGACCGGATGTGGTCATGCATCTGCCGGAAGCTCGGGTCGTATCTCCTGCACACCCGATGCGGATCTTATTAGTTATTCAGGATCATATTTGAAACTTAATATTAACGACTACTCATGAATTATATGCACCATCAATATGCATGAATAACTTAGTTGAGTTGAAATGGGCTCAAGGTCATTGCACTTACATAGCGAAGTTTTGTTTGTTTGTTGTTTAACGCCGCACTCAGCAATATTCAAGCTATATGACGGCGGTCTGTAAATAATCGAGTCTGGACCAGATATCCCAGTGATTGACATCATGCGCATCGATCCACGCAATTAGGATCGATGACATGCATCAACTTAGTCAGTGAGCCTGACCACCTGATCCCGTTAGTCGCCTCTTACGACAAGCATAGTCGCCTTTCGTCGAACAAACTGGTGTGTTATGTGAACCGACGCTCATGAACGCATCACACGTGATGTCATAGATCCATGAATCGAGATGCACCATTTGTCTCGTGCCGGATTAGCGTTAGCTTTGTCATGAATTGGTACACATTTGAAATATCTCTTCTTAACGTACACACTTCTATATACGTTAATTCAGCATACTGTGTCTTTGTGGGGTATTCATGTTAAACTGCGGCAATGTTTCTCAGTGGGATGCCACTATAAAATCGGCATTATTCCGGACTAGTACAAGCAGCCACACACGCACATGCACCTCGAAATGTAGGCCAGTGAAGGTCCAGGGTAGAATAGGTCTTCAGCAACCCATGCTTGCCGTAAAAGGCGACTATGCTTGTCGTAAGAGGCGACTAACGGGATCGGGTGGTCAGGCTGGCTGACTTGGTTGATGCATGTCATTGATCCCAATTACGTGGATCGATGATCATGATGTCAATCACTGGATTGTCTGGTTCAGACTCGATTATTTACAGACCGCTGCCATATAGCTGGAATATTGCTGAGTTCGGCGTTAAACAAGAAACAAAACAATCAAAAAATCTTATATTTCGAGTTTTGTTTCTAAAACTTAAAGCAAATAATTAATAGAAGAAGGCTTTATCACTTACCTTTGGAAGGCACAAAAGAGAGGGACGTTATTCTTCTCGGCCAAATCATAACAGCTCCCTGTCGACTCTATGTCAGGTGTCACCGGCTTCTCACAAAACACTGCCTTGTCTTCGCGTTGTGAAAAACAAGCAGAAGACGGCTTGTGAGTGAGTGAGTGAGTGATGGTCAGTCCCATACAACGAAGTCTAAGTATTCGCATCTTTAACCGAAGTTTTATTTAGAAAACATTGGGGCTTTAATAATGCAATAGTACGTCATGTTTGTTTGACGCCGACGTCAGCAGTCTTCCAGCTTCACCACGGCCAGTTGTTATCATCGGGGACTTCCGACTGCCAAAACGTAAACCCGACATTATATTGTTGCGGAAATGGTTGTCGTTTACGAGCGACATGGCATCTACGCCAAAATGGTAGTACGAACTCAGGAATGTTTGTTTCGTGAGGGTTATATTTTTTACAAATTAGAAGTTCTGGATTGAGGTGGTAAAGAAATGAAACCATATCGTTTTCGAAAGCTGACACCTGATTGGGTGAAGAACCCACGTGCCGTTCTTTTAGATTGGGAGGTCAAAGTTCACTCAGGGTTCACCTGACGCAACCTCCTGTGACCTTGACGCAGAGAGGTATGACACTGGAGTAAAATATCTGATTGTAATGATATTGAACAGTTCACTCACTGGCTCCGAGACAAGCCTGAATCTGATGCGCATGCTCAGTAGATGGGGATGCGATAATGACGGCTCCAACACTGGAAGGAGGGTGAACAGATTGAGTGAGTGAGTGAGTTGGGGTTAACGGCTCTCTAGCCATTAAGAGATAGACAGATCGCTGTGCCACACAAGAAACATATGAAAACCCAGAACCACCTCCCTTCCCCGCAGATCCCTATCGTGCTCGATTATAAAAAGTGTATAACACCTCCATTGTAATAATAATAATGATAATGATGATAACAACAACAATCATCATCATCATCATCATCATTATTATTATTATTATTATTATTATTATTATTATTATTAGACCGCGGGTATCCAGGTAGTGTCTGCTCCAATGCGTTATTATTTGATAATAACCTGGACCCGTTCACTATCATAGCTTAGTAGCCCGACGCAACACAGAACTACCCAATCAAATTACTGTTACGAATTCTGTGCGAAGTTTGATGTCGGAGGGATGGAGGTTGTGACGTCACTTACGAAACGTAGCTATGGAAGCGGGGCAAGGGTATTTTAAACTGGTTCCACTGTTGGTACACGACTTAAGCTTAGCGATTTTACTCATAGGTAGACAGGAGCCCAGTTGTTTTCGTTTCAGGGTCTTTATCATAATAGAATGGACACTATAAATAATACAGTATGGTTAAACGAGTGTGTATATACTACGTCCTATCACAAACGTAAGAGTATACAAGCTTTGTTTAATTCACTCAGCTTTACTATTTAACAGATAATCAAACACCCATGTGTCGAATTTGAAGGGATCTACGTAAATACTTCGAGTTATCAGATGTTCAATACAATCGAAAGTGATGAATGAAGAAGGAACACGCAGGGACCAAGCTTTTACTTCGAGACAACCGTAAGTTCGACACAACGGTGTTTGACTGTATTTTTAATTTAATAATATATGGCTCATTAATGTTATACAAGGGGATATAGTTCCCTCTTAGTGGGACCGACCTGCGCAACATCTTTGGCATAGGTTTGTTGGGGGCCAATTCTAAACCGGCTCCTCTGAGCTTACATACGGTCTCAGGACTAAAGAGCTTAGGTCACTTCCAGATTACCTCGGGTCTTCCAGGACCGGGTCGAGGTTGTCAGGGGAAGTTACTCTCGTTGGAAGAGAAAAGGTGTCTACGAATCGCTGTGCTTCTTTTACGTCATTTCTGACGATCCATTTCAGCGACGCGCGTGGGGACTGCATCACGTTCTTCATGTGCACCATCCCTTCAACAGAACATGTCCTTTACAGCACTCTCAGGCGAGTAACTCGCTTGTGTAAACGCCGCTTTGAACAGTATTTCAGTTACAGGGCTCGATTTAAGGAACTTAATTTAACAGGTGCATGTTAACATAAATATTGCATTTCAATAATAGGTTGCACTTGTGCATGTTTTATATAGCCAAATCAAGCCCTGAATTATATCATGCTGTGCGAACGTAAGATTTGGGAAGAAAGATCGGAAGGGATACAGACGTTTGACGTCCACCAAGTGACCCCCTCGATCACATACTTGGTGCTGACAAACCGGGCCTCACAATCCGGCACGCCTCAGGGACGTAACATATATGCCTTGGAAAACAAGGCCAAACAGATGTCCCCCAACTTCCGTCTGTGTTGTTTGTCGTTTAACTCCGAACTCAGCAATATTCCTGCTACATGGGGGCAGTTGGGTAGCCTAGTGGTTAAAGCGTTCGCTCGTCAAGCCGAAGACACGGGTTTGATTCCTGACATGGGTACAATGTGTGAAGCCCATTTCTGGTGTCCCCTGCCGTGGTATTGCTGGAATATTGCTAAAAGCGGCGTAAAATCAAATTCACTCACTCACTCCTGCTATATGACGGCGGCCCGCAAATAATCGCGTTCGGACCAGACAATCAACTGATCGATATTGTGAGCAACGATCGAGGGGGTTCCGCAACTCTCGAATAAGTTTGATACATTTGATTTTTTTTTTATCAGATTCCAGGTAGTATTACTGTGTGCGTTTTTGAATTAATACATTTACAAATTTCGATTTCTTTTTCGCACGAGTTCTGTGTTTGAAACAATGAAGCGTACTTCAATGAAAGTAGTTATTAAGTATTCAAAATACATACCCATTCTTCCCAAACCAAGCACTGCAATACCAATTTTGGCCATGTTGAATTATTCCAATCTACGAAAAAAAAGTGAGTAGATTTAATTGGACTCCTCAGATTATCAGATGGTCGGCCCAAAACAGGTGACGCGGACGGGAAAAAGAACAAGAACAAGGGGAAAATCTTGTCAAAGAGCCAGTTCCAAGTGACATCTGAAACACGACTGTCTGTGTAAATGCACGGTGTTTAACATCTTCCCGAGGCAAGGGAGATAAGTCAGTTAACTCCCTTGCCTCGGGAAGATTTCAGTATAATGTATTACTTAGTGTTTCGATGGAAACATATTACAAGTTTCGCCATTTGTTTTGACAGGTGCAGTTGTTTTCACCAACCAGATACATTGTTTTTACGCCCTCCTTACATCTACAGTCCCCCATTCCATCGAGCAATGACCGTTTTTACGAAAGCAACGCTTTCAGCTTCCGCAAGCAGGATTTGGGGGTAGAGAAGCAGAAAGTGCTGAACTCGGTACTTCGACTCGAGGCAGTGCCTGCAATGATCTGTCCAGGGCCCCGGGACATAAAACGATCTGCGCTAAGTCGATCATAACTCTCTAAATGAATAAAGACTTATATCAATCTCATTAAAATCAGATCTTAGTTCTCGCTACCGCTAAACAAAGATCTGAGGACATCCCATTAGGGGTCACGTCAGGACGACCTTTCATCCGACCAATCAGAGCGTCGCTTACCAGATCATGAAAGTGACAGTCGAAATGTGATTTCTCATCCTGCAACCTCGAAAACTTTTAAACTGGGTATTCCGAACGATAGTTACGGGCTTAACGACTGAATCTATACAATCTAGACCATATATTAGCCATTCGAGAATGTTCTTTTGTTCAGGTTTCAAATTTTTAAGCGAGAATTTGTCAAAATATGTTTCGAAGAGTAGTCGCCAATTTAAAATTAGTGCCGTTAAGCGCGGGAAAGCTGCCTTCTGATTGGCTAATGTCGACTTCTTGTCAGTAATTCCATTGGTCGGTCAGAGTTCGCGAAAGGTCTGTCTGACGTGACCCGTAATGGGATGTCCTCAGATCTTTGTTTAGCGGCAGCAAGAACTAAGATCTGATTGTAATGAGATTGGACTTATATACAATAGTGTGGAGAATACCTATACACCACTTCAAACTGAAGTAATCACAACGCCCAGGGTAATACTCTGCTATGTCTCTACATGATTAATAAATCCCACAGAAGCCGATGACCAGAGACAAAAAAGTGAGTGACGGTGAACGCCGCACTCGGCAAAATTAAAGCTATGTCACCGCGGCCTGTAAATGAACCAGTCAGGCAGACCAGTGATTGATAGCATGAACAACGGTCCAGTGTGATGACATACAATCAAGCAAGTCACCGACCCTTACACCGAGTCTGGCATGTAGGAAGCAGGTCATGATGACCGAGTCTGGCAACGTCCCCAGCAACCTGTGGTTGTAAGAAGCAGGTCATGATGACCGAGTCTGGCAACGTCCCCAGCAACCTGTGGTTGTAAGAAGCAGGTCATGATGACCGAGTCTGGTAACGTCCCCAGCAACCTGTGGTTGTAGGAAGCAGGTCATGATGACCGAGTCTGGCAACGTCCCCAGCAACCTGTGGTTGTAAGAAGCAGGTCATGATGACCGAGTCTGGCAACGTCCCCAGCAACCTGTGGTTGTAGGAAGCAGGTCATGATGACCGAGTCTGGCAACGTCCCCAGCAACCTGTGGTTGTAAGAATCAGGTCATGATGACCGAGTCTGGCAACGTCCCCAGTATCCTGTGGTTGTAAGAATCAGGTCATGATGGTGACTTGGTTGATTGCGTGTCATCGACCCCGGATCGTTGCTCGCAATATCGATTACTGGTCTGCCTGATTGGTCAGGCCATCGTCATATAACTGAAATATTGCAGAGTGTAGCGTTAAACAACGACTGCAAACAACTGATAGATGTATCAATGGCCTTCAGTTCAATGCTTAACTCCATCTTAATGTGTACCTCGATCATAATGAGTACCTCGATCTTAATGTGTACCCTCATCTTAATGTGTACCTTCATCCTAATGTGCATCTTCATCTTAATGTGTACCTTCATCTTAATGTGTCTTCATCTTAATGTGTACTTACATCTTAATGTGTACCTTCATCTTGATGTGTGTCTTCATCTTAATGTGTACCTTCATCTTAATGTGTCTTCATCTTAATGTGTACTTACATCTTAATGTGTGCCTTCATCTTAATGTGTACCTTCATCTTAATGTGTCTTCATCTTAATGTGTACTTACATCTTAATGTGTACCTTCATCTTGATGTGTGTCTTCATCTTAATGTGTCTTCATCTTAATGTGTACCTTCATCTTAATGTGTATCTTCATCTTAATGTGTACCTCCATCCTAATGTGTACCTTCATCTTAAGGTGTACTTTCATCTTAAAGTGTACTTCCATCTTAATGTGTGCCTTCATCTTAATATGTACCTCCATCTTAATGTGTACCTTTATCTTAATGTGTTCCCCCATCGTAATGTGTACCTTCATCTTAATATGTACCTCCATCTTAATGTGTACCTAAATCTTAATGTGTGCCTTCATCTTGATGTGTGTCTTCATCTTAATGTGTCTTCATCTTAATGTGTCTTCATCTTAATGTGTACCTTCATCTTAATGTGTACCTTCATCTTAATGTGTACTTCCGTCTTAATGTATACCTTCATCTTAATGTGTACCTTCATCTTAATGTGTACCTTCATCTTAATGTGTACCTAAATCTTAATGTGTACCTTCATCTTAATGTGTACCTTCATCTAAATGTGTACCTTCATCTTAATGTGTACCTTCATCTTAATGTGTGCCTTCATCTTAATGTGTACCTAAATCTTAATGTGTGCCTTCATCTTGATGTGTACTTCCGTCTTAATGTGTACTTCCGTCTTAATGTGTACCTTCATCTTAATGTGTACCTTCATCTTAATATGTACCTTCATCTTAATGTGTACCTTCATCTTAATGTGTACCTAAATCTTAATGTGTGCCTTCATCTTAATGTGTACTTCCGTCTTAATGTGTACCTTCATCTTAATGTGTGCCTTCATCTTAATGTGTACCTTCATCTTAATGTGTACCTTCATCTTTATATGTACCTTCATCTTAATGTGTACCTTCATCTTAATGTGTACCTAAATCTTAATGTGTGCCTTCATCTTGATGTGTGCCTTCATCTTAATGTGTACTTCCGTCTTAATGTGCACCTTCATCTTAATGTGTCTTCATCTTAATATGTACCTTCATCTTAATGTGTACCTTCATCTTAATGTGTACCTCCATCTTAATGTGTATCTTCATCTTGATGTGTGCCTTCATCCTAATTTGCACTTACGTCTTAATGTGTACCTTCATCTAAATGTGTACCTTCATCTTAATATGTACCTTCATCTTAATGTGTACCTTCATCTTAATGTGTACTTAAATCGTAATGTGTGCCTTCATCTTGATGTGTGCCTTCATCTTAATGTGTACTTCCGTGTTAATGTGTCTTCATCTTAAAGTGTACTTACATCTTAATGTGTACCTTCATCTTAATGTGTACCTTCATCTTAATGTGTACCTTCATCTTAATATGTACTTTCATCTTAATGTGTACCTTCATCTTAATGTGTACCTTCATCTTAATGTGTGCCTTCATCATGATGTGTGCCTTCATCTAAATGTGTACTTCCGTCTTAATGTGTGCCTTCATCTTAATGTGTACCTTCATCTTTATATGTACCTTCATCTTAATATGTACCTTCATCTTTATATGTACCTTCATCTTAATGTGTACCTTCATCTTAATATGTACCTTCATCTTAATGTGTATCTTCATCTTGATGTGTGCCTTCATCTTAATGTGTACTTCCGTCTTAATGTGTACCTTCATCTTAATGTGTACCTTCATCTTAATGTGTACCTTCATCTTGATGTGTGCCTTCATCTTAATGTGTACTTCCGTCTTAATGTGTACCTTCATCTTAATGTGTACCTTCATCTTAATGTGTACCTTCATCTTAATATGTACCTTCATCTTTATATGTACCTTCATCTTAATGTGTACCTTCATCTTAATGTGTGCCTTCATCTTGATGTGTGCCTTCATCTTAATATGTACCTTCATCTTTATATGTACCTTCATCTTAATATGTACCTTCATCTTTATATGTACCTTCATCTTAATGTGTGCCTTCATCTTGATGTGTGCCTTCATCTTAATATGTACCTTCATCTTTATATGTACCTTCATCTTAATATGTACCTTCATCTTAATGTGTGCCTTCATCTTTATATGTACCTTCATCTTAATATGTACCTTCATCTTTATATGTACCTTCATCTTGATGTGTGCCTTCATCTTAATATGTACCTTCATCTTAATGTGTGCCTTCATCTTTATATGTACCTTCATCTTAATATGTACCTTCATCTTTATATGTACCTTCATCTTAATGTGTGCCTTCATCTTAATGTGTGCCTTCATCTTTATATGTACCTTCATCTTAATATGTACCTTCATCTTAATGTGTGCCTTCATGTTTATATGTACCTTTATCTTAATGTGTGCCTTCATCTTAATGTGTGCCTTCATCTTGATGTGTGCCTTCATCTTAATATGTACCTTCATCTTTATATGTACCTTCATCTTAATGTGTACCTTCATCTTAATGTGTACCTTCATCTTAATGTGTGCCTTCATCTTAATGTGTGCCTTCATCTTAATATGTACCTTCATCTTAATGTGTGCCTTCATCTTTATATGTACCTTCATCTTAATGTGTGCCTACATCTTAATGTGTGCCTTCATCTTGATGTGTACCTTCATCTTAATGTGTACCTTCATCTTTATATGTACCTTCATCTTAATATGTACCTTCATCTTAATATGTACCTTCATCTTAATGTGTACCTTCATCTTTATATGTACCTTCATCTTAATATGTACCTTCATCTTTATATGTACCTTCATCTTAATGTGTGCCTTCATCTTAATGTGTGCCTTCATCTTTATATGTACCTTCATCTTAATATGTACCTTCATCTTAATGTGTTCCTTCATCTTAATGTGTGCCTTCATCTTGATGTGTGCCTTCATCTTAATATGTACCTTTATCTTAATGTGTTCCTTCATCTTAATATGTACCTTCATCTTCATGTGTGCCTTCATCTTAATGTGTACCTTCATCTTAATGTGTGCCTTCATCTTAATGTGTACCTTCATCTTAATGTGTGCCTTCATCTTAATGTGTACCTTCATCTTAATGTGTGCCTTCATCTTAATGTGTACCTTCATCTTAATGTGTGCCTTCATCTTAATGTGTGCCTTCATCTTAATGTGTACCTTCCTGTGTAAAATATAACAACCAACCTTCAGTCCACATATAAGATAAACAGTAGTGTGTTTCTGTTAGTGTCTGAAGTTTTGACGCTGATTGGTTGATGAGAAAGGTCACCTGACGCGACCTCCTATGCAATGTTCCTCAGATCGTCACGCAGAGCGGTATCGTATGGGAGCTAAGATATGATTTCAATGAGACTGGCATACTTTTTTATTTTTAAGAATGACGCATATTTGTTTCCAATGAGCATGCAAGGGTTTCTACATATTCTTACGTTTGCTTTGTAAATCGATAAGGTATGAAAAATAGAAGAATTCGTCTTCTGGCATTTTACAGGAAACGTAATCTTGTTCATTAACAATTATAATAGATTCACATAGGAAGAGCTTTTAACTGATGAAGCTGAAAGAAACAAACAACTTTCTTAATGGTACCAGAAAGAAAATTCGTTCGCTTTTAGACTAAAAACGTCTCCTTTTGGAAGTAAAATGCTATCCTCACTTTGACTATAACTCATTAGTGACAGAAGTTCCGATGTTCCCCCTTCTCGCCTACACAACTTCCCTCCTTGGCGGTGCACAATGTGGACACTTAAACTCCTCCTCACTGTCCACAATGCCGACCTTGGTGCAGAAGCGGAGATGCGTCCAGTGGGAGCAGCTGTCACACTGAACCCACTCCACGATGACGATACTCACTTCCCCAGCCAGACCGGGGGGTTCCAGTTTGCCACACACACAACACTTCTGGTCGTCCTCATCAAATACAAGCACTCCCGCCCCACTGCTGGCCTCGCTGTCATATGCATAGTCTGATCCTGATGTCCCCCTATCACCCAGGCCATCCTCCTCCTCCTCCTCCTTCTCTAAACAGCTCGTGGACGAGTTTGAGGCATACATCTGGGCCTTCTTCACCCTCTTGGGCTTCGTGTCTGTGTTGCTGTAGTTTTCATCACTTTGGTGTTTCTTTGATCTGTTTCTAACACGAATCTTCCGCTTTGGTTTTAATCTAATGTCTGGCGTAGAATCACCTTCATCTTCACTGGAATCAGAATCGTCACTTGACTGGTCTTTGAGAACTCGTGATTTGACGTTTGTCTTGTCCAGGTTCAGATGTTTATGGACAGGCCAAGGCATGGCAAGAGGGTCGAGCGGTATGATGCCAGCTTTGAGGAAAAGAGATTTTAACTCTTCTGGTAACACAAGTTTCAAGTACGTCTGACAAGAAATTTGACAGGTAGTGTTTTTGGAGATGTCAATATCTTGGACTCTACCTCTTCTCAGGTAGGACTGAAGTTCCTGTGTGTAAATATCATCGAAGTCCGACAAAATCGATAAAGAATTTTTCTGGACACAGCTGCAGTGAGGTGGGAGTGGGAACAGATACAGCTTCTTGTCCTGGGCCCAGTCCATTAATCCTGGGAACAGAGGGAATTTGTGGCCATCGTACAGCAACACCAGAGAATCATCCGTACTGCTGTTCCGAGCCAAAGGCAAAAAGTGTTCAAACAGGTATTTCTTTAAGACGTCACCATCAACCCAGTTGACTGAGGAGACGCAACCAGACGTCCCCGGAGTCGTGTCTGTCACCTTCGGAAGCTTCGTCTCCCCGGGAAACACAAAGAAGGGAGGTAACTGATCCCCCGCAGCGTTGCCCGCTGCTATAACAACAACCATCGAGTTCACCATAGAAGTAGCAGATTCCGACTCCTCATCAGAGTTATCTCCCTTTTGCTTGTCATGAATTTCCTCACAAGCTATGGCAACTTTGTCCATACAGAACGTGGCATGTTGCTTGTTCACAAGACCATGTTTATTCAGGAAATGTTCCAGTTCATCGTAATATTTACTTATTGCACTTTTTGACGCACACGACGGCCGCTGGTGAGGTCTCACAGTTATAACATCCGGGTGACGCTTCAAGAAGCTGTAGTACCAAATCTTTCCGACCTTCACCTTCCCTTTCTTCTTTCTGCTCCCACAATGCACTGCATGGTCTGTGACAATCTGCAGGAACTCGTTTTTACTATACCCATAGCCGATGCTGATGAGATGTTTAAAGTATTCCACGAGCTTCTCCTCCTGGTCAACCGTCAGCATGGCTCGACGTCCCATGGGCGTGTCCATGGCTATCCTGCCCTTCACTCGGTCGTGCAGGGTCATGTAGGGCACATGGAACTGTTTCGACGCCTGGTACATGGACATCTTCTTCTCGACTACGGCGTTGTAAGCTTCACGTAGCGAAGAGTTGGAGTACTGTAGATACCCCTTGGACTTGGACCTAGTGGGCTTCTGTGATAAACGAAAATTAGATATGTAATTTTTATCGCTAAAGGTATAAGGTGATTGGTGAAATGGTGTTGAACGTCGCGTTAGAGATTATTGCACTCATATAGCGACGTGCATAATAACAAGTACCGTGAGTAACAAGTTCCATCTTTCAAAGTCTTTTGATCTGACGCGGCCGGGGATCGAATCCCCGACCTTCCACTCTCCGGGGAGACGCTCTATCCACTAGACCACGAAGGGCGGTCCTTAAGATATACAAATTCATTTCCACGCAGGTATGTACTCAAGCTGTTGGGAGTGCTTGTCGACACAGGCATAACAAGTGAGTAAACTGAGGACCAAACGGAACTATACCCAGGTGATTTTCTCAAATGTTTGATTTTCAGTTAAAAATATCTTAGTTAGCTTTTTTATATCCGAAAAATGAACTGCATTGACGTTTAGTCAGCACTCAAAGAATACTTCTACATGGTTGTATTTTATAAAATAAAATTTTATCTAACTTTTTTGAAAAATTAAAAAAAACCATATTCTCATAATACACAACTGCTGATGGAAATCTTAGACATCATGTCTTTGAAGGTAAATATATTTGCTTTTTCCGGCACACATTTATAACATTAAAGAAATGACAGGGGTCATGTGGTTACAAATTCATTTCTTACCCAGTGCTTTATTGAACAAATATAGTTTTGTACAAAATTACCCAGCCACAGATTACGTTTTACAAACTGTTGCAGGAATGAGCGATGTTAAATAGACATACAGTAAACTACGTTTATACCGAACACGCTTATAACGAACTGACGGATATAACGAACTGACGGATATAACGAACTTACTTTTTTGTCCGGACTATTTGCTGTAGTTATGCTGTATATATGCTTATAAAGAACTACGGCTATAACGAACTAAAATTAGTTGTCCCTTTGAGTTCGTTATAACCGTAGTTTACTGTAATCAAATTTAACAACAGTTCTTTCAAGTTTCAATAACATAGAAAACAAAATCGGTATGCTTTTTTTTTGCCCCTCAGTTTATCTCAGGTCCATACAAGTATAATCACATGTAAGTAAGAAGAGTTTTGTACACAAATGGGTGCCTCCAATTCTGCTCCCTCTTTCGGGGGCAGTCGTCTAATGCGCGGCGATTCGCTGTGCAGAGTTGCGTTCCTTGGGTACGCCAGAAACCTATGATTGTGGGTTCGAATCCCGTTTCGCCCCGATATGTTTTTATGTTTGTGAGCACCACAACGTACTCGTGGGTTTTCACCTTAGTGGTAAACGTCAAACACCTGCATAACTTCGGGTCATCCTCAATCGCTCGTTAACATTAAAGCCTTTCGGATGTAGTTCTGACAAAACCAAAGTTTTGGGTTCGATCCTACGAGAGGCGCTTTCTGGCGTGACTAAAGGATGACACTCTGCACAACGAATAACGGCACCTTAGACCGCCCGACAACAGCCAGAAATGTGTGGATTTTGATGTAACAGGATATTGTATATATAGTTTTTAGGAATATAGTTTTAGCTCTTTTCATTTCAAGTAGTTGTATACATCTTCATTAGTTGTAGTACAAAATGTGTATGCTTGGGTTAAGAGTCCAAGCGGTTGGTCCAATTTTATTGAAGGGTGGACAGGTTAGTCTATTCCTGTCCCTTTGTCACCAACTCTCTAGCTTGTCAATACAATAGCTTTCAGCTTCCTAGCTGATTAACATTATCTAACTACAGCTTTCTTCCCTAACATTTGAACACTTTCTATTCACTCTGCTTATAACTCTGCACAGACAAGACATGGACTACATATAGCTCAGGTTAGTTAGTTACATTATCTTTCCTAAATAGAATTCTAACTTATCATTTAAATATGTTATCAATAATGTAAAACGTTGTAAATGCTTACCTATGATATCAAATAATCAAGATATCTTCTTTTTTTATCAGTATAAAGTGTTTAACATGTAAGTATGTGTGAGAGCATGATTTGATTGGGAGTTTTGAAAGTAAGGATTGAATTAGAAGTTGGTTTTCTATAATTTAAGGAAATGGTTGTTATGCTGTATGTACGTATGTATGTATGTATGTATGTATATATTCAGGCATGATAGTTATGTTATTTACTTTTTATAGGAATGCCATAATCCTATATGATGTGGGTTTATAGACACACCCCGGTGTCAGCCACAGGGTATGTACAAATCCTTTATTTTATCACTCACTTATGGATGAATTTATATGTATTAACTATGTGTTATAATTTAACACAACATGGTAGCATTTTATATATATATTCCTACTCTTAGAGATAATAAGTATATATTTATGACGCCACACTAGAATTCTTCTAACTATATGGTGTATAACTGATATATTCAGTTATGATAAGAGACATTTAATATATGTATTACTATTTGAAAGTTCGGTAAATTGTATTTAATATAAGTTATCTACAAGGAACTAGTGATGTGTAACTGTATGCGTTGCATGTATGGATTAACGTGACTGCTCAAACTAGGAAATAATTAATATGCAGCCGTGTCTTTGAATGCTATTCTATGTACAGTATATAATGTTATATTTTATTACAGGGTGATTGATCAGTTGAAGTGATTGATAATGGAATAAATGTCACCTCAACAAACACAACCGCAGCTTGTCATTTTTCATAATGAACCACCCCTGCTACATTGATATACAAAAACAATCGTGAAAGATGATGAATGCTTGGTGGGTGACAGTTGTGTTACGCGGCAGACAAAAATGTTTGCTACATGTCATGGCGGGTTGTAAATCCAGAGGGACCAGATCCGATGTTTTGCGGAAATGCATATACAAAAATGAAACATATAGGAATTTGTATTGAAATGTTAAATATATTTTAAAGGTTGAAATGAGAATTGAAACATTTAAAAAAGAGACAATGATTTAGTGTCTGACAGAGAAGGCAATGTCGCGAACTAGTCTAAACTTCTGCTATATCATCCAGGTACTCAAGGGAAAAAACAATAACAAAGGCAACAACTAGTCCCGGGGAATTGCTTTAGATCAGTGCCTCTTTAATAAAGGACATAGCAAAAAACATTTTACTGGCGCTTTTACTAATATGGTCCTCGAATATTTTCAAGATATCGGAGTTCCTCTTGAGAGTTTTAACGAATGTGTGGCGTGTGAAGATCGTCATTTCACACACACTAACTATACTGTTGTGATAACAATCTTAACACGACATCACCCACATCAATATCTCCCTTCCACAATGCATGTTTGATGCATGGCCCAGTGTGTACTGGAGCAGATAGAATTTTGAATGATGCCAGCGGGATGAAGAGCGCCGTTGATTATTATATACAATATGCTTATGAATTCGTGGAGTAGATATTTAGGCGTGTTGATACTCTACCTTTTTCTTTCTCATATTCGCAGTTTCTGTAGGAAAATGGCGTCCTTGCGTTGTGCACCCCACGTGACCGGGCAAGTGGGTTGGGGTCTGTGTCACGAAAATATGTGCATCACGAATATTTGAGAATGTGTGCAAAAATCATCGTCAAAAGTGATATAATTGGGATATGTGGTGCGTTGTGGTTGCTGAAATAGGACCGAGTGTACGATTTTGTCAAATGTCATTTCGACAGTCTTTATTTTGAGCGTGACTCGCGCAGCGATGTGGCCAGGTTGTTGCGGTTACCTCCCTTGGAACAATACCGACTTTTCTTCACGCACAAGTGATAGAGCTATATTCTATGCAGGATGTTTATTTAATTTTGTTTAAATATTAAATTATTTGTGAGGAACATTTATTAATTATTTAAGTGGACACTTTGTAGTTTGCATATATGTGAGGAACATTTTTACTAATTCTATGAATTAGCAGAGGTCTCCATGATGAGCGATATTATTTAAATGTTTTTGATACTAATACTTGTCAAGTACTAGTATTTATCGGTATCATTTAGTTTTTAAAATAAGATACTTTTAATTACTTCGTAACTTGTTAATAATATATAACTGTAAATAATTTATTCATGTCACCGAAAAACTTATAGATATGCCAAACTGATCTATTAATCATAATAATATTAATTTCATTGGTTTAGGTTACCCAAAATCGAATTTATGATATTAATAAATGCCCTTTGATGCAACTAATTATTTCATTTTAAAAACTCAAATAATTTATAAATAAATATATTGATTGAAAAAAAATGAATACTGGCACGGTAAAACGTGGAATGAATATTTACGATTCACATACACAGTTATTTGTAGTGAGTTCTTCCTTCTTGTCTTTCGTGTTGAAATGAGAAATATGTTGTTACGTTATTTGAAAATACACATCTTCGAAAGTCCTGCACCATGACTGGAATAAATGCATTTGATGAAACCAAAACCAATCTAGATATTAAAAACAATTAAAAAAAAACAAAAGAAAATTCTATCCAGCTCTATTGCTAATGAAATCAATACCATCAAAACACTTTGAAAAAAGAAAAGAAATGTTCAATAGGAGATTTCCTTGACTATGTGTGTCTATACCCTCGATTATCCAGTATATTATATCTCCATTCTATCCATCATAATACAATGGAGATATAATACACCGGGTAATCGATAAGGTATTTCAGAATTCACTGAACCCGTGAGGATCCGGATTACGATAGGTCTTCAGCAAATCACGCTTACCGTAAGGTGTGACGATGCTTGTCGTAAGAGGCGACTAACGGGATCAGAAGGTCAGGCTCGCTGACTTGGTTGATGCATGTCATCGTATCCCAATTGTGTAGATCGATACTCATGATGTCAATTACTGGATTGTCTGGTCTAGACTTGATACTGACACACCGCCGTTAAATAATATAGCTGGAATTCTTTTGAGTGCGGCGTTGAATTTTTTTTTTATCAAACAAATACACTGATTGATACAAATATTTTTCGAATATTGTAATAAATAAACTTTGATATTGAAGTATGTACATCAATATAAGATTAAAATTAAATAAGTGAAATATAGTTGAAGGACAACTTCTTATATTCTTTGTCACGACGGTGAATGCTTAGTAAGTGCATAGAGTTTTATGTATGTATGTATGTATGTATGTATGTATGTATGTATGTATGTATGTATGTATGTATGTATGCATGCATGCATGCAGTATATAATGATATGTTTACACAACACAAGGTGGGATGAATGTACAAAGAAAACAATATAATGACAAAGCCAATGGCATATGATTAATATACAAAGATAACAATATAATGACGAAACCAATGTGATTAATAGGAGAGGATTATATTAAATACACTGAAGATGTAGTGATGACAAAGGGTCTGTCTGTTGTGAAATAAACAATAAGGCATTCAAGATGTCAACTGGTGATGTGATTATAGCACAGTGGAGTTCACACTTGGTAGGTATCTTGGTGTCTGTAACTAGCTGGCTTCTTGCTTTGGATTTCGATACTTTCTTGAAGTTTCCTCTTTTTCCAATGGCTTATGTTGGTGTGGAGAATCTTGTTTTGTGGCCAGGAAATATGGTGGTCAGGATTTTTGATGAGATGTTCCGAAAGGGCAGATTTCATGACAATTTTTTCAACAGATGTTTTTTGTTCTTTTTTTCCTGTGGCTATGGGGCGTGAAGTCTCTGCCGTGTATCTGTGGCCACAGTTGCATGATACACACCCCCCCTGGGGTTAGGGGTTGACTGGGTGGGATCTTTACCGTTGGCGGGTAACATGTCTTTCAGTGCTCTGTCGGAAGTGGAAGTCACGTCTCTGTTGACTGTTTGGGTGAGCAGCCGGCTGATCTGGTGAGTGGTAGGGCCTTGGTATGGGATGCTGACGAGGATGGGTGATGGGTCTGGTTTGGACTTGGGAAAGGGATCTTTTTTTCTGGGTATTCCCGTATGGATTTCTCCACCAAATGTACTGGTCCGTGTTAGTGGGTCTGCGGTAGACGGCGGTGTGATGGGGCAGTTGTGGCTTGTTTGACCTGCGGATGGTGGTTGGACGTAGTGAATGTACCGGTCCGTGTGAGTGGTCTGCGGTAGGCGGCGGTGTGATGGGGCAGTTGTGGCTTGTTTGATCTGAGGGTGGTGGTTGGACGGAGTGAATGTACTGGTCCGTGTGAGTGGGTCCGCGGTAGATGGCGGTGTGGATGTGACCATGGCTGTTGTCGAGTTGTACCTCGAGGAAGGGTAAGTGATGGTGGGTTTCTGTTTCCATGGTGAACTTGATTCTTTGGTATTGTAGGCGGTCCAGTCGGGCCTTGGGGTCCTGGTCTTTGTCTAGGGTGGGGAACTGCTATTCTGTGTGAAGTTGTCACACAACAGTCAGTATTGTGCAATACCTATAGTCCAAACAAAACAAATGCACACGCATGTTTATGCTAAACGTGCGTGATAATTCTATATTTGCTCGTTTACACTGACAATGCCCAAAACATGTATATGACCATACATTGGTATAGTTACTACTTTTGCAAGTGTTGCATAACTCAGTCTGCAGAACAAGGGCAGAGAGGCAGTTATAATAAGAAAAAGCAAACATCGATATACACGAGGTGCAAAAGTTTAATATTGATTTATACCAAGCAGTTAAAACTGTACATAAAGTCATGTGACAGAAGTATTAATAAATAATGGGATTTTATATCAAACAAACAAACAAACAAGCAAACAAACAGTTGAAAGCAAATATTCTATAAAACGTCGACAAAAAGGTTGTTTGCATAATAGTGGAAAAAGAACGGTAAAATTATTTATCAAATGTTAAGTAGTATGTTAATATGCCACATCGAAGAAAACCTTCAGGTTAAGAATGTGGGTCTCTGACTTATATACAGGTGTTTGACCTACATATGAATGGATATATACACACAGCCAAAGCTTATCTATATATACACCACCATCTGCATGTTGTCAAGTTATATGCATTTGTCACTATGCCAGCACGAACTGCTGGTACAATTCCTAACAGCATAGTCAGTTGCAGAGCATTTTGAAAGAACATGACTGTGCACAACGCAAATCACAGTCGTCACACTGTCGCAACTGCTGGTGTCGTGTGTGTACCCTCGCTGGAGCGTAAACCGGGCAGCATGGACATACACGTCCAGATACGATGTAAAATAGCATTCTGTGTTGACGTAATGCATGTTAATACAATGGAGCTGAGTGTCCTGTACTCACGTGTGTCGCTAGCGTCTGGTATTTATGGAGCAGGAATGACCTGATTCAAAACGACCCAGCTATACACAGTGAACGAATGCGCCCATGTATATAGAACGGGCACCGGGGCTGTTGTACCTGTGTCGACAAAGACTCCTAAAACAACTTGATTACATACATGCGTTTTATGAAACTGTATATCTTAAGGACCGTCTCCGTGGTCTAGTGGTAGCGCGTCCGCCCGTATGTCGAGGGTTCGATCCCCGGCCGCGTCATACCAAAAGACTTTAAAATATGGTATACTTGTTGTTACCCTGCCTGGCACTTGGCATTAAACTGATAAAACAAAGACTGGTCGGTTCGGAGACAGTATACTGTGTCTGAGTGGGGTACTTATGTTGAACTGCAGCATGGTATCTCAGTGGGCTAGCACTATAAAACTGGCATTAGTCCGGACCAGTAAAGCACTAACACACACTGGTATGGTGCTGACAAGCCTAGAAACAAAATCGGGGCGACCTTGGATTCCAAAAGTTAATCTTTTCATGTATATATATATTTTTGCTGTTATGCTTGATTATCTCCAAATAGGCTAATATCGTGTTATGCTGTTCTCTAACCTGGTTGTTCCATTATCTACATAAGCTGTGCACCCATGTGGAGTGAGTGAGTGAGTGAGTGAGTTGGGTTTAATGCCTTTTTTAACAGTATTTCAGTCAGCTTAATGTGGGAGGAAAGCCTGAAGTGATGCAGGTCTCAGACATTTACCGCTTCTGTGAAACCCACGAGCACGGGTATGGTGCTAACAAACCTAGAAACATATTCGGGGCGAACCGGGATTCGAACCCACAATCATAGGTTTCTGGCATGCCCAAGGGACGCAACTCTGCACAGCGAATCGGGGCGCCTTAGACGACTGGGCCACCCGTGCCCCCTCATCCATGTGGAAATGTTGTCGTTGTTTTAAGGTCACAAATGGGAGGTCAACATGACCCCGAACCGCATCGTTACCATGAGAAACACATATGTGGTTTGGCCCTGACAACAGGCATCCAGGGCTGAGACTTGAACTTCGTTTTGGCTCCGATTTGACCCGCGTGACTGCATAAATAGCCGTCCAATCAAATGACACTCATAAGCTAGATATATCCTGTGCTAAGAGGGTGATGCCTCTGGAGATGGGGATGTCACTTCTCAAAGAAAGCTATGGTGGCGAATGGGTCCAGGGTATTTATGTCCAAAGATAGGAGACATAACACCCTGGATAACCGAGGATGATGCTCCATGTGTCCATATCCCGCCTTGGCCTAGACCATGTAGTCAGGGTATAATGTGTGAAATGGTAACACTGTCTTTGTATGATTAATACTAATTATGGTTTTTAATAATTGATATATCCTGTGCTAAGAGGGTGATGCCTCTGGAGATGGGGATGTCACTTCTCAAAGAAAGCTATGGTGGTGAATGGGTCCAGGGTATTTATGTCCAAAGATAGGAGACATAACACCCTGGATAACCGAGGATGATGCTCCATGTGTCCATATCCCGCCTTGGCCTAGACCATGTAGTCAGGGTATAATGTGTGAAATGGTAACACTGTCTTTGTATGATTAATACTAATTATGGTTTTTAATAATTGATATAGTCTCTATAACAAAACTTGAACAATTTGATTCTACATACTTGGATTGCCAAATGCCCAGGCAACTACTGACTTTTGTCACTTTGCATGAACAGAGCGGACACTCCCTTTTGGGTGTAGATACCATGGCACTCAGAAACCACAGGGTGTTTAACATATCCACATTGCAATGGTTCTGCTTTAAGTATTTTCGTTTGGAACTGGGGGTTCAAGTTCGTTTTGAAGATACCGAAATCAGATATGCTGGTATGCATGCATTGCTCACTCATACCCAGAATTTAGACGCCTCAATGCTGATTGACTGACACACCTAACACAATCCATGGAAGAGTTGTCAGTTCTTCTAGCACAGATGCCTCAAAGGGAGTAAGATCTCATTTTATTGAGATTGAGGCTTAGAACCTTTGGCCACCCTATTGTATTGTAGAGTCCTGGATGAAGTGACAATGATATTCAATTCAGTGTCAAACATAGCCACCATGGCAGTCATATTGGAAATGCAATTTCAGGGCATTAATTGGCAATTAATGAAAGTATCAATGTGTAATTTAATGTGTATGACAAGGCCCTGATGAAACAAGCATATAGTCGATGAAGTCATCTATATCCCCTGCCCATTTTAACACGTTATGGTCCCAAACCAGGTAACTGACCCAACATTTCTTTTAGCCCATGTAAAAATAGCTGCAATGGAAATTCTTAAATAAACATTTCTAAACATTTCTCAAACTCCTTAATATCAAATGGCACCAGTTCAGTATGTGCAATGTTGGGCAAGGAAATATTTAACAGTTTATTTGTTATAAGTATTTAACGGTTTTTGAGTTATGCTCCGGAAATGAACCCCACCCTTATAGAACCTAAGTCAAACTTGTTGCTATGGAAATGTAAAAAATAAAAATTTCTAAAATTCCTTAATAGCAAAAGGCACCAGTTCAGCATGAGTCTGGTAAACATGCAAATTTTCGTAGAGAAATATTTAATGGTTTCTGAGTTGTGCTCCGGGAACAATTTCAAGACGTTCGCAGGCACGGACGGAACCCATTTCAATATCCTCTGCCAACTTCGTTGGGGCGGGGGATAATAATATTAAAAATATGAAAAGGCAAAAATATTCATTTGTTTGAGAGTGAGGTGAGGTGAGGTGAAATTGGGTTTAACGTTGCGTCCAAGATTATTGCACTTATATAGCGATGTGCATGCATGGCTGCTTGTTCTAGTCTGGACTGATGCCGATTTATAGCGCTAGCTCACTGAGATACCATGCCGCAGTTTAACATGAATACCCCACTCAGACACAGTATACTGACTCTGAGCCGACCAGTCCTTGTTTTAGCCCCTTAATGCCAAGTGCCAGACAGGGTAACAACAAGTACCATCTTTTAACGTCTTTTGGTATGACGCGGCCGGGGATCGAACCGCTGACCTTCCACTCTCCGGGCGGACGCTCTACCACAAGACCACAGAGGCGGCCTGTTTGAGAGTTATGGCTCAGAAACGAAGCCTTTTATTTGAGACCAAATTGCTTTCATGGAAACGTAACAAAATAAAATTTAGAAAGATTTCAAAATTGCAAAAGGCATCAGTTAAGCTGATTAGCAATGCACATGCCAAGTTTCGTTGAAAAACTTTTAAGGGTTTTCAAGTTATGGGCCGGAAACAAACCCTACCCTTGTTTGAAACCAAGTTGAAATATTTTCCAAGGGAACATGAGAAAATAAAATTTGAACAAACTTCAAAATAGCAAAAGGCATCAGTTAAGCTGATGAGCAATGCATATGCCAAATTTTATTGAAACATATTGAATGGTTTGAAGTTGTGGCCCGGAAATGAACCCTACCCTTGAAATGTACAAAATAAAATTTGGAAATAATTTAAAATAGCAGAAGTCATCAGCTCAGCTGCTAAATAATACTTATCCAAGTTTTGTTGAAAAACATTGAACAGTTTTCAAGTTATGGCTAGATATATATACAGTTCAAAGCAGAATTATACGCATCTAATGAATTCAGTTGCTATAGTCATTTCAAAACAAGTAAGAACAAAGTAATTGATATCCCTAATATTGTATCTTGTATTCAAGATCTGCTCCTTTAACGTCCATATTGGACGGACTGACGGTATCCTTTTTAATACCCCCTGGTTAAATATACCTATAGCTTCATTCTCCCCTGCAATATTCAAATAACATACAGAAGACCAGTTATGCAGAATAAGCATCAGCTCTTTGTGTTGGCAGTGTAGCATCAGATCTTTGTGTTGGCAGTGTAGCATCAGCTCTTTGTGTTGGCAGTGTAGCATCAGCTCTTTGTGTTGGCAGTGTAGCATCAGATCTTTGTGTTGGCAGTGTAGCATCAGCTCTTTGTATTGGCAGTGTAGCATCAGATCTTTGTATTGGCAGTGTAGCATCAGCTCTTTGTATTGGCAGTGTAGCATCAGATCTTTGTGTTGGCAGTGTAGCATCAGCTCTTTGTATTGGCAGTGTAGCATCAGATCTTTGTATTGGCAGTTTAGCATCAGATCTTTGTATTGGCAGTGTAGCATCAGCTCTTTGTGTTGGCAGTATAGCATCAGATCTTTGTATTGGCAGTGTAGCATCATATCTTTGTGTTGGCAGTATAGCATCAGATCTTTGTATTGGCAGTGTAGCATCAGCTCTTTGTGTTGGCAGTATAGCATCAGCTCTTTGTGTTGGCAGTTTAGCATCAGATCTTTGTATTGGCAGTTTAGCATCAGATCTTTGTATTGGCAGTGTAGCATCAGCTCTTTGTGTTGGCAGTATAGCATCAGATCTTTGTATTGGCAGTGTAGCATCAGCTCTTTGTGTTGGCAGTATAGCATCAGCTCTTTGTATTGGCAGTATAGCATCAGATCTTTGTGTTGGCAGTATAGCATCAGCTCTTTGTGTTGGCAGTATAGCATCAGCTCTTTGTGTTGGCAGTATAGCATCAGATCTTTGTATTGGCAGTGTAGCATCAGCTCTTTGTGTTGGCAGTATAGCATCAGCTCTTTGTATTGGCAGTATAGCATCAGCTCTTTGAATTGGCAGTATAGCATCAGCTCTTTGTGTTGGCAGTGTAGCATCAGCTCTTTGTATTGGCAGTATAGCATCAGCTCTTTGTATTGGCAGTGTAGCCAAGTGATTGGCACCTTTGCTCATCACACCCAAGACCAAGGTCGGGTTATCTTCATGGGTCCAACGTGTGAAGCCCATTCTCTGCGTACGAGTCCTCACACACAAATGCTGCTGTCACTATTTCAACCTCTCCTCACATTGGCTGATACAGTCAATACAAAACAGAGAATAGAATATTTTCAATCTATTTTATTATATTGTATGTTTTCTACTTTTGATGACATTAAGTATAAATGATACCAATGATAGTGAACACGTGACACAATGATGATCATGGCGGCTCCGAACCTCAAATATGTACACTAGATATCAGTTCTATTTACATATCATTCATCTCACAGAACAGGAATAAATATCAAAGCGCATATTTATCCAGCTAGGCGTCAAATGAAATGGCGTTATTTAAAGGCCTGGTTTTATACATGTGTGGGCAAATAAAATTGGCTGAGCCCTGCTAATTGCTGCCTTGCAGTCGACGTGATATGATATATGTAGTACTTACATATGTGTGTATGAAGCAAGTTATTACAAGTAAATACAAAATAAATTAGGCATTGTGTAGCTAAAGAAAACAATGTTTGCACTTCACAACTATGCTAAAGCATAACACATTCAACGGAATATCAAATATCTACTTGGTATCCACGACATCATGTAACAATGAAGAGATAATAGTTTCAGTGTACAGTGGTATTTAAAACTGAAAACTGGAATTCAAATGTTTAATACAATTGTAGCTATACCACTGGCTTTTCATATTCTAGAGACACATGAGGTATTTGATGAATGTATTTTGTAGAAATTTACTTCAATGGGTTTGTTTTACACACAAAACATTAAACTGGTCTTTCAACAGACATGGTGGAAGAAGTCAGGACCAATTCCAGATACTGGGCTCGTAATTAAACAGTAAGTCGTAACAGTTTATCATTTGATTCAAATGATATACAAGTTGACTGGTTTGTCATCAACATCATCCAAAAATCACATACAAATTGTGGGGCAGGGAAAATATTGCAGCATAAGAAAAGGGAATCGGTTACATTCAATGATAAACGTTAACCTGACAGTTTCTACCTAATGGAAATAATGAAGCTGTACACAATGCTGTGGACATGTAATTCTTGCTCATACTTAGACATGGGCTTTCACTGAAATATTATCAATATGAACAATAGATGTTACATGTTGCACACTGGACTACAACCAGCATAAATCACTGTACTATAATGTGACAGGAAAGACGGTGATTCTGGTCGTAGACACTGAGCACGTTCGAAACCTTACAAACACAGGTAGTGTGCTGGTGATCATAATGTTGGGTGTGATAATGTGACTTCTGGCACGGACAACTTCAGCCCTTTACACCATTGTGTCACCTGTGATGACTGCTTAACAAGGGAGGCAATTGTGTACAGCTGTATCAACAAATGTATTGTAATTACATGGACAGCTAAGATGGATTAATGTTTTGAAGAGGCCCTTTCAGAAGTTAACTTTCACATAAAAATCATAGCGCTGCTTGCAGATATATTACAACCATCAGTCCACTTTGCCAAATATTCCACAAAATATTGTCTATGAAAGTCACAGACTTGAGACCTCCGATAAAATGGACCATAACGTACTATGCAATGACAAAAACATTTCCTGCTTCTAAACATGCTAATACATTTCAAACTAAACTTCAGTTCTTGTCTCTATAAATGTACTCTTGTCAACAACAAAAAACACACACAGTAAAATTGCTTAAAACCCTTTCTACAAAATCTTATTGATAAACTTTACTATCTTACAAACAGAACACAACACACTTAAAAATGTAAAACAGAATTACAAATATAATTGTGACCCAGTCACTGTACATGGTGGGCGACAGATGATACCTTTACATGGAAATGAAAGCACAGCAGGCCATATTGAACTAATTTCCTGTCCTAAACCATCTGAAGTTAGTTCTGCTGCAATCAAGTTAATATGTATACAAATTCGTAGAGCTGTGACCTACAGTCAGAGTGTGTAAAAGACGATGATATTTTCATTTAACAGACACATCTGTAAGATGTTCTCATAACAATGGTGGACATTTACGACTTTGGTGAGGCCATTGAGATACAGGTATGCCGACATACTAAGCATCATAATCAATGTGATTCAATGTCACAAACAGCGGATCCTGGCAAGACTAAGGGACACAACTCTGCATGGTGAAAGATTTTTCATTACCAAACTTGCCCAATTTTGAATTCAGTTTCCGGTAAATATTCAAGTTTTGGACACACAAACCAGTGATCGACATTGTGAGCAACACTGGGTATGATGACATGCAATACACTGAGTCACCAAGCCATGATGCAATTACGACAAGCTATAGAGCGCTGGGGAACTATTGAGCCCCCACTTGGTTCCCCAAGGTATAAAACAGGAATTGGTGGCAAACAAGCTCATCCATCACACTAGGAACATCTGATTTACTTAACAGGTTATTATGAGCAATAGAAACATTGTCAGAAAGTTACAAACATACCGCTACTGTCATACTGATATGGAGAAGTTGTTCTAGGATGTGAATAATGCCCAGCTTGAGCCATTTAGTCATAGTAACACCAGTAACCAGTTATTGCGAACATGAACAAAATCATTAAACAAGCGAGCACACAAGTAAAGTGTTGATTCAATGGGCAGATTCTAACTTGCTTGAAATGCAATTTCGGCTCTCGCACATCAATAAAGAAATTATAGGCCTCAACTTCAAACTGTTTGTTGAATAAATGTTTCAGGAAACAGTTTCATGTTCCAGTTCTATTTACAGGAATAATAACACAGACTTTAAGCATTCTTGTGAAATGTCAAATACATACATGATGCACTGTGGCCTAACAGCCTGCCTTGTGCACCAGATCAACAGTCAGCAGTGGATGATGTAATTATAGGGACGAAGCTGAAGAACATCCATTCCAGACCTCGAGAAGTCAGCAGTCTTCAGTCTGTCTATATTCTACCCAATGTCACCACTACACAAAACCATCTTGGACTAACGTAAGTCCATGTTATGTTAGAAGTCAGGACTGTTTTGTGGGACAGAGTTGATATTTATTGCAACTGGCCTCATTTTGGACAAATAGACAGATCAGTCATTAGTGAAGGTTCCCAATCAAATACCCAACATTTCACTGTTTCTATCTTACTGTCAAAAATTTACCAGTAATATTATGCCGGTTTGTACAAGTTAAAGAAATATTCCAATGTATAATCAACATGAATATGATACATGGAAGCCAAAATGAAAATGCCCTTTGGAATCTTGCTGTGCTTAAATAGTAGATTGTCATCAGGAACATTTCAATAAGATTCATAACTGTTGAAGTTTGATCATTGCCACATCAGCCCTGTCATTGCAATCACAAATCAACCACAGAGCTTAAGAATGATTGGAATATGCATGGGTCAGTTGACAAACAAAACATTTGGATGAGGATCAATACAATGGTCCCCATACCTGTGAAACTCTGATTACAGACTTCTAGAGACTGGGGATCCATATGGCTCTGAAAGAGAGGGACATCGAGTTTGTTCCTAGTAAATGACCCCAGCAATCTGGTTGGTTGTTTGGTTTGTTGTTTTACGCCGCACTCAGCAATATTCCAGCTATATGACGGCGGTCTGTAAATAATCTGGACCAGACAATCCAGTGATTGATATCATGAGCATCGATCCACCCAATTGGGATTGATGACATGCATCAACCAAGTCAGCGAGCCTGACCACCCGATCCCGTTAGTCGCCTTTTACGACAAGCATACCCAGCAATCTGGAGCCATGTAATCATGTACTGCCACCTCTAATGCAACAATGGAAGACACAACAATTGACATGAGCAAGAATACACTCTGGTGAATCGTTGCTTCTCTCACATCTTTAGCAAGCCTGCGGCGTGTGAACATAAGAATTACTGATAATAGTAGCATGCTGACATAGCAACGGTTACTCTCACACTGAACATGTGGTGCCAGGACTCAGTGTGACTAGTGTAACATGGATTCTCCTTCAAGTTATTACAATACATTTAAGGATCATGCATTCAAGATATAACCTCCACTCTCACAGTTTCATTTCTGGATGGTTTGTTTGTTGTTTAACGCTGCACTCAGCAATATTCCAGCCATATGATGCCGGCCTGTAAATAATCAAGTCTGGACCAGACAATCCACTGATTAATATCATGAGCATCGATCCATGCAATTGGGATTGATGACATGCATCAACAAAGTCAGCGAGTCTGACCACCCGGTCCTGTTAGTCGCCTTTTACGACAAGCATGGGATGCTGAAGACCTGTTCTACCCCGGATCTTTCTGGAGCTGGAAATGTTTCCTTTTTTCCTAGTTTGTTTGTTGTTTAATGCCCCACTCAGCATTATATTCCAACTATATGACAGCGGTCTGTAAATAATTGGGTCTGGACCAGACATTCCAGTGATTGATATCATGAGCATCGATCCACGCAATTGGGATACGATGACATGCATTAACCAAGTCACCAATCCTGACCACCCTATCCCGTTAGTCGCCTCTTACGACAACATAGTCGTCTTTCCTAGTAGCAATATGACAACTGTTTGCTTGTCCCCCGAGGTCACAGGTGACCAATACTGTAATACTTGCGTTTTCACTCAGTGCACAAAAAGTTGATCATGCCTATTTTCACGGTTAATTCCCATGTTCACTTTTTACAAAGTACAAAATGTTTGTCCAACTGGCCATCAGGTACAACAGATGCCCATGTTGTAGGGCTTGGCAAGATGAAACCTGTCGAGGTGATGGGTATCTTAAATGCAAAGCTCTCCTACAGAAACAAATCTAGTATACTTTGGCAAGGACATGTATGTCAGACAACGTCATTTGGACGAGATTGGCTGGGGCACCCAGTCAGCTAGAACTGAGAGATTACTATGACTAGGACTGTCCATGGACACAAATCATGATTGCTCCCACTGTCAAATTCAAAAGTGCATGAAAATTTGACTGAAGTAAAAAAGCATTTCCATAGAAACGAATTGCAAGGTGCCAAAGCTTGCAACGTCTTTTTGGCCCTGTGGTCCCTAATCACTGGTTAACACAGAAATATGTCTAGTTGTGGTCACCACTAAATTGGGAAACCAAAGTAATTCCACAGAACATGTCTTCAGGCAAGTAGATTCAAAAATATTTTAGCATGGTGGAATTATTCACAACAAAAACAAACTGTAACAGTTTGGAAGAAAGAGCAGGAACAGTTTGTACCAGACCACTGTTTGTGCTTAAAACCATCGTAGAATTGAGGTTTTGGAACAATTTTAAGTTATAACATAATAAGTTTGTTAATAAAAACGGCTAAAACACAGAAATTAGTTGCATCAACAAAGTGCACTGGAAGCAAGGAACTGTGGTTCAACATGGCCACCGGCTGCAGAACCAAACTGAAGCATGGAGACCAGTATTGATGTATATTTCCCACTTAAAACATCGACAAACAGATTGGACTCAGTAAACAAGATACAATTAGGCTTGTCCATTAAACAGTCATGAATCTGTAAAATAAATATTTTAAATTCTAAAAAATAAGTATAAAAGTCTTTTCTTGACAAGTCAGCATGGTTACAGATGTAAAATAAATATCTGTGAAGTATATTTAATAATGGGCCCGGGTACAGACACATGAACAAGTAGGCTTTAGCGGTTCAGGCGAATATAGGATGGAACCCCTTGTTTCCTGACTGAAAGTAAGGGCAGGAAGGAATACAGCATTCAACAAATGTACACGCTTATGTGCATTACTGTGTTGAAGTTGAGGTATATTGCCGTGCTTAAAATGAGATCTACTAATTGCTTTGGATAAAACAGAAAGACAGTTGCATTATTTTACATCTAGGTTTTGGTAACTTAATTGATCAAAAGCATATGTCACAAAGCAATGCATTTTTTACCACTGACAATGTTTTCTAAGTTCACCAATACCCTGTTAAATGACTAACTGAAAAAATGACCAGATATATTTGACAGACGAAACGTCAGCATACTTTCATCTCGAGCTAACAAAGTTCTCAACAGTCTTTAAGTACAGTGGCTTTCAGTCACGAGTGGATATCAATGGCTGCAAACCCGGTTCACAAAATTGTACTTGTTTGCTACAACATTCCCCATATGTACCTTCAGTCACTAGAATCATGCTTGTCCTTTCTTATATGGCTATGTATGTTGTTTGAAGTATTCGTCATTCATGACATAGTGCACAATATCGGACACATCTTCAAGATCATCTTCCTCGCCTCCCTGCTGTTGTTCTTCCTCTTCAGAGAAATGGCGTTCCTCTTCGTATCGCCGTCCCTCAGGAAAGCGAGCAGGCTGTTCCTCTGGGTACTGTCTTTCTTCAGGGTACTGGCGATTGTCACGCAGCAGGTTGTCCATCATGAAACCACTGCTACCACTAGATGCAGCTGTTGAAGGTGGCTGATGGGCTACTTGGGGACCAGGGTTACTCTGGGAGGTTGGTGGAAGGTGTTGACGCACTGGAGGGGGTTGGTTTGGTGGGAAGGACCCGGGAGGGGGCCCATAATGGGGGTAAGGGCCATAAGTAGGAATACCTCTTGGGGGTGGACCACGGGGGTGGGGTGGGCCGTGATGTTTTTGAGGGCCATGTGAGATTGGAGGGGGGGGTCCTTGATGAGGGTGCATACCTCTGGGGTGAGGCGGCCCTGGATGGGATGGAATTGGTCCCCCTGACTGGTGTGGATGTGGTGGTGCTCCTCCCCCAGGAAGAGGGTGGGGTGATGGTCCTCCTGCAGGATGAGGGTGGGACTGTGGCCCCCCTGTGGGATGAGGGTGGGGAGGTGGTCCTCCTGCTGGGTGAGAGTGGGGAGGTGGTCCTCCCGCAGGACGAGGGTGGGGAGGTGGTCCTCCGGCTGGATGAGAGTGGGAAGGTGGTCCTCCTGCCGGGTGAGGGTGGGGTGGTGGTCCACCATGATGGGGTGGGCCTTGTTGGTACCCTGGGTGAGGTGGCCGAAACGGCATGCCAGGAACAGGGGGTCCCATGTGGAGAGGTGGGGGTGGTCCCTGGGGGTATGGCTGGCCTTGTGGAACAGGCGGAGGACCCATCTTGTGCTGCGGCATTCCATGAGGATGAGGTGGAGTGCCATGAGGTTGATGAGGAGAGGCAATAGGGGGATGGTGTGGAGATGCAGAGGGTGGATGGTGGGGTGATGCACTTGAAGGATGATGAGGGGACGTTCCGTGTGGAGGGGTGCCCTGGGGGTGGGGTGGCGTCCCTTGGGGGTGATGAGGGGACCCATGAGGTGGGGAGCTCATTTGTGAGTGAGGAGGAAGACCTTGAGGCATTGGACCATACTGAGGATGCATAAACTGTTTCTGATGAGCACCATACGGATACTGAAAGTCTCGAGGACCCTGGTGAGGAAACGGTTCACTACCATGGGGCCGAAACTTTTCACCTTCATTTGAGAATCCCGGCGGGGGTACATCTTTATTTGGTTTATTGTCCCCAGCAGGGTGATCATGTCCATTCACTTCTGGTGCACTTTGAGAATCTTTGGAAGCTTCCGACACAGTTTCAATCTTTTCCTGGTCTGACTTTTTATCACTACTTTCACCATCATTAGTCCTTTCACCGTCATCAGTTCTGTCATCTGATTCACCATCTGGTTTAGAGTAAGAGGAGAAATCACAACTATCCTCTCTACCTGCTTTCAGAATATTCTCCATATTCTTCCCTCCACGAACCTTTCGTTTAGCATTCACAACTACTGTTTTATCTTTCTCTGCGTCACTTTCAGACTCGGAGGCAAGGAAACTCTTGAAATCAACATTCGCTGCCTTTCTTTGTGGTCGTCTCTGTGACCTCTTTTTCTCATCCTCGGATGAGTCTTCATCACTCTTTTCATTCTCGGTTTCTTCATCTTCTTCCTCGGTCTGACTCTTTCCACTCTCCGAACTCTCTTTCTCTGAATCAGAACTTCGGTCCTTGATTTTAGGCCGTATCTTCTTAATTTTTTTCTTCTCAACAGTTGGTGGTTTGTCTTTCTTTTCTCCATCTTCTTCGTCGCTATCATCTGACCGGATCACACGACGTACAGGTTTTCTGGTCTTTCTGTCAGAATCGTCCGAACACAAATCCCTTTCAGATACATCGTCATCAGATTCTGAGATTGGAGATTCCACTGCTTCCGATTCATCGGAATTAAATTCCTGATAGTTGACCCTTCGTTTTGATGACGCTCGTGTAGACCTCCGGTTACTGGCACTGTCATCACTATCATAGTCATCGTCTACCACTGAAAATATAATTACAATTAGATTACTACTGTCAATTGTTTTTGTAAAAATGTTTCTGCATAATCAATTTCATGCAAATTGTACAGAGAAACCCTGACAAACTGGACAGTACCAGTACCCTTCAAATGCTAAACTTGTCAAATTAAAGAATAATCTGCACAGATAATGTCCCTTCGGAAGATAGTACACATATCCTTTGATATGGGTATAAGATTTAGATTTGTTTCAACCAAAACAAAATACAACAACCTGTTTAATATTATAATCACTGGGTGAGTGAGTGAGTGAGTGAGTTGGGTTTAACGTCGCTTTTAACAGTATTACAGTTATATCGCGGCGTGTCAGCTTAATGTGGGAGGAAAGCCCGAAGTGATGCAGGTCTCAGACGTTTACAACTTCGGTGAAACCCATGAGCACAGGTATGGTGCTGACAAACCCCGAAACATAATCAGGGCAAACCAGGATTCAAACCCACAATCATAGGTTACTGGTGCGCCCAAGGGATGCAACTCTGCATAGCGAATTACGGCGTCTTAGACGACTGGGCCGCCCGTGGCCCCTATAATCACTGGGAATTAGAGAGTGAATGTTTGTTTACCAGTCATAGTGATTGAGTGAGTGTGGTTTAACACTGCATGGAGCAGTATTCCAGTTAGTTCATGGCATGTCAGCTTGATATGGGAGGAAAGCCTGAAGTGATGCAGGTCTTAGACATTTACCACTTCACTAAAACCCATGAGCGGGTATGATGCTGACAAACCTAGAAATATTTTGGGGCGAACCGGGATTTATCCCACAATTATAAGTGCCTGAAATGCTCAAGGGATGCAACTCTGCACAACCACAGCAACAAGCGTATAGTCGACGAAGTCATCTATATCCCCTGCCCATTTTAACACGTTATGGTCCCAAACCAGGTAACTGACCCAACATTTCTCTTAGCCCATGTCAAAATAGCTGCAATGGAAATTCTAAACTAAACATTTCTAAAACTCCTTAATATCAAATGGCACCAGTTCAGTATGTGCTTTATATATAGACATGCAATGTTTGGCAAGGAAATATTTAACAGTTTATTTGTTATAAGTATTTAACGTTTTTTGAGTTATGCTCCGGAAACGAACCCCACCCTTATAGAACCAAGTCAAACTTGTTGCCATGGAAATTCAAAAAATACAAATTTCTAAAATTCTTAAGTAGCAAAAGGCACCAGTTCAGCATGTGTCTGGTAAACATGCAAAGTTTTGTTCGAAAGTATTGAATGGGTTTTTAGTTACGCTCCGGAAACAAACTCTACCCAAAAGAACCTAAGTCAAACTTGTTTCCATGGAAACATAAGAAATAAAATAAAAATTTATAAAATTCCTTAATAGCAAAAGGCACCAGTTCAGTATGTGCCTGGTAGAAATGCCAAGTTTTGTAAGAAAGTATCTAACAGTTTTTGAGTTACGCTCCGGAAATGAACACCACCCTTATAGAACCTAAGTCCAACTTGTTGCCATGGAAACGTAAAAAATAAAAATTTCTAAAATTCCTAAATAGCAAAAGGCCAGTCAACCAGTTCATCATGAGTCTGATGGACATGCAAAGTTTCGTAGAGAAATATTTAACAGTTTCTGAGTTATGCTCTGGAAAAGATTTAGGGACGCACACACACATGGACGAAAGGATGGACGGAACCCATTTCTATATCCCCCCCCCCCCACCACTTCGTTGGTGCAGGGGATAATAAATATTCCATCTGTCACAGCAGCCTGTAAATAAGTGAATACTGGTAAACAAGTGAATACTGGCCAGACAGATCTGGGATTTATCATGAGCCAGATCATCTGCTCTAAATTCGTTGTATCTCACGACAAACAACAGAGGGCTACGAACCTATTCTTAGACGAGGAGTAAGCATCTAAAATAACTTTCCTACACAAGGAAACATACTCCCTTAGATTCTGAAGTAGTCAACAGTAACCATGATCACTGATGTGGTGTTCCCATTGAACAAAGTAATTTCTTACCAAAATCATCATCAAAGCGAGACCACTTCCTCCTGATTCCGCGGGAGGTTCGTACCCGTGTTGGTCGGACACCAGGTCGGCCTGTCCGCGGCCGCCAGTCTGATGCCTCCGAATCCACCTCACTCACTGGTTCCTCATAACTCATTTCTGAGGCAGAGTCTCTGGAACACATAAATATTGTCACATTGTACATGAAGAATTTAATCTTTCATTCCACCAAGGGGATTTGCTCTTAGGATATAAATCCTACATCATTTTCTATCCCTGAGATGAAAACATGATCAAAGTCTTGAAACATCAAGTGATGAAGCGCAAAATCCCCCCCCCCCCAAAAAAAACACCCCAACAACAACTTGAAATCAAAAGATCTGGACCTGTTGTAGGCATTGATATGGATTTATTTATTTGTGCGTGCGTGCGTGCGTGCGTGCGTGCGTGCGTGCGTGCGTGCGTGCGTGCGTGCATGCTTTTAAATGATGTAACTTGGGGATAGTTCCCTTTGACAATTTTCTTCAAATCATTATTACATAACAGGAGTCAAACTGAACCAAATATTTATAGACTACCAGTGTAAATAATCTTCCCAAACTTCCAATGAGAACTACAAAACATAAAAGGTTATCAGTTTGTTGCCAAGGATTTGACCAAAGTACGTTTGAACGTTACTTCTTTCAGCATCAAAGTTGAAAATTTTAAATGGTTGACATCTGCAAATGATGTGATTGTGGTGTGACTCTATATGGCTTCCTGGTATCGCCTACATTTAGCACAAGAACTCGTTATCAGTCTGTTTGTGTCATATACTTCGTAAAATAACACTGCAAACACTATTGCTCTTGCTCTAATAATAAAATCATTACACCATTGTAAACCACTACAAGGCCGGGCTACTCACTTGGAAGCCTGGTATTCATCACTCTCATCCCCTTCTTCATCGCTGTCCAGCTGCGTGAGACGTCGTCGTCGGCGGGCCTTCTGGCTTTTCCTTTCTCGGTTGACAACAGGTGGAGGACGACCTGTGATGTTGGACATGTCCTTGCCTCCTCCGCCTCCCCCTCCACCACTCCCATCTGTACAGGTAAAGGCTTAGCTAATGACAAGCTGATCTCAAGAATCTGCATCACTACATTCACTACATCCTCCGTATCTCCAGGGCACGTATTTCGGTAACCCTACACTAAGAAATGAGTAAGGGAGGCAACTTGTATTGCCTCGAAAGAAAAGTCACATCAGTTGTAATGGACGTGAGTGAGTGAGTGAGTGAGTGAGTGAGTGAGTGAGTGAGTGAGTGAGTGAGTGAGTGAGTGAGTGAGTGAGTGAGTGAGTTTGGTTTAACGCCGCTTTTAACAGTATTCCAGTTATATCATGGCGTGTCAGCTTAATGTGGGAGGAAAGCCCGAAGTGATGGAGGTCTCAGACCTTTAGCACTTCGGGGAAACCCACAAGCATGGTTATGGTGCTGACAGACCTAGAAACATAATTGGGGCAAAACCGGGATTCGGACCCATAATTACAGGTTTCTGGCGTACCTAAGGGATGCAACTCTGCACAGCGAATTGCAGCGCCTCAGATGACTGGGCCACCCATGCCCCCACTGACACCATAAATATTGTTAGCAAGACTCTTGTGGCCTGAAGTATAGCATGATGGTTGAGTGAGTGTATAGAACACACATCATCAGCGTAAATAACTGAGTCTTAAAGAGTAACCAATATTTCATAGTATGAATCAATTTCGAGGTCAATATACACAAATGTTTTTATTTCTACTTTTGAAAGTACTTTAACCTCTGCAACCTAATGAAAATTGAGTGAGCTCTTTAACTCAACTTACACTTCTTAAAGAAGGAAAAAATACTTATTTGTTTATCCCACATAAATGTCCCAAACAGGAAGGTTTCAAGAACAGACTTAAGCCCAGAAATGATAAAAAAAATTGCCCTTACCAAGGAAAAAAATCCCAAACTTTCAAGTTTTTTTAAACTGGCAGAGACAAGTCTAGTTTCCTACGTGTGTTCCATTGATTGAGAGACAGCTGGGTATATTACCTGAGTAGCTGTCCTCTTCATATGATTCCTCCTTAATGTCATCCCCGATGGCGCTGTTGATGAGATTGTCATACTCGGTGAACCTGTAGCTCATGGACTGGCGAGATCGGCATGACCTCTTGGAGTACACTTCATCAGGAACGTCTCTCTCCTCCTCCATCAGCCGCTTCGTCATTATCGCCATCATCCTTTCCTCCCTCTCCTTGTGCAGTTGAATGTTGCTCTTCTTGTCCTGTCCAGGTGATTTGAAATTTTATTGGAAATTCTAAACCTATAGAAAGTGTGTTCTGTGTTGTGATTGGCTAATTTGGGTCACATGACCAAATGTCAAAGGGTGAAAATATGATTTGCATTCCCTGAAGGAAGCGAAAGCAAAGGGTGAGTAAGTAAGAGATGTTAAAGAGTGTGCATGTTTTTTTCTAAATAAAACAATAGGTTTACAATATCGATAAATACTATGTGTGTGTCTATTTCCGGGATTTTATCGAGTATTTGCATCTTGGAAATTTTCATTCAAGTCCCTCAAGCTGACGCTTTTGGGTCTCGAGATGAATTTCCAAGATGCAAATACTCGATAAAATCCTGGAAATAGACACACACATGGTATTTATCTTCTAACACAATATGATTGAGATCCCTGATCAAAATATGCCCTAGTAATAGATGTCATCACTATATTTTAGTCTGGCTAAACACTTCACAAAACTTTGTCATCACCACTGATCTCAAGCAAAGGTCCCCAAAGGGCCGTAACTCTGCACTTACACCTGTGATCAGCAAGTTGATCTCAAATATCTAATATCTACATGACATAAAACGCGATCACTATGAACCATTGCGTACCTCTTTTAGAATGTTATCCAAACTGATACCGACAAAGGCTAGACGTTCTTTTCTGAAAAGGAAACAACACATAATATTACATGTACACTTGACACTGTCAATACTACAGATCTTTGTGTGTCACAGAACAAGGCTGGAATGTATTCAATGTCTAGATGTTGGTAAGTGGTTATTGAAATATTTTACATATCAAGTCTGATTCAAAGTGAGTTTGGTTTAACATTGCTTTGAAAGGTATTTCAGTCATATCCAGGGATAGAAATTAACCTACAACTTCTACTTGCCCTAAAAGTGATGATACAATGTTAACAATGCTACCAGCCCTTAGGATACCTTCAACCTAAGTGAAAATGACTCAGGCTAGTAGGCCAGCGCTAATTTCTGCCCCTGACACCACGTCAGCTTAATGTTGGAGAAAATCAGCAAATGCATGCAGCATTTTCAACTTTAGTTTGTTTGTTTGTTGCTTAACGCCGCACTCAGCAATATTCCAGCTATATGACGGCGGTCTGAAAAAAATCGAGTCTGTACAAGACAATCCAGTGATTGACATCATGAGCATTGATCCACGCAAATGAGATAAGATGACATGCATTAACCAAGGCAGCGGGCCTGACCACCCGATCCCATTAGTCACCTCTTACGACAAGCATAGTCGTCTTTTACGGCAAACATGGGTTGCTCAAGACCTATTCTAAACCAGATCACGGGTCTCAACTTTAGTGGAACCTGCAGCATTTTCAACTTTAGTGGGACCTGCAGCATTCTCAACTTTAGTGGAACCTGCAGCATTCTCAACTTTAGTGGAACCTGCAGCATTCATAACTTTAGTGGAACCTGCAGCATTCATAACTTTAGTGGAACCTGCAGCATTCTCAACTTTAGTGGAACCTGCAGCATTCTCAACTTTAGTGGAACCTGCAGCATTCTCAACTTTAGTGGAACCTGCAGCATTCATAACTTTAGTGGAACCTGCAGCATTCTCAACTTTAGTGGAACCTGCAGCATTCTCAACTTTAGTGGAACCTGCAGCATTCTCAACTTTAGTGGAACCTGCAGCATTCTCAACTTTAGTGGAACCTGCAGCATTCATAACTTTAGTGGAACCTGCAGCATTCTCAACTTTAGTGGAACCTGCAGCATTCTCAACTTTAGTGGAACCTGCAGCATTCTCAACTTTAGTGGAACCTGCAGCATTCTCAACTTTAGTGGAACCTGCAGCATTCTCAACTTTAGTGGAACCTGCAGCATTCATAACTTTAGTGGAACCTGCAGCATTCTCAACTTTAGTGGAACCTGCAGCATTCTCAACTTTAGTGGAACCTGCAGCATTCTCAACTTTAGTGGAACCTGCAGCATTCATAACTTTAGTGGAACCTGCAGCATTCTCAACTTTAGTGGAACCTGCAGCATTCTCAACTTTAGTGGAACCTGCAGCATTCTCAACTTTAGTGGAACCTGCAGCATTCATAACTTTAGTGGAACCTGCAGCATTCTCAACTTTAGTGGAACCTGCAGCATTCATAACTTTAGTGGAACCTGCAGCATTCTCAACTTTAGTGGAACCTGCAGCATTCTCAACTTTAGTGGAACCTGCAGCATTCATAACTTTAGTGGAACCTGCAGCATTCTCAACTTTAGTGGAACCTGCAGCATTCTCAACTTTAGTGGAACCTGCAGCATTCTCAACTTTAGTGGAACCTGCAGCATTCTCAACTTTAGTGGAACCTGCAGCATTCATAACTTTAGTGGAACCTGCAGCATTCTCAACTTTAGTGGAACCTGCAGCATTCTCAACTTTAGTGGAACCTGCAGCATTCTCAACTTTAGTGGAACCTGCAGCATTCTCAACTTTAGTGGAACCTGCAGCATTCTCAACTTTAGAGGAACCAATTAGCATATGTATGGTGCAGGCAAACCATAACCAGGGTGAATGTGGGATTCGAACACATGATCATAAGGATCGATAGGCGGTGCCATGGATGACTGGACTGTTTGGTTCAAAGATTATATGGAAGTTGATGCTTAAAAAATAAAGCTCCTACCTTCTCACTAACCGCTCTCTCTTTTTTAAAGAGACATCAAGGTTGAGAAGATTTTCTTGTAGAACCTGCACCAGCATTACCTGTTTAAAAAACAAAACACATTTCATAATGTAGCAGTCTGGAGCAAGAGGATACATAGCTACATTTTATTCACTCTAACATTCCTACTAGTAGAAGTCCAGATGTAAGAACTTCTGATTATGACAGAGAAGTTCAGGCTACTGGACAGAAGTTTAAAACAGTGCTAGGTTCAATTGTGCTATGATGATATAAAGACATATGACATCAACTTACTTCAGTGAAGATCGCAATGTGTGCCAACTGTACAAAAATATCGTATTTCTCTCTTCTTGTGCGTAATGTAATAAAAACATTTCAAAATCTTTCAGCATACATTTCTACTTTCAGACATAAGACATTATGTCTGAAAATGGCAATTATTACCATGATTACAGAAACAGTTATAAGTCGGAAAATGAGTCCAAATGTTTGACGTCATGTATCTCCGTAATAAATGTGAATTGAAGCTTGTTAATTGTATTTTTGTGTTCGGAAGACGAAGTTATAAATGAAAAGTCAAAATGTGATGCTTCACCCACAAGGTTCCTTATCTCATGGCTGTCACATTAATATTGCTGTACAAGTAAAAGGGAGTGTATACAACACACAAAATCACAACAAAAATGGAAATGTGACAAGCCTAATACTAACATGAGTTCATACAGAAATTCACTGTGGCAGCGATCACTGGTAGGAAGATACAATTTGTTTCCTCAGAAGTTACTGAGAGATTTCAACATTAAAAACTATGAAAAGATATATTTATTTTCAAGTAACACATTGTTGTAATTTGGATTACACCGGAAAATGAAAGACTCTTTAAGACACTACTTGTTTCTGATTGGTTACAGAAAGGGCACTTTCCTGTGTCCCCAGCTGACAGATAAGGTACAAATTTCATATCTTACCAATGCAAATAGTGATTTGATTATCTTGAAATTCATTAACATATCAAATGCATTTTAGCAAATTTAACCGAGGATATAGGATTGTAATGGGAGGCCGATACTTCTTGATGTGTTTACTTTGTCTGCTAGCAGTCAGGGTGTCTGGGAAACGGTTTGCTATTCATAGTGATGAAGATATTTCAGATAAAGGGGCGAAAATTCTGGTCAGATAAAATTCTTGTCAACCGGTTCCTCGCTGATATGGTGAGCCATTGTACCCCTCAACACCAGTTGACAAGTAATATTATCCATTGTCAAGATCTACTCATCATGCTCATGTCAGAATCTACTCATGGACTTTTCAAGATGGATGTCAAGCTTCAAGTCCTTCTCCCAGCCTGTGTCATCCCTGTGATATACTCCAGTAGACTATGTTGAAGTGACTTACATGTTGACATGGTGGACAGTACCAGTCTCCGTCCGGGATGATCATGATTGGAGGTCGGAGACAGGCGGTGTGGTACCCACTATCACATTTATCACAGAGCAGAATCTGAAATCAAGAGCAATCAATAACCTACACATGGATCAAGCATAAATATTTGTAACATACATAGTGCTTGCAGAGAATGACTGCAAAACAGCTACAGCTCCAAAAAATAGTTTTCACTCACTCACACATTAATCACTCCACATAATCTCTTACAGATATTCCACACATAGAGGAGGGGGTGCGCTAAAATTGTACTTATATTCAAAGTAAACTTTCATTGAAAACTATGTAAATAATGACTTTCTGTACATGGAAATTGTGAAACCAGCGCAACCTGCAACTGTTTGTGCTTAATTAGTTCATATGGGTGCATCTCAGTCTCCACGCAGGCGGTGTCATGACAAATAAAACAAATAGCAGTTTATAAGAACTGGCATAATACTAATAATTTTGGTGTTTTCTGTCGCTCAATAATACAGGAAAAACACTACATGCTTTTGTTAAAAAACTTAAACACCCAGAGTCAAGAATCATAGCTCAGGATTAAGGCCCTCTACCTTCAGTTTCAAGCAGAACCTGATGGGTGTGTTTTTGTAACCTAAATAGTGGAACTTGCATTTGTTCTTTGCACTTGGTATTGTTTTAGCTCTGTTATCATTATGGCACTAGATGCACTTATAAACCATTATGAGAACTTGCACAAGGCACTCGTGAGTGCAGCTAAGTGTGACAGGTTTCATTATTCCTCCTTTCAAATACCATGAAGCCAAACTGAACCAAGCCACTGAAATATAAAAATTGAGTTAGGAGTGTATGTCCATGTACAAAGGTTTCTTGCCCCACACCAACCAAACAATATGGTTCAGGATGACACATATAGCGATATGAAAGAGAGTGTGAGTGAGTAAGGTTTTACGCAATATTCCAGCAATATCATGGCAGGGGGCACCAGAAATGGGCTTCAAACATTTAACCCATGTCAGGAATCAAACCCGGGTCTTTGGTGTGACGAGCGAACGGTTTAACCACTAGGCTACCCGACCGCCCCGATATGAAAGAGAACCATCCACTGGTATCAAAAAGTATATATATGCCAACCACTATTCCTTGGTTTGGTTGATGATGGCATTCAAAATAAAACTGTAAACCAATAGTGTGTTCTGAAATCTGATTGGTCAGCCTACCTCGTCGATTATCATCCGATTCCCACAATTCCACATAAGCCTCTTAACTGTTAGTAACAAATGTAACTATTTATCATCTAAACGTGATTCATAATCTATCTAGTCATGCAGATCCATATTTTCTGATGTTGTTGTTTATTGTATTAATTGTTGTTTCAATAAAATGTGTGTGTGTGTGTGTGTGTGTGTGTGTGTGTGTGTGTGTGTGTGTGTGTGTGTGTGTGTGTGTGTGTGTGTGTGTGTGTGTGTGTGTGTGTGTGTGTTTGTTTTTAAATGTGGCATTGGGGATAGTTCCCTTTGACAATTTTGTTCAAATCATTATTACATAACAGGAGTCAAACTGAACCAAATATTTATAGACTACCAGTGTAAATATATCTTCCAAAACTTCCAATGACAAGTACAAACCATAAAAGGTTATCAGTTTGTTGCCAAGGGTTTGACCTAAGTACGTTTGAACGTTACTTCTTTCAGCATCAAAGTTGAAAATTTTAAATGGTTGACATCTGCAAATGATGTGATTGTGGTGTGACTCTATATGGCTTCATGGTTTCCACGTATCACCTACATTCAGCACAAGAACTCGTTATCAGGCAGTTTGAGTCACAGGCGATCTCGGGACAGTGGGAGAAAAGAGATGTCTCTAATACTGTACCAGGGCTGTATATTACTCTAACTGACTAACAACAAGTTCATGTGCACTCAGCATGCGTTATCTGCTTGTGCTCTCATGAATGTCGGTGAAGAGATGTCATATGACAAATAGGAAAATATGCATCTCTCCTCCCTGCACCCTTCTGGAAATCCTGTATCCACTGCTGCATGAACAGATTGTGGGGATGAAGCAATGGCGCCGAAGGTGTGAAATATAACTTTGGGGTTGACATTTTATGAAAATCTGACCCCAATTCTCCCACAAAAGCTGTATCCAACCGTGTTTGGCATCACAATATCCACACAGACCAACTGCCAAACTCTACATCAATACCTCGACTTTCAAGCCCACTGATCAACACTGAACACTTATAGAACATCTGATGTGTGAATGAAAGTTGGCAAGGTCAATGTCTTTTGCAGTTATTGAAAGAACCATAGCTCATGGACATCTGAAAGTATGAGTTAACTGACGTAGATGTACCCATGTATCAGGTATGCCACTTACCCATTCGGGATGGTCGTATCTCTTGCACTTGGTACATGGTGTATCATCTGCACCGGGCTGGAAGTTGTCTTTCTCTGGAAACATCGAATACGAGGTGTAAGTGGACAGTATGTAGACCTGCTAGCAAGACTCTAGCTCATTCATGTTCGTTTTCAGGTTACAGAAATCACTATACTTTGAATGCTTCACATACCAAGAATTTAGAAAGTTCAAGCCATGACACTGTTTGGCTGAAGTTCACCTGATGCGACATCCCATGGAGGGCTTGTCGCATGTCCCTGCCTTCATCAACATTAATGGAGTTTCACTGTACTGTGATGTTATTTTTCAAACACGTTCATACACGCTTATAACCTATCATTTTCTCATTAACACTTTAATAAAACAGGACGAAACGTGAGGCTCATCATCAGCTCAGGACCCTTGCCCCCTCTACACGCAGCCTAGACAGCGAATGGGACTTTTCCCAGGATGCGCTGCCTAGTCCAACCCACCCAGAACTTTGCAGGGCTCACTAATACCTCTGCCTTCGACTCCAACATATTTTTTTAAGTTCAAAACATGAAAAAGCAATATTTTCTCAGAAAATACACACATCAAAATTAAACTTAATTAAAATATAACCTCTTCTATAAGTATGGAAACTGTTCCTTAAATTTGAAAATAATCCATGTTGGTTAAGTTTTCTAGTTCTAGGTCGCACAAATGTTTCAGTAAAATATTTCTGCGTAACAAATAAAACAACCGCCATGATTTCACTAAAAGAACAGAACAGAAGCAGTTCACATTCGCCGCCACAAGCCATCAATCAACAGAGATCAAGGGTATTTCATCCCATTTGCCGACTATGAACTCATCAAGCAATAATCACTTATCATGTTTAATTGGCTTCATGTCCCTATTGACTTCCACCTGTGTGTTCTCTGTCCATCGTGTTGTGACAGTATTATCCCCTTGTTGTCAACACCTTACCTATGTTATCCCACTCATGTATGCAATTGTTGTTACTGTTAATCCTCTACCGTTAATCCTCCACCTACTATATATATTCTGTTCTTTGTCCCTCATTTAGTCCTGCTTGACAACGGTATAAGGATCTATACCGAAACGTCGCTTTTTACAGTATTAAAGAAGTTGTAATCCATAAAATTGTGTCTACCTTGAAATAAAAGTAAGCTGTAATTTTTCAGAAAATCCAAATATTGAGTTCAAACTTCATACTGCACCTCTCCTATAGGTATAAATAGTTTTCACCATGTTTGAAAAGAATCTATTTTGCAGTTTTCAATTTATTGGTCACACACAAAAATTGACCACGGAAAGACAGATGGAATTTGTTGGTATAACTATAAACAATTTCTTAATGTTGATCTCACAACATCCCACGTCAGATCAGTGTATCTAAACACATATCATTTTAACATCTATCATGTCTATTTACTTGCATACCTGCTCTGGCAATCTGTCTCTGATAGTTCCTGCCCTTGGGAGTTAAGAAGTCCTCGTCATCAGTGTTGAGCTCCTCTTGCTGAAACTCGTCCTCGCCTGATGGCCCAAACACCAGGTCTTCTGAAGACTCGGACAGGTCATCACTAAATGAATCAGAAGACGGTGGCCTTTTCCGGCGCCGCCCTCCCCTCTTGGGTCCATTTTCACTGGAATCCTCAGCATCAGACGCCTTCCTCTTCCGTGCTCGACCTCGACCCTTGCCTTTCCCCTTCTTCTTCCCTGGGCAGTAGTCTGAATCATCACTGCTGGTTTCAGACACTTGTTTCTTTTTCTGGTGATAGATGATGATATGGACATGAGCAACATGAGCAAGCAATGTTCAACATAGGCCAGCGTTAGAAATTGGCACTAGTCCTGTAGTCCTTGCCAAAGTGTCAAATAGTTAAGGTATCGTAAGGACTTTAACAAATTTGTCAATGTCATCTTAAGGGTTTTGCTACATATTATCATTATAAGGACTAGTGGACTAAAAATGTTATACTCATAAACGTAAAGCAACAAAACTTATTTTGTGATGTCTAATTTAACTAATTCTCAAACGTTGCAACAAACAAAAGCATGTAAAACTGAAAGCACTGAAATAGTGGCAGAAAAGTTCACTGCACTATAGTGTGTGATAAAATGCTGTCCATGTATTCAACTGTCTATATGGTCAGTCATACTAAAGTCACAGTGGTCACACATCAACTAAATTCACAGTGGTCTCACATCAACTAAAGTCACCCTGGTCACACATCAACTAAACATGCTAAAGTCAAACTGGTCACACATCAACTAAAGTCACAGTGGTCACACATCAACTAAAGTCACACTGGTCTCACATCAACTAAAGTCGCACTGGTCACACATCAATGTAAGTCACAGTGGTCACACATCAACTAAAGTCACAGTGGTCACACATCAACTAAAGTCACAGTGGTCACACATCAACTAAAGTCACAGTGGTCTCACATCAACTAAAGTCACCCTGGTCACACATCAACTAAAGTCACAGTGGTCACACATCAACTAAAGTCACAGTGGTCACACATCAACTAAAGTCACAGTGGTCTCACATCAACTAAAGTCACCCTGGTCACACATCAACTAAAGTCACAGTGGTCACACATCAACTAAAGTCACCCTGGTCACACATCAACTAAAGTCACAGTGGTCACACATCAACTAAAGTCACACTGGTCTCACATCAACTAAAGTCGCACTGGTCACACATCAATGTAAGTCACAGTGGTCACACATCAACTAAAGTCACAGTGGTCACACATCAACTGAAGTCACAGTGGTCACACATCAACTAAAGTCACCCTGGTCACACATCAACTAAAGTCACAGTGGTCACACATCAACTGAAGTCACAGTGGTCACACATCAACTGAAGTCACAGTGGTCACACATCAACTAAAGTCACAGTGGTCACACATCAACTAAAGTCACACATCAACTAAAGTCACAGTGGTCACACATCAACTGAAGTCACAGTGGTCACACATCAACTAAAGTTACAGTGGTCACACATCAACTAAAGTCACAGTGGTCACACATCAACTGAAGTCACAGTGGTCACACATCAACTGAAGTCACACTGGTCTCACATCAACTAAAGTCACACATCAAGTAAAGTCACAGTGGACACACATCAACGTAAGTCACAGTGGTCACACATCAACTGAAGTCACAGTGGTCTCACATCAACTAAAGTCACACATCAACTAAAGTCACAGTGGTCACACATCAACTAAAGTCACAGTGGTCACACATCAACTAAAGTCACAGTGGACACACATCAACGTAAGTCACAGTGGTCACACATCAACTGAAGTCACAGTGGTCACACATCAACTAAAGTCACACATCAAGTAAAGTCACACTGGTCACACATCAATGTAAGTCACAGTGGTCACACATCAACTAAAGTCGCACTGGTCACACATCAATGTAAGTCACAGTGGTCACACATCAACTAAAGTCACACTGGTCTCACACCAACGTAAGTCACAGTGGTCACACATCAACTAAAGTCACCCTGGTCACACATCAACTAAACATGCTAAAGTCAAACTGGTCACACATCAACTCAAGTCACAGTGGTCACACATCAACTAAAGTCACACTGGTCTCACATCAACTAAAGTCACAGTGGTCTCACATCAACTAAAGTCACAGTGGTCACACATCAACTAAAGTCACAGTGGTCACACATCAACTGAAGTCACACTGGTCTCACACCAACGTAAGTCACAGTGGTCACACATCAACTAAAGTCACCCTGGTCACACATCAACTAAACATGCTAAAGTCAAACTGGTCACACATCAACTCAAGTCACAGTGGTCACACATCAACTAAAGTCACACTGGTCTCACATCAACTAAAGTCACAGTGGTCTCACATCAACTAAAGTCACAGTGGTCACACATCAACTAAAGTCACAGTGGTCACACATCAACTGAAGTCACAGTGGTCACACATCAACTAAAGTCACACATCAAGTAAAGTCACACTGGTCACACATCAATGTAAGTCACAGTGGTCACACATCAACTAAAGTCACAGTGGTCACACATCAACTAAAGTCACAGTGGTCTCACATCAACCACAGCCACTTTTGGTTTCCTTCAAAGACATGGATTATTTGGGAATTAGTCTTCAAGAAAATACAAAGATAAATCACATAGAAATCTGTGCATCTAATTCTTACTTGAGTCTTGTCTCCGTTTGTAACGACAGGATCTGGTGCTGCTCCTCTTCCCCGCCCACGTGCACTTCCCCCTCTTGCTGCTCTTCCTCCTCGACCTTTACCTCCTTTCACCCTACTGAGGGGCACATCTTCACTATCACTCTCTGATGAAGACACATTTCCTTTTCGCTTTGCCCTTGACCTTTGGCCACCACGACTTCTGGATGCACCTCGTTTTGCTTTCTTTCCAGTTGGTTCCTTTGAGCCACGATCAGCTGTTCTTTTCACGCCTCTTCCTCCTTTCCGCTTCATTGAATTTTCCTTATTATGATCATAGTCTTCGGTATCGGAATCATCATTACCATCCTTCAACTTCCGAGCTGTTTTAGTTTTACCAGGTGTATCTTTAGAATTTTCACTATCTAAGGAACCATTTTCTGCAGTCTCAGATTCTTTTGGCACCGTCCTTTTTCTAGCTGAGCGCCGTGAAGGTAAATTTTCCAGGTCCTCATATTTATCTGGCATCTTCCTGGCTCGTCGAGAACTTCTGGTTGGTGTTGGTCGTGGTTTTACTTCAGGTACAGATCTTTTCCTAGACTCTTCCTTCTTATCTTCCTTTGTGTCTTCATCCTTTTCTGAATCTTCATCCTTCTCATCTTCATCGGAACCCTTTCGATTCTTTTCCTTCTTTGATCTACGTTTGGCTCTAGAAACATTTTCTTTGGATGTGACAGTTTCTTCCTCATCTTCATCACAGCTTCCATCAACATCTTTGTCTTTGGAAGGCTTATCTGACTTTTTACTATGTTTAACAGCTTTTTTTCTCTTTCCCTTAACTGTTTCTTGAACATCTGGACTATCATCAACACTATCGCTTCCATTATCTTCTTTAACACTAACAGAACCATCCTTATTGTCCCTGTCCTCTTTGGGAGAATCATCTTTACCTCTCCTAGACTTAGCTTTCTTTTTCTTATCCTTCTTTTCCTTCTTACCACTATCTTTTTCTATACTGTCCTCTGCCTTTGAGCTTACACCACTTGAGTCTGTTTTAGCACATTGAGCAGACTTCTTGGAATCAGACTTTTTGTCACTATCAACACTAGAATCTTTAGATTGTTCCTTCACTTCTGAAGTTACACAGTCTGAATCTTTAGTCTGTTTGTTTGATTCCTCTTTTTGTGCCTTACTGTCTTTGGAAGATTTGTCACAATCTTTTGAATTATCACTTTCACAATCAGTTTTTTCACTACTTATATCCCTTTTTTCTACACTTTCCTCGTTGGGTTTGTTTAGTTTTTCATTGTCAGTCTGTAGTTTTCTTTCGACAGGTTCTGTCTCTTCTTCCGCTTCTCCTGAGCTGGCTATATCTTTATGTTTACCTGAAGAATCTTCTTCCTCTTTTGTTTGCTTATCTTTTGCATCTTCTAACTTCTCTTTCGCTTGTTCCTTCTTTCCTTTTGTTTCCTCTTTATCCCCTCTGATTTTGTCTTTCTTTCCATTTGTTTTTTCTTTCTTATCTTTTGTTTCATCTTTCTTATCTTTTGTTTCATCTTTCTTATCTTTTGTTTCATCTTTCTTATGTTTTGTTTCATCTTTCTTATCTTTTGTTTCCTCTTTCTTATCTTTTGTTTCATCTTTCTTATGTTTTGTTTCATCTTTCTTATCTTTTGTTTCATCTTTCTTATCTTTTGTTTCATCTTTCTTATGTTTTGTTTCATCTTTCTTATCTTTTGTTTCCTCTTTCTTATTTTTCGTTTCGTCTTTCTTATCTTTTGTTTCATCTTTCTTCACTTTCTTTTCTTCAGTTTCCTCCTCTTCTTTTCTTTTTTCATCTTTCTTCCCCCTACTTTCTATTATTTCCACTGTTGTTCCCTTGAGGGATACTTTGGTTGTATCCTCTTTTTCTACTTTAGAATCAGGTTTAGAGGCACTAGCTGACTTTTCTTTTTGTCCTATACACTTCGTTTCACAATCAACATTCGAAGAACTAGAATCCTTTGACTTTGAACCTGAATCTTTATTTGCTTTACTCTCATCAATAGTGTCTTTCTTTGCATCCTTTTTTCCGACAGTTTCTTGTGATTTACTATCATCGTTTACGGTTTCCACCAGATTATCTGATTTCTTGGATTTTTGATCACAGTCATTTTCAGAATTCTTCTTTTCTGTCAACTCTTCTGATTTCTTTTGTGAACTATTGCTCTCAGATTTTTCCTTTGATGAATCTTTGTCAACATTATAAACCTTATGTTTACCCTTCTCATTGGATGTAACCATCTTTTTAGAAGCTTCTGAGATGTTTTTCTCAACTGTATTGGCTTCAATGTGTTTTTCACTTGAAGATTTTTTATCATCTTTCTTGGACTGTACATCAGTAGGTATACCCTTTTCTTCACCCACCTCAACACTGCTGGACTTTTCTTCAGACTTGTCTTCTTGGTCTTTCGTTGGTTTTGTTTCCTTTTTTTCTGATCTGACATCAGATTTATCTGTCTCTGTTTTCTCACTCTTATTTACAGAATGTTTGTCATGTTTATCTGAAGGGGTTTTCTTCTCTTCTGGTTTCTCTTTAGACTCCTTTCCTTCATTCTCATCCTTCTTTGACTCTGGAGAAGCTGATGATCCTGTTCCTCCTGTGTCATCTACCTTGCACTCTGGTCTGTCTGGTCCATGTTTCTCCTGGGCTTTCTCTTCACTCACCTTTTCAGATTTTTCATCTTTCTTTCCTTCCTGCTCCTTTTCTATCTTTTTCTCACTCTCTTTCTTCTCTGATTCCTCAGGATCTTTCGTTTTGGAATCATCACCTTTTTGTTCTTTCTTAGCATTTTCAGAGCTTTTAATCACATCATCTTCTTTGCTTGACACCGACTCCTTTTTAGATTGTGACACCTCTTGTTCTTCTTTAACAGCTTTGCTTCCCTTTGCAGATTCTTCTTGGTTTTCTGGCTCTTCTTTCACTTCATGTTTGATCTGGACATCTTCGACCTTGATCTCACTCTTCTCCAATTTCACCTTGACCTCTGACCCATCCTCATCTTCCTGTTTGAGCTCTTCCTTAATTACTGCCTCAGGACTTCCTTCTTTGCTGCTCTTTGTAGAAGATGCTGTGAACAAACATGGCAGAATTAAAGAACAGACCATGGCTGATTTGTTTTGAGAAAGTGTGATCAAATATATATAACAACACTGATCCTAAATCATTCAAATTAGCAGTTAAGCTTGTGTACTGTTTGAAGTAATAAAAAAAGAAAATGTGAAGTTTTCGCAACTAAATGTCAAAGGTCAAGTAGAACTTGAGAAACTCATTAAGTTCACTGTTAAAGGAAACACCTTTTAAAATTTTCATCACATCAAAGAATTGTAAAGACTGCATCAAGAAAAATTATATGTGTGCATGCATGCTTCTTTTAATGCTAAATTTAACAATATTCAAGCTACATGATGGTGGCCTAAAAATAATCAAGTCTGATCCAGACAATCCAGTGATCAATATTATGAGCAATGATCAACGCTGTCGGGCATGTTCACACACCATCAACCAAGCCACCTGATCCATCAGCGTTAGAAATTGGCACTACTCCTATAGTCCTTACCAAACTGCCCTATAATTAAGGTATCATAAAGGACTAGTAGAAATTGGCCATTTTTAAGGATTTTGCTATATGTTATCATCATAAGGACTAGTAGACTAAAAGTGTTAGTTTCTACCTCTCCGCATCTTTCCTGGTTTTCAGGTTATATCGCGCGGATAATTTGTATTAAAGTGGTCTTGCTGAATTGATCATTAGAACTAGGGCTGGGATGGTGAACTCGGGTACTCGGGTACTGAGAAGGACCTGGGTACACAAAGGACTACCTGGACCCATGGTCAGTCATGTGATATATTGTTTAATGACAAAAATTATCTAACATTCTATGGTTATACTACATGTCACTAATTTTCGCATGTTGGTGGTGGGGTAGCCTAGTGGTTCAAGCATTGGCTCGCCACGTCGAAGGCCCGGGTTCGATTCCCCACATGGGTACAATGTCAGAAGCCCATTTTCCGGTGTGCCCCGCCATGATGTTGCTTGAATATTGCTAAAAGCGGCGTAAAATTATTCTCACTCACTCTGACTATGCACACATTTCTTCTGACCTTCACATGTTTGAATAAATGTCAGTCAACTTCAGTGTATGCATGTATAGATCGTTTTATACGTGTATCTGATTACATTTTGACAGGGCTACAGTCAAACTGTTCCCAATCATTTTGTACCTATCTCTTGAAACCTGCAGATGGTACCCAGGTAGAGTCGGGTAATAGGGGGTTGGGTAGCGGGGTAGTAAATTTGGACTCGTCACAGCCCTAATTAGAACAAACATAGTTGCCAACACATACATAATCATGTTACAAGTTAACTCCTATAAATAAGACAAAGGAATAACAATGATTAAGAATAAACTCACAACTAATATCATCAAACTTTAAATCCCCTTCATCCTTGAGCTTTGATATCAACTTGGCCAAGTCATCCCGGTTGCTGAAACAAAATAGCAATAAACATAGCAAACACATTCTTTGATAAAGACAATGAATTGTAAAAGTTGCTAACAAATATTAAAGACTGCATGAAACAAAGTAATTCATTTGATTAGAAGCAGTCATCTTCAGTTACACAATTGTCTTGCCTGTAAAAAAACAAAAATGTTGGGGACAAGATTACCTCACTCAAACTCTTGAAATATCCTTTACATGGTATCATGACAAAAGATAAATGAAACTACTTAGAGTGATCTTACATAAACAACTGAATCATAATCAAGCTAAGCCATGCCTATTAAGGCATTTTAATCATTCATATCTAAACAATTCTGCAGGGACATAACAAGAATATCTCTACATATTCTATGCATAAGATACAATAAATAATTAATCAAATAATCAAATAATCAAATAACCAAATAATTACATAAAATACATTGTTGTTTTCACTATTCAAGCCATAACATGGCAGCCTGTGAATACTAGCAAATGGTCGGTGGCACGTAGATCCAATTTAGTTGTTTCTTCTGACAAGCAATAGACCAGCTATCTATTGTAACCCGGGTTCCCATAGGGTCAACAAATACTAGCTAGGCTTGGTTTTGTTAGTTGGTTTGTTTGTTGTTTATTGCCACACTCAGCATATTCTAGCTATATGACAGCGGTTTGTAAATAATCAAGTCTGGACCGGACAATCCAGTGATTAATATCATGAGTATCAATCCACGCAATTTGGATCGATGACATGCATCAACCAAGTCAGCAAGCCTGACCACCCGATCCCGTTAGTCGCCTCTTATGACAAGCATAGTCGCCTCTTACGACAAGCATAGTCTCCTTTTACAGCAAGCATAGGTTGCTGAAGACCTATTCTACCCCGGTACTTCACGGGCCACTAGCTAGGCATAACAGTAGAAGCACTGTATGAAGAACTCACCAGCAGACCAGCTGCCATGTCTCACTGTCAGCATCATCCTGTTCCTCTCGGTACACCAGGAGGTTCTGGTCCTGATCCTGCAAGATGATGTCATTGTGTAGTTAGAATGGCAGTAGATCTAACATGTACACAGCCTTGGTTAGTGGGTGTTGTATGACTGCAGTTACGAAAATGACGCAAGGACTACTCACCAGAAGGTACCAGTAGGCCAGGCCGTTCTTGTCCCGCCCCACTGGCTGGAAACGCATCTCCTCAGCTTTCCGCTCATTGACCTTTTCTTTGAATTTGGTGTTATAATCAAACTGGCACTCCAGCAGATTCTGAAAAAAATAAACAAAATTAAATAAAGATTATTAGAAGATTTACTACTTACTGTATCTTAAACATCATATATTAGGAAAATAAATTAAATTCAACAAGCCTTTGGCTAGGGTAAAATTATCTTAATCATATAATGTCATTCTTATAATGATAAGTGTTTCAGCAGTAATTTCGAGTGATTGAGTGAGTGAGGGTTTAACATCGCCTTGACCAGTATTCCAGTCATATCCCAGTGTGTCAGCTTAACCGGGAAGGTTGTGATGCAGGTTTCAGACAGTTACTACTTTGGCAACACCCATGAGCACGGGTATGATGCTGACAAACCAAAAAATATAATTTCAACCCACAATCATAGGTTTCTGGTGCGAAAAAGGGATGTAACTCTACACAGGAAATTGCGGCACCTTAAATGACTTGGCCACCTGTGCCCCTATTATCGTGTGATAAAGTAACTTTAGAAACTGTGTATGAATACATTGTTTGAGAGAACCATGTGCTGCCATGTTCGTCTATATTATCACCTGCAGAATGGAAAATCCATATCTAAACTTTTGGATAACGTAAGTCAATAGTTTTTTGGCAAGAAGATATTGAATCGATGTATGGAGATAAAAAGTAGTTCCTGCTAAGTGACCTCATTTGCACCATATAACAGATAGTGATACCAGGTTTATCAGATTGGTTTATAACCATGTCAATGTTTGTTTGTTGTTTAACACCCCAATCAGCAATATTCCAGCAACATGACAGCAGTCTGTAAATAATCAAGTCTGGACCATATTCATGAGCATTGCAATACGTAACTGGGATACAATGACATGCATCAACCACTCGATCCTGCTAGTCGACTCTTACGACAAACGTAGTTGCCTTTTACGACAAGCATGGGTTGCTGAAGACCTATTCTTCCCCAGATCTTCACAGGTCCATTGATATTATTAAATAATGACGGTACCTCTCAAGCATCTTTTGTACATTCACTGACTAGTATATTATCTTTGCAGCGTTAGAAATTGGCACTAGTCCTGTAGTCCTTACCAAACTGCCCAATAGTAAAGGTATCGTAAGGACTAGTAGAAATTGGCCCATTTTAAGGATTTTGCTATATGTTATCATTATAAGGACTAGTGGACAAAAACTGTTAGTTTCTAACCCTGCTTTGTATGTTACATGGGACTAGATGTGTTAACTGTATCTCCCTATAAAAAAGATTTTGATTTTGACCTTTCTAGCATGCTTAGTTTCCAGATTATGAACATACCACTCAAACAACCCTGCCATAATGTATATCAATTGTAATCCCACGACAACTGCAACACTATTCGCTCGAACCTAGCAGGACTGTGACTTCATGATATCCGAACATTTGAGATAACAATGCATGAACATTTATACAGTAAGTCAGTCAGGACTGGAGAACAAGTTCAAGATATCAGTACATTCGAGATAGCGGTGTTCGAGATAACGAGGTTCGACTGTAGTATTATGCGGATCTTTGTTTTGTTCCTTATACATGTGATATATGACATTTACAAAATGGAAACACATGAGGGGAATGAATAAACTCTTAATCATATGTCATTCTCACCATAACTGATTCTTAAGACGTCAAATTGTTAAACTCAACTTGTCCTGCAGGGCAAGTACATATTTTTTTGTATTAGTCCCGCAATATTTTCACTTGCCCTTTTAAATTTTTATAAAGTTTTAAGTTTTCAGTTTGTATTTCAATTTTCTGTTATTAATTTTTGCGTTGACCACAGACAGTACAAAATTATTCAGTCACCATCAGCTACGTCGCACAGCCTGTGTCTCATTTTAGATTTTTGCAGCTATACTGTATTTTTTAAGAAATCTTCATTTTTTCGGCCTGTTAGAAATCAAATCATGTTTTATACATCAACCCCACCATTCAATATATCAGCCATTTCCCTCATAAAATCATTCACTTTCACGTGACATTAGAGCATCTGTATGCCATTTATTATGATATGTGACATGTACTTCGTTATTTTTACAGTCAAACCTCAGCGTTTTGAACTTGGATGTGTCAAATTCCTGGTTGTCTCGAACTCACCTTTCAGTCCCTGCGAATTCCTTCAATATTTTATCATCATTAATATTGTGATACGTCGAACGGGATGTGTCAAATTCCTGGTTGTCTCGAACTCACCTTTCAGTATCTGCGAATTCCTTCAATATTTTATCATCATCAATAATCTGATATGTCAAACTGGATGTGTCAAATTCCTGGTTGTCTTGAACTCACCTTTCAGTCCCTGCCAATTCCTTTAATATTTTATCATCATTTATAATCTGATTTTTCAAACTGGATGTGTCGAATTCCTGGTTGTCTCGAACTCACCTTTCAGTCTCTGCGACTTCCTTTAATATTTTATCATCATTAATAATTTGATATGTCAAACTGGATGTGTCGAATTCCTGGTTGTCTCAAACTCATTTAGGAGTCCCAAGTATCCAAATTAAGTATAAAATTCCCCTGATGACTCGAACAGTTCAAAATAATCTAAGTGCAAGATGATTACTGTATACACATCAACAGCAAGTTACTGTAGTGTTCTCATGTGACTGCTGATGACACATCAAAATTGAGAAATGGGTTAAGATTATGTAAGTGAATCTATTATTCGAGATATGACTTAAACAATGACATTAATCCAGATAGGGACAGTGAGATCGATGATACACCCCCTTCACTACCAGGAGCCTGGGCACTGAACTTTACCTATGCCTTGAAATCTATTGTTGCATCCTGACCCAGTAATTATCTCTCATAACGTGTGGTTTTTGAAAATTCTCTGGAACCCTGGACAACTCAAACTATTTTCCAGGTCCCCTACATTCAACACCATGAGGTACAACTGTAGTATTAAAGAATGTGTGAGATAATCTGCCCAATAGTTAACGTATCATAAGGACTAGTAGACATTTGCCATTTTTAAGGGTTTTGCTATATGTTATCATTATAAGGACTAGTGGACTAAAACTGTTAGTTTCTACCGCTGCTTTAACTTCTTTTGAGTAGTCTTCTTGGTGACATCCTTAGATTATGGAAATATATTAAATTGATGCATTATGTTTTCTAAAAAATGAAGACTAGAAAGAATGCCTTAATGGTTCTCACCTTTAAAATCCTCAGTTTTGTAGAAACTTTGGCCAATCGGTAACCAATTCTCTCTATTTCCCATGCATCGACATCAGAGAAGTTGTGGCAAAACTAGGAACAAAGAAATGATAGATACAGAATATTTCCAGAGAGAATTCACTGCAAACCTGTCAGAAACTGCAATATAAAGTATAAAATTACTGGATATTATCAATGGTTTTTGGTCATAATCATCATGGTTATTGGTTTCTTAAAATTCTGTTATCCTTTTTGTCTGAGATTTCCAGAATCTCTCTTCATATACATGATAAATGAAAGTAACTTGATTGGTTGTGTATGATACTGATGATGATTATGGTTACAAATAATTATTTATAGATCAAAGAAATGATTGAACACTTTCAATAAATCTTTTACATCTCCACTACAGATAATATTGATTATTATTCACAGCATCAGCAACCATGGCAACAGTACAAGAAAACCAATCATCACTTACAATCAATCATCGGAACATAATTATGATCATTCTGTATCATTCAATTTTTTTTATATTAATAACAATCACTGTATACCCTGCATGCAAAAAACCTAATGCTAAATTTAACCCTTGTGGTAACTGATCGGTAAATATAGACATCTTGTCAGCCAAATGTAACATGAACTATTCCAGTGTTCCACATAGAAACAACATTTTTAAAAGTCATGAAATGTATCAGTCTTCAAAATAAAATGGTCCCAGGATCATTGATGATTGCTGTTATGGTATTTAAATCTAGGGACTCCCTAAATTTTCAACTTTTAACATTAGAGTGACACGGACCCTTTGCTTTCGATGCATAGGTTGGAAACAATGTGTATCATGATAGTACTACCATACCTTCACGAGTTGCCTCTCTATTCTCTCAGCAGTCACACTTGTCTTGCCAATTCTTCTCAGCAGGAATATATGTAGATCAGTTAGTACTTTATCGACTGAAATACAAAGATCATACCTCCTTACTCAGCAAAACATTACATTCTATGATCACCAGAATGTAATCAAAATTCAGATCACATCATAAGTCATTGACTTATAATTTGAAATATGCAGTGTTCATTTTAGTAGCTAAAAATGTAGGGCCTATCTGACCAACCAGGGACAAAATAATGGGGTCATTTTCCAAAAGGAATGGTCATGATAAAAAAGAAGCCAAAAGACAATTATTTTTCAGTCTGCGGCAATGCTAAACCTGTAGTGATACAGAAATAGATCCTGCAGGGATGAGTACCACAGGGCACTATTCTGGGTACAGTCCTATGTACCGGAGGGTACAGTCCTATGTACCGGAGGGTACCCAGCTAATACAAGAAGACACCATCTTCCTCAAGCTCCTCACAGTGATAGTCCGTTCGCCCCAACCATGCTTGGAGTTGAACTCGCAACCGAATGACTGTTATGTTTCCAAACAAGTGACGACTGTCGTGACGCAGAATACACTTACCGCTGATAAATTACTTTCTTTGTTTGTCAATTTGAATTTCTATTTCATTAAAAGTATCATCTTTAATTGATATAGTAAGAATGTAAGGGAGAAGTTGGTTGATTTTCCGTTAGTCTGCAATCTCGAACCAATCTGATTATTAAAACAACGAAGTAAATTCATCTGGAAAACATGGTCAGTCGTAAACCTTTTCAAAATGAACTATGATGGCATTCCAAAAGACATAAACAAAAGTATAAACGTTACTACATATGGGGTTAGAGGGAAAATTTCAAGATTCTTGTAATGGCTGCGCCCACACTGGTGGCAGCGATGTTACCGAGAGTGTAACGAAGGTGTCACGCGCTTGGAAGGAGCTTGCATCTTCCTGAGGCAAGGGAGTTAACTGACTATAAAAGTCCAGTTTCCTCCCTTGCCGAACTAGGCTGGAATTACGGAGTTACATTTTGGCCTGACTAAGGAGTCTATGCATAGTCCAATACATCTTCCCAAGGCAAGTGAGTTATCTGACTATAAAAGTCCAGTTTCCACCCTTGCCGAACTAGGCTGGTATTATGGAGTTACATTTTGGCTGGACTAACGAGTCTATGCATAGTCTAATCAAAATCGCGCACTGAAATTGAAATCCGGTTCGTAAAGTGTCATGCAGGTTTTGGTCGACTGCAGGATTTGCAAAGCATGTGCACCCCTAACTCGTTGTCAACAGATATTTTCTAAATCTTTTCATGCTTTTAATCAAGGTGCTCACGTGATTTGATGCACTTTGCGATATAAGACTCGTTTTATCGCAATATAGATCTTGATTATCAATCAGATCATCTTGACTGGGCGCCACCGTTTTGTTTGAAGCAAATGCAAGTGATACCAGAGGTTGAATCTGATTGGTCAATAGGAGAGGCATAGAAAGGACATAACTCGCAATAGCCACTTGTGCGCTACGATCGAGCCCAGGAATTCCAGCCTAGTTCGGCAAGGGTGGAAACTGGACTTTTAAAGTCAGTTAACTCTCTTGCCTCGGGAAGATGAGTCCAATAAAAAGTGCCTAACGAAATGGACATCCTGTTCGTAAACTGCCGTACAGATTTCCATCGATTGCAGGATTTTCAAAGCATGTGTATCGTCAACTTGGTGTCAGCATGGTCTACAGATACTTTCCAAATCTTTTCAAGTTTTTAATCCAGGTGCTCACATTATTCGATGCACTTCGTAAAGGAAGATTTTATTATAATATAGGTCCTACTTATCAACCAGACGTCTTCACTGGGTGCTGCCATTTTGTTTTAAGCAAATGCAAGTAATATGAGAGGTAGAAAATTATAGGTCAATAGGAGGAACATAACTTGTAACAGCCACTAGTGTCGCTATGATTGAGCCCAGAAATTCCAGTCTAGTTCAGCAAGGGTGGAAACTGGACTTTTACAGTCAGTTAACTCTCTTGCCTCGGGAAGATGAGAAGACATGTCTATTCAGAACAGTACCCTGATATAATGAAACTTATCTAGCAAGAAACATCATACAACAAATTTGTTGTACAATATATTTTTTTCTTTGAGCAAACTTCACTGCCCCTTGCAGAAAACAACAACGGAGCCTTGTTAGGAGTAAGCTTTTTGAAATGATTTAAACATAAGACATGAAATCATGAAATCCCACGACATACTGGTGCATCGATGTATTGTTTCACCCTAAAACTCACACCATGTACAGGGATACGAAAACCAGCCAATGAAACAAAATCCATACATTATATCTCTGAACATAGATGGCCTTTGCTTAATAGTCTTGAGTGAGTTGGGTTTAACGCCGCTTTTAACATTATTCCAGTTATATCACGGCGTGTCAGCTTAATGTGGGAGGTAAGCCCGAAGTGATGCAGGTCTCAGACGTTTACCACTTCAGTGAAACCCACGAGCACGGGTATGGTGCTGACAAACCTAGAAACATAATCAGGGCAAACCGGGATTTGAACCCACAATGATAGGTTTCTGGCATGCCCAAGGGAAGCAACTCTGCACAGCGAATCGTGGCGCCTTGATAGTCTTGAATTCAACCAACTACAATATGTAAAAGATAATCTTTATGCAAAGCCAAATTAGATGAGTGGGGTACAGTTTTCTATATTTTGGTTCTTCCCTGGAAACGTGGGTACCTTCTTGTATAAATGACGGAACCTGGGATACTTCCTGTGTAACCTGGCCTCACAACAATTCTTTCTGCCATAGTGACAGCAGAGCAGCACTTGAGAATCAGACCATGAAATCTGTGAAGCTTTGCTTGAATTATCACATGCACCATCATTATCCATTTATCATAAAAATGTGTCATTAACGCTTACCATCCCACCAGCCAGTATTACACATAATAAAAGATGATTTGTAACATTGTCTACAAGTGATAAGACTTTTATTAAGAGCCAGTCAAGCAGCATTTTTCAGGTGATAGGTACAGCAATGGTCCTATCTACTGGTACTTTCAAGTTTGACAACAATTTACTCTTCACAGAGGTATCATGGGCAGGTACTGAATAGGGGTGAAACAATACAGCAAGGTCACTATACGATACGCATCTCGATACATAGGTAATGTTACAATACATATCGCGATACACATATTTACGTCAACTTCTTGGAAACTTCTTGACTATAAATATTTCGGAGCATGTTCTAAAGTGAGTGAGTGAGTGAGTTTGGATTTACGCCGCTTTTAGCAATATTCCAGCAATATCACGGCGGGGGACACCAGAAATGGGCTTTACACATTGTACCCATGTCGGGATTCGAACCCGGGTCCTCAGCGTGACGAGCGAACGCTTTAACCACTAGGCTACCCGACCGCCCCTGTTCTAAAGGACAAGCAAGCTGTAGATACATGTTCATAGCTGCTATTTCTGGTAGTGAACTTGGAATGCTAATTACGACACATTTTGCGATATTTGACCAACAAAATTGTGTGTGTATGTTCGATAACAACTTAAAATGCACCGATGTATTGTTTCACCCCTAGTACTAGAAGGTGTAATGCAATGGGATGAAGTTTGTTCGTAACATGTTGATTGCACACTGTTCGGTTCAAACATTTGTCCAATGTCATACTCATTTCTGACGTAAAAATACCAACAAGCGGAACAGGTTGATGAATGTTTATGTTCTGATGTCTAGGATATGAGATTATTTTGTATTGCATTTGGAAACCATCTGACCAAATGTATCATGTACATGATGTTGTTGATAATTCCCATGTGATAATTGAAAAAGGATTCTAAGATGACACAAACTATAAAGTAAACACTGTTTTTGCAGGGTCAACTATTAACAAAATCTGACACAAACTTGTAATTCAGGAAGGATCAGTGACATTTCCTTGTTGACTACCATTGTTATCATTAGGTAGATGACAACTCTATAGCAGATAATGATTGAGGTCTGGTGGAAATAAAAATTAAGTTATATCCTAAATTTTGACAGGTAGATAGATAAAACAAATTGATATTAAGGATCAAACAGAAGATGACAGTGAAATTATCTCGCCTCAAGTAACAAAACTGTCTGAGGTGCCTTCTCCGAGTTTTCAAGATAGAGCTCTCTTGAGAAAGGTATGTTTTGAAGATAACCATGATAAATGTGTGTTCAAGCAATATAACATGTTTGATTGTAGTTTCAAATTCACAATGACAGCCTTAGAAAATTTTCTTTTAGTAAATACTAGTCCAGTGGACTAGTATAAACCTTATTTCACTAGTCCTCAGATTTTGTAGCTAGCCCTGCTTGAAAAGAGACAATAATGTTTAGTATCCAGTTCCAATTTGCGGTCCTACTAAATAATGTCCAGGAGCATCCAGGCAATGCCAGGGAGCATCCTGGCGAATGATACTAAATAATAAAGTATATTCTATATAATTGTGTTCTTGTATTAATTATAATAAAGTGTCATTAAGGAGGGTGCCAACCCCCTCCTCCCTTAAATCACGAATACCATCTAATTTTTCGCCCTGGGTCTCATTGCTCACCTCTGAATCCTGAATACTATTTTACATAAATCACAAAAGCATCGAGAAAAAGGGTACATACATCACTATCCTTTTTAAATGATGAATCTGCGTACCAAATACGATTATATTTTATTCAAACTGACCCGGTGGTCGTAACTTAGTCTTTACATATATTCTCATGATTGTACCAAACTGAGAAAGACACGTTTTATTGACTGACTGCACTGTATTATTTAACTCCCGGACATCTGATGAAACCTTCCGGACGTTAAATAGTATGGACCTCCAATGTGTAGCAAAACTGAAGCATTGTGAACCGGTTCAGAATTATAACCCTCAAATGCTAAACAGCAATAAGGAACTATCATCATTGGTCTTTAATTATCTCCTCTGATTACTCTCACCCGGAGAAGAGCACTCTCTTATCTCAATCCACCCATACAGAGTTACATGCCCCTGGATTAAGTTATATAGGATTTGTCAGAATGTTGTAAGCAGTCAATTGAAAACATCATGCCCAGTTGCAATGCATGAAATGCTCCTGTACCTTAAAGACACATCAAATATCCAAAGCTGTAAACTGAACTTAAATATAAACTGACTAGCAAGAAGGCCTAATGTTTACATCAAGAAGTGAAACAAACAAAACAGACACAAGGGAATACATCAGTGTCCCACAAGCCATATTTAGGAAAACAAAATTGACTGATTGATGCCTGATTTTTGCATAATACTGATATCTTGACGAGCATAGAATAAAAGCATGTAATCTGAACTGGAACGAATGCTATCTTGCTTTTCACAAATCACATGCTGTCGTATGTTTGGTATGGCTCAAATTATCTGTGACACTGACAGTGCCAGTAAAACCACACAATTAGAAACAGACACAGGAAACATCACACATGTTTCGTATAGTATATTGGAGTCTTTCTTTTAGTTTTAATGCACTCTTATGTCACATTTTACCGAGTGAAAAAAGTAAGTATTTGTTGATGATACTGGAAAGCGTCTTTGGTCATGAAATTTCAGAATAAAAATTGGGATGCTCATAAATAAAGTTTGGTGTGCAATATGCAAATGCGGTTTCTTACCAGTTTTGTTATCTTCGATAAAAATTTGAAGATCTGTAAAAGAAATTTCTGGCAACCCCAAAGCATCGCTGTGCTTGTCCAGAAACGAGCAAATCACAGCAAAGTTGGGGTCATTGTGGCAAACGCTATCTACAGCGGTCGCCATCTTGATTATGCTAATGAACAATGAAAGCTATCAAATGTCTGGCAGTTAACCAGCCTTGATTCCTAAAAAATACAACTGAAAAAAATAGTTTTGTATTTATATGTCGAAATCCTGCTTCATGTATAAAATATAAATGCAACATCGTAAATAACGCAATTTACTTGGATACATAAGCGCGGCTTTAAAAGTACAACCATCTGCATAACTTTGTAAACAAAGAGGGACCGGTAGATGGCGTGGGTGACCTCAGGTGCCTGGTGGCTAAAAATAGCTTACCTACGCTTGCATTGTCTGGTGTGGCGCAAGGTTTGGGTCCATTTGTAACGCCGTCTCGGTGGCGATCGTACATAACGCAAGAATGACATTTATATGAAACTCTTTGAAATACTTGAAGTCTTGTTTTAACACTTGTTGCTTCCAGTTTGAATTGAAATACTGGAACATTATGAAAATGTTGTCCGCAAGCCACTTGTAAGAATCGTCGGATGTGTTATGGGAGGAACTCTATATAGTCTAGGCAAACTACACCAATAGTAGAAAGTAACCTAAGTGCACTATTCGGACCTGATAATACCTGCATGGAACAAATGGTATGAGAGGAAATGTACTAAACATCTTAAAAGATAAATTAAGAGTTTCGATCCAGATCTCGAATTCCTACAGGGCTGCCCCCCCCCCCCCCCCCCCCCCACACACACACACACACCTTGACCGACATTCATGGTTCTATGAGGCGTCGTTTTAGTATTTAATCCCTATTTCAGAAGTCAATAGAATGTAAGATGTATTTTAAATTTAGATATCGTCACGTTCAGATTGGTGCACAGTGCAGAGAGCGTCTGCCAAGAGAGAGGACAAATAGGGTTCGATCCTCTGATCACCTCCGTGGTGTAGTGGACAGAGCTTCTGCCCGGAGAGCGGAAGGTTGGTGGTTCGATCCCCCGACAGCATCCGTGGCGTCGTGGATATAGATGGCGTGCCGGAGAGCGGAAAGTTTGTGATTCGATCACCAACCGCCTCCGTGGCGTCGTGGATATAGAGCGTCTGCCCAGAGAGCGGAAGGTTGGTGGTTCGATCCCGCGACCGCCTCGTGTTATGATGGATAAGAGCGTCTGCCCAGAGAGCGGAAAGTTTGTGGTTCGATCACCAACCGCCTCAGTGGCGTCGTGGATATAGAGCGTCTGCCCAGAGAGCGGAAGGTTGGTGGTTCGATCCCGCGACCGCCTCGTGTTGTGATGGATAAGAGCGTCTGCCCAGAGAGCGGAAAGTTTGTGGTTCGATCACCAACCGCCTCCGTGGCGTCGTGGATATAGAGCGTCTGCCCAGAGAGCGGAAGGTTGGTGGTTCGATCCCGCGACCGCCTCGTGTTGTGATGGATAAGAGCGTCTGCCCAGAGAGCGGAAAGTTTGTGGTTCGATCACCCGACCGCCTCAGTGGCGTCGTGGATATAGAGCGTCTGCCCAGAGAGCGGAAGGTTGGTGGTTCGATCCCGCGACCGCCTCGTGTTGTGATGGATAAGAGCGTCTGCCCAGAGAGCGGAAAGTTTGTGGTTCGATCACCCGACCGCCTCAGTGGCGTCGTGGATATAGAGCGTCTGCCCAGAGAGCGGAAGGTTGGTGGTTCGATCCCGCGACCGCCTCGTGTTGTGATGGATAAGAGCGTTTGCCCAGAGAGCGGAAAGTTTGTGGTTCGATCACCCGACCGCCTCAGTGGCGTCGTGGATATAGAGCGTCTGCCCAGAGAGCGGAAGGTTGGTGGTTCGATCCCGCGACCGCCTCGTGTTGTGATGGATAAGAGCGTCTGCCCAGAGAGCGGAAAGTTTGTGGTTCGATCACCCGACCGCCTCAGTGGCGTCGTGGATATAGAGCGTCTGCCCAGAGAGCGGAAGGTTGGTGGTTCGATCCCGCGACCGCCTCGTGTTGTGATGGATAAGAGCGTTTGCCCAGAGAGCGGAAAGTTTGTGGTTCGATCACCCGACCGCCTCAGTGGCGTCGTGGATATAGAGCGTCTGCCCAGAGAGCGGAAGGTTGGTGGTTCGATCCCGCGACCGCCTCGTGTTGTGATGGATAAGAGCGTCTGCCCAGAGAGCGGAAAGTTTGTGGTTCGATCACCCGACCGCCTCAGTGGCGTCGTGGATATAGAGCATCTGCCCAGAGAGCGGAAGGTTGGTGGTTCGATCCCGCGACCGCCTCTTGTTGTGATGGATAAGAGCGTCTGCCCAGAGAGCGGAAAGTTTGTGGTTCGATCACCCGACCGCCTCGTTAATTCTATGCCCTTGCCGTGTCGTTCAAAAAAACGCTAAAAAAATAATAATATGATACTTGCTTTTCGCTTAGGGGATAAACACGCCTCGCCGTCTCGGAGTCCGCACAACGTGCCTGAGTTGGGTTCCATGTAACACCTGTGGTATGAGATCTCTGTGGCTATATGAGTGTATGAATAATCTTAAACGTGACGTTAAACCCCATTTCACCTAGCACACATCGTTAGAAATAGTCATCAAACGCACTCTTCTAGTATATCTGTGAAGGAGAGTAAACCTGCACGGTAATACCATCCTCGGGTATCAAGTGTGACATTTCTCTCAACTATGAAAGTATAGGCCCTCAGCGTCGCCTATCGCTCGGCGTAAGTGGAACCATACTTTGATCAGACACGGTGACTTGGTTGCATTGCACTAAATCCCAACGGCGTTGCAGTTGCTCATAATATCAATCACTGGTTTGTTAGCCCCAGACTTACTTGTTTACCGGTTCCCGTGAATGCTTGAATATTGCTGCCCCCGTCTTTTTATCCTGTTCACTGTAAGACTCATGCGTCCACGATGATCATGTGAGCAAGGTCTTACATGCACGTGTCAGCTCAAAGCTTACACTGTGAGGCCCTACCACCGCCCCACCACCTTCCGCCACGGAGTATATCGGTAATAAACAATTCTACACCTACAATTCTAATCGATGTCTTTCTAATTTATCCGAGAATATCCCTTTGCATCAAACATAAATAAGCATAGATGATTTTGGAAACATACAAAGCACCCTTCACCCCTCACAACTTTCATAGATGGACTCGTCAAACGCCAGACGTTTTGAATTTCTTGAGAAATGTCACATTACTTTTCAATATGTCTATTCATGAAATCCCTGGAATAAATGAAGTTAGAATTTAGCATAGATATGCCTTTCAACCATCAATATTTTCAAAAGAGCAGTCCAAGTGATGTACCATTTCAACGGCTTGAAGTCAAGATTGTGACTTGTCATCTTTAGGAGAGGTCCACTATTTATAGGGGACGTAGGCCTTTTAATGCGGGTTTCGGCGTTAGTTGCCTATGACCTTGAAGACAAATCCATAATAATTCCGGAAACAATTAATGTGTACGTAATAGGGGAATAAGTCACTTTAACTTTCGCTCAATAGACATCTGTAGAGGAACCGGAAGTGAACCCTGGGAAGGGTCACCCTGAGATAAGTGGCCGGCTTATTCGGTCAAAGATTCCGACAGAAACCGGATATGACAATGTATTCATCCGCACGACCTGTAAACCGTTTTGCCATTACGATGGAAAGCTAGATTGATTCCAATCGATCTTATGGCTCGACTCGTGTCTATCGCTATTGACATAATTATCGCCCGGCTGCAGGTGTCAGATATTGGTGCAGAATTAAGACATACGTTGCTATATCTGGATGTTGTCTTGTCCCAGTCATTCGGCCAGCGTCGCCTTGTACGTATTCGGACTACCCACGAGGAAATCTGCTGAATGCGTCTACGATTTTGTCGTCGTGTAATATTTGATATGAAAGAAAACGTGCTTGAAATCACAGTTGTTTGCTGAATACATTTTTATAGGCGACCTTCAGATATGAAGAAGTTTCACGCACACCAGTTGTTCATAGGTATTTTTTTAATAAAACAAAACATCGGAATGTTATGTTTGTAGCCATGGATGTTGCTGAAAAACCTTCTGAAGTTTTAGTGAGTGAGTGAGTATGGTTTTACGCCGCTTTTAGCAATATTCCAGCAATATCACGGCGGGGGACACCAGAAATGGGCTTCACACATTGTACCCATGTCGGGAATCGAACCCGGGTCTTCGGCGTGACGAGTGAACGCTTTAACCACTAGGCTACCCGACCGCCCCTCTGAAGTTTTAGGCTCATACAAGATGACCTCACATGGACAAAAAAATTGTGTCATAGGCATAACTTAGAAGTTGACGGATGACAAGATAGACACAATTTTATGGATAACAACTTTAATACTGTGAAAAGCAACGTTTCGGTATAGATCCTTATACCGTTGTCAAGCAAGACTGAATGAGGGACATTGTACAGAATATATATAGTAGGTGGACGATAAACAGTAGAGAGTTAATGGTATAAGGAACTATACCGAAACGTCGCTTTTTACAGTATTAAAGAAGTTGCTACCCAAAAAATTCCGTGTACCCCGTGTCTACCCTGGACAAAAGAATAGCATAAATGTGTTATACACACCTCTCTCCATTATGATATTTGTGCATTATATTCAGAATACAAAGAAGAAACTGATTGTTCGAATCCTAGATTTTCCTACCTTGTTTAACAGCTTCATACATGCATGTGTGTTATACTGATTTTATGAAACGAGTGTCAGACGTCTTGCATTGCCCGAGCGAGAGAGAGAGGGTAATACATGAATTCTCACACGAGTTTTGTAAAATCAATACGACTCACATGCGAGTTAATAATTTCTTTAATGCTCATTATTTCTTAATCCTTTTGAACTCCCCTTTAGGGAAATGCACTAATCACGACCGTCTCAGAAAACCACAATTGTCGAATGGCGTCCACAATCTTCAGCTGTGACGTCGTTTTTTAATGTCACGTCATTCCGACCTTACGTCACAATAAGATTCGAATGACGCCAACAAAGCCGCCTAGATGACGTAAGCACTGGTCCGCGTAAAGTGATATTTGCACGAGTGAACATTCGACTTTTTTAAAATTCTGTTAGTTTTAACCCTATGAGTAAAAGATACCCGCATTTCGTCCGTTTTATCAAAGTGGTAAACGGTTAGGACATACATACTTTGGGTTTTCTCCCAGGCGGCCCAGTCGTCTGTGCAGAGTTGCGTCCCTTGGGCACGCCAGAAACCAATGATTGTGGATTCGAATTCCGGTTCGCCCCGATTATGTTTCTAGGTTTGTCAGCACCATACCCGTGCTCGTGGGGTTCACCGAAGTGGTAAACGTCTAAGACCTGCATCAATTCGGGCTTTCCTCCCACATTAAGCAGACACGCCGTGATATCACTGGAATACTGTTAAAAGCGGCGTTCCAAACACTAAAACATTGAAGAATGAGACTTTATTGTTTCAATAAACTGCCATTACCACCAATCATGAGCGGGAATAGATATTTCCAACCATAGCTCCATAATCAATTTGATATAAAACAACAACAATCAATGTCAATGTTTTATCGTCTGCTATTTGCTCACAGGTCCGCGCGATACCGGGTCGTCCCATATACTAATGAGGGATTTGGGTGCACTTGTATGACTCTGAATTGTCTATTAAACATGAAGCAATACTAATATTCTAACGTTATCGACTTCAACACTGAGTTAAATATATACCACAGCAATCTCATTAACGTGACAATCGATAGCCCAGAACATACCTGTCGCCCCTTCGACAAAATCGACTCGCCCGAGTCACAAGCAATCCAACTGTCAACATGTCTCACAAACAGAAAACATTCTGGCAGCGCTGGGGTTACGCTCTCGGGAGACTTTCAGCGCGTTGGAACAATTCGAATTATGACGGCAGAAATCAGTCACAAGTTACCCGGGGAACATGTCTATGACGGCATTTTGTTTTTTGGATATACTCCACCGGATATTCTGGACGCCGTGAAGGATTTTGAAGTGAGAGATGACGATGTGTTCATCATCACCTACCCGAAAGCAGGTAATGTCCCTCACGGCGTTAGTTACATTGGACTCGATGGGACTTCTGTTGTACATCGGAAGTTATCTCTTAACATGCATGGTCAATAACTTTGAATATCACTGAGATTATTTATGAGTAGACATTGACTAGTTGTTAAAATTACTTTGCTTAACCATTTATATATGAAATATCCATAGCATAGCCCACGGCAGGAATAGACCCGGCCTCTAAGTCCGTTAGACCAAGACTAGAGAAAATCTGGACGGAGTTGTTTTTCTCCCAAAATTTAGCTATTTTGCATAAGCCACTAAAAAATAAATAAAATTAGTCCGAAACGAGTTGCGGACGAGTTCGATATGACCAAAGGTGTCTACCTCTGAATGGTATGAAATATTTATCACGTATTATAGTGACATCTTTAATAATACGTAAATTACATGCATAGATGCAGCTTTTATCACGTGTTTTTTAAAATATATCCCTCAAGTCGTATATTCAGAGAACAGGGTTGCTATTTCCAATATTAAAACACAATCTTTACACTTTTTGATGTAACTGTTAATCATTAGTTTTGATTGGGGAAATTTGGAAAGCGATTGATTGTGTCTTATAGAAATGAAGACGCGGCGAGGCGACTTCCTGAAATCAGCGAATCTCCATACCAAATATACTCCCATGTTTGATAGTAGCTAGAAATGAAATAAACATGAAATGGTAATTCGATGGTTATATATTTTTGGGTTTTGGGTTTTGGACCTAAGTTTGCAGTGTTTCGGCAACTGCTTTCAGCCTTGTAACGTTTTGATAACTCTTCAAATGTTTTGGTCAAATCCAATTTTCAAGCGTACACTTTCTTTTGTCCGTCGTTTTATTATAACCGTTAAGGTTTCATGTGGACAGACTGCGACATTCTTATAGTTAGCCCAGCATTGCATTTTCCAGAGATGAAAATATTGCATGCTTCCAGTGCTTGTAAGAAGGCGGAAGAAGGGGCGAGACAAAACCGTTTCAGGAATAATGATAGTAATGCAATGGTGGTAACACAATGAATTAATGCTGTTAATGCACCTAGTATACACTGTGTGACGTCACTCAGTGGAGCACGAACACACAAGCTGGAATGGTAGAGACTGCTGGTGCTGAATCTGGTACTTATAGTTTGACACACTTAACATGGACGTTATGCCCCGAGTCACATTCAGAGACCATAGTGATGGTTCTTTTGATGCGTACCAACGTATGGCATATGTAACATATTGTCAGGCAGCCGAGAACTTCAAAAACATAGTTCCACCTACGTTAAAACAGCTCTAATTGAATCACTGCATCTGCCCGAGGCAAGTGTGTCCACTATCCTATATCATCAAAGCCTAGTTTCTACCCTTGCCGCATCAAGGCCACTTTCCTTGGCTCGACCCTGGCGCCACCTCGCGTAGATCACGAGTTGTGCCCCTTGTAATGAAAACGCGATATCCAATCAGATCGCTGTTCTTAGCTCGCACAGCTTCACACAGACAGCGACCACCATAGGCGACGACCTTGCGATCAGATAACGAAATAACTCGCGATTTCACCCCTGACACAAAAACATAGGCAATCGTTTTTCGATGAAAAAGACGTTTCAACAAAGACAGGCAGCAGTAAATTTCTTTCATACGAAGTCATTCTTCATACCCGTCGTGGATGTTGATTTTGTGAAACGTTCTCTGATTGGACTATCGATATGTGCCATAGTCCAATCATATTTAGCACAGAAAAAGGGGCTTGATGTGGCAAGGGTGGAAACAGGACTTTGATAAAAAGGCTAGTGGACGGTCTTACCTCGGGAAGATATAATCACTGTACAAAAACGTCCCATGTGAGAAAGATGGCACTCACTACCCAGAACGTTGTTGGTTCGAAGCTGATGTTTTCTCCATATTCGGCCTTGGTTGGGCTTGTAATAGAATCGGCAGCATTATGTACCGGACATCCTTGAACCATAGTTGCAGCACAGCCAAGGGACGTCAAGTTAATAACACATAAGCATTTTGTGTAATTTTCCCATGACAGCCTACCATTTCTCACACACAATCACCGTGTAGATTTGTGCAAACATGTACTGTAGGACCTTTACGTGTTTGTATGGCGTCCGAAGCACAATTACTTAATTGAAAACTCATCCGATTGATTATCAGGATAATTTGACTTATCTGCACCCAAACACGCATTTACGTCGTCTCCAAATTTGATCAATAACAGAATATGATATCTATTAATGTTTAAGCTTAACGCGTCATGCCAGTGAACCGGAAATAACCTGCTGTCAGCATGTTTTCTATTGAAATGCGACATTGTAGCTTGGTTTGTTTGTTCGTTGTTTAACGCCGAACTCAGCAATATTCCAGCTATATGACGGCGGTTTGTAAACAATTGAGTCTGGACCAGACAATTCATTATTTAATATCATGGGCATCTTTCCACGCAATTGGGATTCGATGACATCAACCAAATCAGCGAGCTTGACCACCCGATTCCGTTAGTCGCCCCTCACAACGAGCATAGTCGCCTCTTGCGGCAAACATGGTTACTGAAGACCTAGTCTAACCCAGTGCCTTGGTACCGCTTCGAAACCAATGGACCCATACGTGGTAGATTCTGGTAGACGGATGCGAGTAACGTGAGTCTTGTTCTCAATTCCAGGACGCGCGCGAAAGCAACACGAGGTGTAGCTTGACCGTTAGTAGTGTTGGCAATTGGACATAAAATCAGGACTGATGACTGGATCATCCTAACCGATCGATGCCCAAAATTAATCGGTTAGCGTCGTTTTGCTAATTTTCAATGTAAAGTTCAGTTAACCTAGATCACACCTTTGTGCGTACGGTCGCTTGGTCGTTTGGATTAATCGGAACACCACTATCCAACAGCATCGCCAGTACTTCACATTTTTGTAAACCGCGTTCTTATTCTGAGACATGCCCTTGAAGTACTGATGGTCCAGTAGCTGCACAAGGCCACGGGTACCCTACGTTGAACGTTTTAAGGCCTTATGTACCATGGACCTACATCAATGAACCCTTTTACGGCCATACTTACGATGAACTTACACTCAAAGGAACATGTTACGGCGATACGTACGATGGACCTACATCAGAGACCCCTTTTACGGCGATACTTACGATGAACTTACACTCAAAGGAACATGTTACGGCGATACGTACGATGGACCTACATCAGAGACCCCTTTTACGGCGATACGTACGATGAACTTACACTCATAGGAACATGTTACGGCGATACGTACGATGGACTTACTCTCATAGGAACATTTTACGGCGTTACGTACGATGGGCGTACACTCACGGGAACATGTTACGGCTATACGTACGATGGACCCACATCAGAGACCCCTTTTACGGCGATACTTACGATGAACTTACACTCAAAGGAACATGTTACGGCGATACGTACGATGGACCTACATCAGAGACCCCTTTTACGGCCATACTTACGATGAACTTACACTCATAGGAACATGTTACGGCGATACGTACGATGGACTTACTCTCATAGGAACTCTTTACGGCGTTACGTACGATGGGCGTACACTCACGGGAACACGTTACGGCTATACGTACGATGGACCTACATCAGAGACCCCTTTTACGGCGATACTTACGATGAACTTACACTCAAAGGAACATGTTACGGCGATACGTACGATGGACTTACTCTCATAGGAACATTTTACGGCGTTACGTACGATGGGCGTACACTCACGGGAACATGTTACGGCTATACGTACGATGGACGTACACTCACGGGAACATGTTACGGCGATACGTACGATGGACGTACACTCACAGGAACATTTTATGGCGATACGTACGATGGACGTACACCCACGGGAACATGTTACGGTGATACGTACGATGGACTTACCTTTCAGAGGAACATTTTACGGCGATACGTACGATGGACGTACACCCACGTGACCATTTTGTGAACCTTTTTACTTGAAGTGGGTCTGTAAATAAGGTTCTTGAGGTTTTCTGATGTACAGTTTTGATTTTTAGCGACACCTCATCTTTGATTTTTAACATTAGGGTTGACAAAGAATCCTTGACTTTCATTAAGGGTTGAGACTGTATCACAATACAATACACCATGCCACACAGTCCTCATGTTAAAGACATGCATTCCACCATTAAGGGAATGCTACTGTTCCAACAAAAACACATTTGGTCAATTAAAATAAAGTAAAATAAGAGTTACTTACATCACTTGTATATACCTCAACATACTGTATTTTACCATTCATTTTCATAGTGAATGTAGTTTACATGTTAACCTATATACACGTAATTGTTTGTATCGACACATGGCTTCGCCATTTACTGTACAACATAACGCGATGTACCTAATTATCTGGACAGGTAACCCCCCCCCCGAATTGATTGTGGGAAGCTGGGTGGCCCACCAGTCGTCTAAGGCGCCGCCATTCGCTGTGCAGAGTAACGTCCCTTTGGGCACGCCAGAAACCTATGATTGTGGGTTCGAATCCCGGTTCGCCCCGATTATGTTTCTAGGTTTGTCAGCACCATACCCGTGCTTGTGGGTTTCACCGAAGGGGTAAACGTCTGAGACCTGCATCACTTCGGGCTTTCCTCCCACATTAAGCTGACACGCCGCGATATAACTGTAATACTGTTAAAAGCGGCGTTAAACCCAACTCACTCACTCACTCACTGTTCTGAAGGGCCATCGTTTCCCAATAGACGGCTGTCAACCAGAACAGTGCAGAATCGACTGACATCGGCAGGATTGAAGTACAGAAGGGTAATCAAGCGTCCTTTCCATGCCGATCATCAACGGAGGATTCGTTTAGCAATGTGTTTGGCTCGGAGAGCTTAGGATCTGAGGACTTGGTCAAGAGTCCATTGGTTCGAAGAGAGCAGGTTCCTGGTTCCTGACACAGATAGCCGTTATGAGGCATAAAACATGGCCAACACACCCCGGAACGTAAGGCTGGGTGG